ATTCAAGAGACAGTGGTAAGAAGGGCCCAGGAGCAACTATGAGTAAAATGTTGAGTCCCAGCCTTAAATGTCCTCAGCTCATTTGCTAGGTGTATAAGAAGCACATTTCTCCCAAGAAATCTTAATAAATTCATTCTCCTTCATAAAGACCATGGTCTTATCATTTCCTAGTTCCTAACAGACCCCAGGTTCAGAACTTACCTTTAATAATATTAATTCCAACTTTGCTTAAAAATGTGAAGTATGAGAGAAGGGTAGGCATACAGTAAAAGATGGGTGGGGAAACTTTTTTCCCCTACATTTTCTGATTAAAAATATTTTTAAAGATTTTTTCCAGGATCGCATAACTAAGTTTGTGTTCAGTAAAAAGTAACTGAGTAAGTGAAATCTCCAAATGAAATGTGGATGGAGCAAGACCCACAGTCCTGAATTCACCTCTATACTTCTGTCAGGCTGCAAAGTTACTGCTGAGGTTTTTGCTAAAATAATCTGGCTTTACAATGTACAAGCCCTCCAGGTGTCAGTCTTTTATACTTTTTCACTCTTCTCAGCTAGAAGTGCTCACACATTCAGCGTTAGCAAAGCTCAGAGGTGAGGTTCCCAGTGAGGGAGTCTTATTCCCCTAAAGTCACAAAATGAAGGCAGGCTGACTACCCAGTGAGGACACTATAAAAACTTCAGTAAAGATATTAACTGTGGAGGGTCACTGGAGTTTAGCACCTTAAACACCACATCATAAATCCCACAGTATCTTGGCCAGAGATGTAGACTCAGCTTCCTCAACTTCTTTCTTCCCCACCACTGTGAACCCATCTCTCTTCTCTGGACCTTCACAGTCCATTGTCACTAGTTAAATGACTAGGTGAGGGGTGTGGCCATTTTTACAATTTGCCACATAGAAAGGATTGCCAGATAAAATACAGGGATCAGGTAATGGATAACTTTTTAGAATAGGTATGTCCCAGGCCATATTTAGGACATGTCTATGCTAAAACATTATTCACTGTTTATCTAAATTCAAACTTAATGTCCTGGATTTTCATTGTTAAATCTGGCAACCCAACACGTGTATTTATGTCAAAATAAGCAATGCTTTTCTTTATCTAAAAAAAGACAATTTTTTTATTTTATTTTTTTTATCCTTAGCTGAGGACATTTTTTCATTGCTTTTAGAGAGAAAAGGAAAGAGAGAAACATCAGTGTGAGAGAGAAGCATTGATTGGTTGCTTCCAGTAAGCACCAAGACCGTAACTGGACTGGGGATCAAACCCACACAACCTAGATCCACGCCCTGACTGGAAATTGAACCCACAGCCTTTTGGTTACAGGACGCTCCAACTGAGCCACACTGGCCAGGGCTAACTAAAAGAGACAACTTTAAACTTGAAATTACTTTTAAAGTGTACAGCTACACCAAGTGTTGTATCAGAATCCACTAACAATCTCTAAGTACTGCTACAGAAAAGGAGTAACAGAGCCTTGCTCTATAGTCTAGGAACCATCTTTAGCTAAACACTGGCATTAAATAACCATAAAATAATATATAGCAGACTCTGTTTCCTTTCAGTTATGCATTAGGTGAAACATTGCTACATAGAACACCAACAAAAAAGTCTGTACTTTCAGTATTTTGGGCCTATTCTGTAATTATAATAGTTCTTTTACCTCCCTATGAGGAATTTTTTAAATCTTTGAAAGACATTAATCATTACATTGCTATGGAATTTATTATATTGAATCAGACCAAAGGTACTTAAAATATGAGTTTATATTCATATTTTTAAAATTCATATCTTAGGTAACTTATGCATATACTGTAGTAAAATTTGACGTTTTCCTCTATGAGTTTTTATTAGCTGTATTTTTTGTGCTATAACTTTTCTGAGTAAAAGCGATGGTGCAAAGGTCAAATAAATATGCTTCATTAAGCAATACAACCTGACATTTCTTGACAACAGCTCCCCAGGTGAGGAAAGGGAGGCACCCTGAAAGGTCATAACCACCCTTACTGCTGCTCTGCTCCTCCGTCACTTGACACACAATGACTGTACAGAAATACAGGGACCCTATCTACCCAGAATCCTGAGTAATGAAAAATTCAGATGCAGGGCATTCTGAGGCATGTTAACAAGGTTCTAATGCAGTTTCTTGTACCCAGCTTCATACAAATATGCCTCTGTTGTTTATATCACAATCTTAGACTCTAAAGGGAATTTAAAGATTCCCACTACCAGCCCACTACACAAATCACGAAACAAAACCCTGTGTCCAGGATCACTGAAGAAGATGGCACACCTCAAGAACAAAGGTACCACACTATCACAAACATGAAGATCCTGGATGAACTTGATATAAGTAGCTTCCACCTTAAAAATGACCTTTTCAAATAATACATTCCCCAAGATTTCATGGGGCAAAATGGCAGTCAAGTCTGCCATGTTAGGATATTTACATTCCATATCAGAGAAAAAAGTTCCAGATTTTGCTTGTCCTTCCGAAAGGGACTAACCACAGAGTTCACTAAACTAGGAGTTTGAAGAATTAATACAGTTGGAACTCTGCTGTCCCATGTATAAAGTGGGTAGGGATTGTTATGCAATAAAAAAGATTTTACAGCATGTGTATCTTCAATATTGACAGCCCACCCACTCTCTGACTTCAAGACACTGTCTCTTTATCTGGGGCCCCTCTGGCTTCATCATAGAACCTGATGTGACCTTCAATGTCTACGTCTGCTAGGGAAAGCCGGCTAAATGCTGCACTTTCCTCTGGGCTCTGGGAATGCAGCAGTAAAGAAAATGAACAAAAAGCCCCGCTTTCTCAACACTTCCATGTGAGTGAATGAAGAGGACAGGAAACCGTGAAAGTAAACCCTAAACAAGGAAGAGGGGTAGAAAGTACTAGGGAAAGAGGTACAATTTAAAATAGTGTGGCAGTGACACTTACTGAAGACCTGCAGGAGTGAGGGAGCAGGCTGCCAAGTGAATAGAGACCTGCAGGATGGGCTAAGAGTACACCAGGCACATCCCCATCAGAGCAAGAAAGTCCACAAAGGACCACAGATTGTAAGAGATATATCTGGAAGAGGAGCAGAGTCCATACCAGAAACACGTGGAAAGATGGCAGGGTTAGTGGACAGAAGATGCCAGTGGAGTAGAGGGAGTGAGCTGGAGTGTGTTGTTAGTGGGAGACCAAGTACTTGAATTTGAGATTTAGAGGGGCTTCTTAGCGATAATGAAGAGGTCCAGAGCATGACCTCAGGGGTAGGCCAAAGTGAGGTGGAGAACAAGATGATCACCAGAAGGAATAGAGCTCATCTGATCTGATGATGAGAGTCCAAGCTGGAGGTTTTCAGAGGCAAATCCTACCTGAAGTAGAAGGGGGGCATTTACCTGCCTCCTCACCCAGTGGGAGGTCCACTTGAGATGGCTAGAGGAAGTGAGTTTCCACTGGAGAGCCAGGAGTTAACAAAAATAAAGCATGATCAAGTCAGGAGGGGAGGGACTTCTTTGGGAAAGTACATAGCTAACGGATAACACAGCTCCAGGGCAGAGAGGATATGGTTAGACAGGGCTACAGAGGAGCTACAAGAAACGTCTTGCTTTGTGAGGACTTCAGGGCTGTCCTGGGTCACTGGGCAGCCAGATAGCAATGACTGGAGGATGGTGGCAGCCACTCCCATCAGCAGTGTTCAGAGCTCCCCTCTGTGCTCAAGATCTCCATGCCTGGAGGCAGAAGACACTAGCACAAAAGGCTGCCTCATCTTTGCTCCAGTTGTTTTCCTGTCACATGCTGTCTCCTTTTCCTTTGATGGTAATGTCTTTGAGGTCATTTAGAAATTTTACTCTTCGTGACTTCACCTGTTGGTTTGCAGTACTAACCCTAACTCCTAAAATTTTTCGAAGTCCAGTGCTGGGAACATGCTGGTGAAAACCCAGTGCCTGGTGAGTCCACTTGTGGAAACACCAAAGATCCTCTGGCTGTCCTTTAACTGTTGCCAGAAGGCATGACCTCTTATACTTGTTTCACTGATCACTTCTTCTTGGGAGGAAAAAAGCAATTGCCAAGCTACAGAATCATTCTCCAAGGACACTGTAACCTGCTGTGAGGTTCCTAGAGAATTTGGCCAAAAACAGCCACACTGAGTGACAAGTGACAAGGGTGCCCATCTTGCTAAAAGCAAGGGTTTGGCATCCTTGGGATCTGTGTCAGCATCAGGCATGAGATATGACACTAACATATCTTGAGGTAGTGGCAGGCTGTGGCAGAAAAAGCAGAATTCAGAACCTGACCTACGATTAGATACGTGGCAAGTGTATGACCAAACAGTGGCGTCTCCACTGTAATTTGACCGCCAAGGCAAAGACAGACCCACCACCCCTTTGTTGAAGTGCCTTCAGTGGCAGCTGTGACCCTTAGCCTGAGTCTGAACTCCCCTGCATGCCTCAGATGGCCCCAGATGTGACCCTACCACACTGCACTATATATTCCCAGAAAATTTAAATCTTTCCTTTCCTAAAACATTTCTCTCCATACTTGCTGTTGACTTGCATCTTTGCAAGTGCTTTTAAACTTCTTCACCCAGCTAACTTTCAGGTAACAACTTAAAAAACACATCCTCAGGGAAGTGCTCCTTGCTGGCCAGATAGGTCAGGTCTCCCTATGATATGTTACATCACACACTGACCTCATGTCCCCATAATACTCATTTAATATTCTCCTCCCCACTCCCAGTACACTATTTCTAGGAATGCAGCAACTGTAGCTGCCTCAGTCACCATTGTATACCTAGGGCCTTGCCCAATGAATGCAACAGAAGCAAAGCAAAACTTTTTAAAAAGTTAAGTGGATATTCTGTCCTGCTTAACATGACTTGTAAAATGTGAGAAGCAATATTTCCCAGTTCACTCTAGCTATAAGCTGAGAACCTTTCCCTTCTGTACCCAGAAAGTATATTGAATGCAGTCAACATCTTTTAAATTAATAAACTCCACAAAATATTAACATCACCCAAACTCTTTAATTCAGTAAAATATGGAACACAGGCCACTTAACATACTACATTCACTTTATTTCTAACTTTTCTACTGGTTTTGATAACATGTAGAGAAGAATAAAAATGAAAACAAGACACTATTGTATCACATCAAGAAATATCTTTATCCAAAGGGAACTCAAATGGAAGATATGTTTAACATCAACTAATAGGGTTCAGCACAAATAATGCCCTTATTTCATTACAAACTTTTTATTATAAAATCATAAACATGTAATTCTGTAACATAACAGTACCACATTCAAATATACCACATGACATTTTAGGTGAAATGTTCAAATTAAAATTATAAATTGTTACACCCATATTATTACCCTACCAACCATACTCAAGCAGGCCTTACTTCTGCCAGACCCTGTATTTGTAACTTATATACTTATTGTCAAGGATGATATCCAAAAAGCATGAAACAATTCTTGAAATCATAGCAAGATGTCTTGCTTATGTGTCACTTCTATGACTGTCAACCACATACATGGAGAGATTGACTGAGATGACTTTCCAGGAGACACACAAACAATACAAAACATGAGGATGAGGCATACTCTGCAGTGGGCCCTGAACCTGCTCAGAGACAGCAGACTAATGTAAGCTTTGGACCCAACTCTACGCCTCCATGACCTGACTATGTTGACGGGTATACTGTCCTCTGTATAGGCATGTGTGAGAAATAGTGTGTCCACCCGGGGCACTGTTGTCCCAGCATATGCTTGTAATATGTCTGGTTATCGTTTCTCTAAATGCACTTTAAGAACTAATAACACTTGAATGAATGGTGGCACAACAGGGTAAGGGGCTATTTTAATATAAAATAATAGTAAATCACACACAATGAGGTGAAATGTAGGAATTGTACAGACTTTATAAAATAATTTACAAATTGTAACCGCTTTTATTCCAAACTGCAAGAAGGTATCCATTGCCCTAATTTGTGGGAACCAGAGTTCTTATGAGAAACAGCATCTATTGATGAATCTGATAAAAAATGAATAATAAATAACTAATTTTAAAAAGGAAATAATTCTGGTTAAAACCAGAATATGACATTGTGACGATCCAACCAGTTGGACAGTGGTGGCAGAAGTACTGTGATCTGGGCAGTGGATTGATGACCAGTCACAGCCAGTGGTCCCTAGTACTCCATACAGAAGATGCTGGTGCTGCAGGGCTGGTTAGCATTAGGGAGTAAGGAGGGGCTTTGGGAGTGTGTTTAAAAAACAAAATTCTGAAAACCACAGCAACATTCATGTGTTGCATCTAAGCCAAATAAAATTAGAACACCGGACAAGGAAGGCTCCAAACTTGGAAGAACCAGACGTTTCACAGAACAAGGGATACGAGCTTTGGTGCAAGTTTCAGGACTGAATGGCATATTAGCATAGCACTGGATGCATCCACTTGATGATTTGTGATCAATATGAAATTTTTAATGTTGAATTATTAAAGATGATTGGCCAATATATGGATATGCACAATGCTTGGCACAAGGGTCCTCAATAACCATTGCTGAATCTATTCTGATGATAAAATGTTTGCTCATTAATATGTTCTAAAGGGTAAAAATCAGTGAGAAAAAGCATGTAAAGTGCACCTTAAGTGCATCTTAAGGCAGAAGTTGGATTTTTTCAAAGTTATAAAATGTTTTCTTCCTTTTTTTAAAAAAAGATTTTATAGCCCTGGCTGGTGTAGCTCAGTGGATTGAGCGTGGGCCTGTGAACCAAAAGGTCCTGGTTCATTTCCCAGTCAGGGCACATGCCTGGGTTGCAGGTCGGGTCTCCAGTGGGGATTGTGAAAGAGGCAACCACACATTGGTGTTTCTCTCCCTTTCTCCCTCCCTTCCCCATCCTCTAAAAATAAATAAATAAAATCTTAAAAATAAAAAAAAAGATTTTATTCATTGATTTTTAGAGAGAAGGGAAGGGAGGGAGAAAGTGAAGGAGAGAAACACTGATGTGAGAAACATTGATCGATTTCATCTTTCACATGCCCCAGCTGGGAACCGAACCCACAACCCAAACACATCGTGCCCTGACCAGGAATAGAATTGGCAACCTTTCAGTTTATGGGACAATGTTCAAACTGAGCCACACTGGTCATAGTAGGTTTTATGCTTAATACAGTACATTCTAGCTTAGGAAATGGCACACTGTTAAAATAGAGAGTATAATTTTGATTCATTGATAACCATTATCATGAGTTTAAAAATCAGACTAAAAATGTTACTTAAAAAAAGGAGAAAATATCCAAATAATTATGTACAAATCAACATATGGGACCTTAGCAAGCAAAGTATAAAACTATCCTTTCTTAATAAGCACAGTCTTTCTTAAGTGAAAAGGAAATAAAATTCTGGTTGGGTCCTCATAGTTTTCATGGACAAAGCAATCTTAGCCATTAAAAAAAAACAAAACAGTGAAAATGCTCTAGTAATGGAGATTCTAGGACAAGCTATTGCCTGCAGTTGCAGACCCTGAGCTCATGGACCTCATGGACAGTGTTCCGCATGCACCAAAAGGACTGAGCGGCAAACACGGATGGCTACTTATACTAGAAGGAGGTTGCTGACTGTGTCATAAGGACCAGGTGTGTGCCTTGTCATTCAGCACTCTGCAGGAAGTCCTGGTGGCTGCTGCTGCACTGTGAACTGGACAATGAACTGGACCAAATTTACTCTGCCACAAACGTAGGTGCAGGTGGGGGCACTTGGAGCCTCTGGAAAAGCACTGAACTATTATAGGAATAAATCCAGTGTCATCTCCTTTGAGAAGCCTTGTCACCAAGATGGACATGGTCTTGTGACACACAAAATATAGCAACCTGAAACTGCACCATCCCAACAAGTTTTCTTTTTTTCTATTAACAAACATTCAAAATGGCATTTTCACCCTATGAAAGTAAACAATTATCACAACAAAACTGGCTTTCCTCACATGAGTGTCTAATCCAACAGCCTGACTGCAATTACTAGAAGTCAAAAGCAACCACTGAATTGATTGGGCAAATATTAAATTAGCACTTTTTCTCAAAAAAAAAAAAAGAATAAAAAGAATGCTTTAAGTAAATGGAATACACAGAGAACTAGGTTCACATCCTAAATGATGGTTTGAAAGTATGTGACATCATGTCCATCATCAGGGGAGGCAGGAGAGATTTCACTTGGTGGCAGTAGCAGGGTTCTTGGGAGGAAGGAGCTTGTACGTGTTGAAGTAGCCCACCACCTGCTGGGGGATCTCTGCCAAGACACACTGAGCCAGCGCCTCTTTGGGAGCCTAATGAAAACAATCAGATGACTACGTTAGCAACCAAATGTTTACTGCTCTTCTAATGAAGACTAAGAATACCACACTAGTCAGTAAGGAGGAGCAATCCCCACTCCTAGGCCTGCATCTTGTCTTAGGAACAGTCCAAGAACATGAAATAAGCTAAAGAATGCTTTCTATCCCACTGACATTTATCAAGGTATTTTCTGGTGTGTGATGACTTTTTGTTGTTATTGGTCTTTAACTTTTAAATGTGGGTCTTTCATTCACTGGGTATTATTTTTTTAACTTCTTATTTTGAAATAATTATAGATTTATAGGAAGATGAAAAAATAATACAGAGAAGTCCCATGTACCTATACACGGTATCCTCCAAAGGTAACAGCTTCTATCACAACAGGACAATGTCAAAACCGGGACAGTGCATTGGTACAGTTCACATACCTTACTGAGATTCACCAGTGTCACATGCTTTCATGTGTGTATTTTTGCATGTGTGCACATGCAAAAGCTCTATGTGTCCATCATCTGGACAGATCCGTGTAACCACCATCACAATCAGGATACACAATTGTTTCATCACCACAAAGACCCCCAATATTACTGCTTCTTAATCTCATACCCTGCCCACATCTTGCCCTCTACATCACTGATGGGGATATACAATGGCACAACCACTCTGGAAAAGTTTGACAGTTTCTTTAATAATGAAACAATGAACAATCATGTGGCCCAGCAACTGTAACTTCTGGGTATTTATCCCTGAGAAATGTTCACACAAAACCTAAATGCAGGCCCTGGCTTGTGTGCCTCAGTGGGTTAAGCGCCAGCCTCCAAACCAAAGAGTTACCAGTTGGATTCCCAGCCAGGGTACATGCCTAAGTTGCAGGTTAGGTCCCTAGCTAGGGGCACATGAGAGGCAGCCACACATTGATGCTTCTTCCCTCTCTTTCTCCCACCCTTTTTCTAAAAATAAATAAATAAAATGTTTAAAAATTTTAGAACAAAAAACCCCATATGCAATGTTGATAGAAGCTTTGTGTGCAATAGGCAAAACTCGGAACTGAAGACATCCTTCAAACAAACTGGTACAAACATAGTATGGAATACTGCTCAGCAATGAAAGGAATAAATGGAGCAGCTTGGCTGAGTAAAAAAGTCAGTCCCAAAGGTTATATGCTGTATGAATCAATTTCTATAACAGTCTTGAAATAACAAAATCATATAAATGAAGACCAAATTACTGGTTACCAGGAGTAAGGAGGGATGAAGGTGGTAGGGAATAGGTGTGGCTATGAAAGGGCAACATGATGGATTTTATGGAGTGGGAACTTGCTTGTATCAATGTACCAGTTTTACAAGGTGTTACCATTGGAGTAAACTGGGTAAAACAGTCACCTGAGAGATTTTCACCAAATCAACTTATAGTTGGTAAATTCATCACATCCTTGTATAGAGTATTTCTGTTGTCATAGAGGTAAAGATGTAATATATTTTAAGGTATTCACAACACTGGTTTAATGGTTTATCACACAGACTGTAAGAGGCAGTGTACAACCTGAAGTGAAACTACCCACTCTGATCAGGGCTCTTCAAATGGAACATTCCCACACCTGCCCTAGCACCTACTCAAGCATCTGGGTGTAGAATGGCAAGTAGAAGGAATGGTACTCACGCTCTGGAACTGTCTGAAAGGCACAAACTGGACAATGTCTCTGATGGCAGCCTCGCCTGATGGGGAACGCAGACTCCCACTGTCACCATCCAAAAATTCCATGGCACTGAAGTCAGCACTGCCCACTCCAACAATGATGATGGACATGGGCAGCTTGGCAGCATTGACGATAGCTTGCCTGGTCTCATCCAGGTCTGTGATCACACCATCCGTGATGATCAGGAGCACAAAATATTGCTACCAAAGAGAATAGTAGTCTAGTGAGCAGCTTAAGCTCCCATGCAGTAAAGGCAATGGCTGCTGACATAAGCACCTCAATGAGTCACTAGTGTCCTTCTTGCTTGTTTTACTTGCCAGTCTCCACCTAGGACACCATCTAACAATAGTCTGAAATCTCTAATGACAAGGGAATTTACCAACAGAAATGCTGTAGGTTCATTAAAAGTGTAACAGATCACAAAATAGGGTGAGCATAAATTCATGGGAGCAAGACATGGAAAAGCACAGGCAAAACCATACTGACTTAACTGAAGTATTAAATCTGTCAAAGTATCAGGCAGGGGAGCAAGTGACAACTCCAATGAAAAGCAGGAAAACTGTTTATCATACAACACTCACTTTAAAAAATGGCTATGGGGGTAGTGGATGCTCTCACTTCTGTCTTCTCTGACCAATCTTTTTAGAGAGTTGTAAAATGTTATTATTGTAAAGTTGTGACTCCATCATTTCGTTCACTCAAGTCTGGAATGGGAGTAAGATTTGTAATGATACCTAACATGTGCTGAGTGTTCACTGTGGCCCAGATCTTGTGCACTTGATACGAATTATCTTATTTCACTCTTTGGATAACTGTGTGAGGTCATCATCCCTACCTGACTTGTGAGAATACTGAAGCTAAGAGAGATATGGCATGTGAGGTCTTACAGGTAAGGGCTGTCTGATACAAAACTTTTTAGTACAGTGAGCAATTCTGCAACAGCAACTCAAGTTGTAAGTAATTAGTTTATGTGTTAGGTCTGCCTTCATTTGGGAGTATGGGGGGTAGAACCAATTCAAAAAACTAATTCAAAAGACAGAGAAAAGACTCATGGATGAAAGGGTTGCTTGTTTGTAACGATCACTAATACAACAACAGGCATTACTCCAAAACTGAGGATGACTGTACCATCATTTCCAGTTTTTCTTCCACATCGCAATAGTCAAATCAACAGATAAGTGGCACTAGGAGCAACTATGACCCACAACTCCCTGCCCTGGTGACAACACTTACTGAAGCTGTCTGCTGCTGTGTAGCTGCAGCAGCAAACCTGGCCACATGGTTGATGATTGGGGAGAAATTCGTGGGTCCGTAGAGTTTTATCTGAGGAAGGCATAGCCGGTAACTCTCCACGATGCCTTGGATCCCTGTACCAGAAAAACAGTATTGAACATTTTCACATGCAATACAACTATTCATTGTTCACCACCTGGCTGATTTAATTATATGTACATATCAACATACAGTGATTTAAATAGTTAGAAGTTCTATATTAAGGAGTTCCTCTAAGCTATACAGGAGTGAGCAAAAGTAGGCTTACAGTCATCTGCACACAAAACAGTGTTTATTCTTGTATTATCAATTATTGCATTATTTTCCATATAAACAACTGTAAACCTACTCATGCCCTACTCTGTGTATCACACACCTTCATAGCTTTGCTGCATCTCAAAATCCAATAAACCCTCGCCTCTCCTAGTAGAAGGTATTTAGCCCTGGTTGGTGTAGCTCAGTGGATTGCACATGGGCCTGAGAACCAAAGGATCGCAGTTTGATTCCCAGTCAGGGCACATGTCTGGGTTGCAGGTCAGTCCCCAGCAGGGGATACATGAGAGGCAACCGTACATTGATATTTCTCTCCCTCTTTCCTTCCCTTCACCTCTAAACATAAATAAATAAAAATCTTTAAAACAAGAGATGGGAGAGAGGGAGAGAAATATTTATTTTCATCCTAGAAAAATTATTCATTAATCTACACTAGGATTGTTACAGTGCTTGATTTTAATGTGTTTTAGGATTGAAACTCTGATGTAAAAAGAACTGTGAAAGAGCTTCTACATCATAAAACTGACTTAAGAGGTGAAAAAAGTGACTGATTAGATAGAAAAATACTTGTATATGTGTGTGACCAGAGGCTCCACAAAAATGCCAGCTAGCTACAATCTTACTGGTAATTTCAGTCCAGGGTTTCCTCGATGACTTATGGCAGTCATTTTTAACCAGTGTGCTGCAAGAATTTTTAAAACATGAAATACCTAACTATTTAGTCAGGGACACTGACCTCTTTTCCCTTAGATTGTCAAATAAAAAAAATATTGCCCTGGCAGGTGTGGCTCAGTGGATTGAGTGCTGGTCTGTGAAGCAAAGGGTCACTGGTTCAATTCCTGGTTAGGGCACATGCCTGGGCTGTGGGCCAGGTTCCCCAGTATGGGGCGCTTGAGAGGCAACCACACATTGATGTTGCTCTCCCTTTCCCTTCCTTCCCCTCTCTAAAAATAAATAAATAAAATCTTTTTAAAAAATGACAACAGCCAACACAACAATTGCCATCCAGTGTGAATGAATCAAAATTATACCTTTTTTTGGTCAGATAGGCAAATAATATATATTTTTGGTGTGATGCAGAATTTTAGTAATTAGTTTATGTATAACATGAGATGAAAACAGTTAAAAATTGCTGACTTAGAGGTCAAGCATGGCATGGCAAGCTGCAGAACTCCACATACACACTTCTGGGTCGGTATCACATTCCACTGCTGGTTTTGGGTACTCCGGGGCCTGCTGGGGTGCTGTGTGCTGGGCCTGGGCAGGGCCTGGACCAGCTGTGAGCTGTGCATGTCAGTGGACAGGATACCGATGTCTCAAAAGACCCACTGCTTGCTCTCCCTCTGCAACAGAGCAGTGTATCCCAGAGAGTGGCTGCTCCTTTGGCCCAAGTCCCGAACAGAAGAAACAGAGCAGAGCTACAGCCCAGTGATAACTGAGGCTGAGTAAGTCACTGAAATCTGGAGACTATTTATCATAGCAACACAACCTGGTGAAAGCTGGACAACATTTCGGGTAAAAGTACTGCTGATGCTGCATTAGTGCCACACGTGCAACTATTAAATCTGACCCAACATTAGAGTCAAACACAGGTAAGATACTGGAACCTCTAGAAATTCCCCACAATACTCACTGAGATCATCAAGTAATCTTCCTCAAAAGATTGTTAATATAAAACACAAACAGGTTTCTTGCTTAAAAATGTGCAAAAAAAGACAGAGTAACAAAAGAGAAGCATGTATTGGTTTAAAAGTTTCAGAGGAACAAATCTCTCCCCTTAAAATTGTGGAGTTCCCATAAACTCCCCTTAATCACTTTGAACTTAGAAATTAATGATCTCGTGAACAGCCCTTAAGAATATAATGCTGATACATAGAGGATATTCTACATGCAAAGATGAGGCTGTAACTAGGGTCAGTCAGTCCACTCATAACAAAAATCATATTGACACAGATGAACAGCAGGATTCTAGTGCAATGACACATGCTGTAGAAAATTGAGTCCAAACCATAGGAATAATAGCTTCTTCCACTTCTATCATCTTAGTTTGCTCTTCAGTCTGAAGGTGTCAAACTATTAATTAAATGTCTTCACAGATATCAAGTGCCTTCAGTTGCTCCACTAAGACTGAATTATGCCAAAATATTTCCTTTGCATTATAGGAACAAGCAAGATATGTTATTTATTTCTGGGCAAATAAATTACATGATTAATTTGGAAAAGAAATTCAACTTCCCCTTGCTTTAAAATAAAGCTGTCTTTTTTTCTGCACAGTATCTCCTTTGTCTCATACCAAATGGACTTTTCCCTGACTGTAAACCAGAAGTAGAAAAGCTGCACATGATGGCAGCCCAAAGATGGGCTCATGTAACTCAGAGTAAATGAACTTCTAAAATAAATCATCACATAAGTTTATCCATATTCATTGGCAATAAATGAAACCTAATTACAGATTCCAAAGACTTTCCAATTTTGTCTTAAGCATAAAACATATTTCTTGAAAATAATAATATTCCCAGTTTCAAATGGCTATGGATATAAAAGGTCACCACCAGCCACTGAAGTGTGTCAAAGGAGCACTGAATTAATCTGTGTGGAAAAAGTGTTCCAGAAACAAGAGAAACCCTGATACAAAGTCTCCCAACATCATGTTTATGCTTCTATTGTACCTTGTGAATAGGAGAGGACAGGCTCTGTTGTTCAAAATCCATACATTCTGTAATTGTCAATAAGACCCACTGCAGAAAGTCAGCTTATTGTCTACAATTTAAGCCCCTATCCCCACCTTCTTTTCCTCCTCCAAACTTACATAATTTTGTGGGAGAGTTGGCACTGTAGGTTAATTGCTCAGTGGGGTAAAGGAGGAAAACACTTGGATATCTGAAGTATCAGGAAAGCATGAACCACAAACACTGGCCTTTACTTCCTGCATCTGAGGGAAGCTGTTCCTAGAGCCAAGCCCTTTGCTCCTCAAGCCACCCACCCACTCATGAAAGACTGAGCACAAGCAACTTGGTGCTGGACACTTTCCTTGTAGAGTATCTGCTCCTCTGAGAGGAGGTTCAAAAGACTCATATAATGAACTATTCATTTCACTGAAGGGTTATCTTAAAATTGCCTTATACATGAAAGGAATATGACTATATTTATTGACCTAGTTTCAAGACTGAGAATTCTGTTGTTCTATTAAACAAACCTCTTAAGGCAGAAGAATTTAGCCTGAGATCTTCATCATCATAATCGTGATGTCACCACTCTCACCAACTGGGTGCAATTCTTCTGCTTTATGTGACAGAAAGGTAAATATGTCACAAAAGAATCCTAGAGTACTGGCTGGATGACTCAGTTGGCTGGAGCATCATCACATTTACCTAAAGGTTGTGAATTCAATCCCCAGTCAGGGCACATACCTAGATTGTGGGTTTGATCCCTGGTTGGGTCGTGTACAGAAGACAACTGATCAACTTTTCTCTCTCACACAGATGCTTCTCTTTCTCTCTCTCTCCCCCCACCCCCTGCACCCCTTTCCCCTTTCTCAAATCAATGAATAATATCCTTAGGTAAGGATTAAAAAAGAAAAAGAAACCTAGAGAGGGAATCTGAGTAGCTTTAAATCACAAGAAAAAAAACAAATACCAGTGAGCTTCTCAGTTTACAATGTCCATGTGGGTTTTTTAACTCACCATTACAGTAGGGGTTGGATGTATTAAAGTTCATGGGAAATTCATGCGAAACCTGAAGAAGAAAGAGGGGCTGATGAGGCTGGTTTTGCTTCTGTAAGAGACAAATCTTTAAGTCGGGATTTTCTCTTACCTGCCACTGAGGAGGTATTTGGGCTCCAAAGCCAAATGCTGGGAACATCTTATCACTAAAAAGAAAATTTAAAAGAATGTAAAGGTAGTTGTTTTGAAAGTAGAGTTTTATCTTTACTCAAAACCAATAGACTCTTCTTTTTTTTTTAAATTTTAAATCTTTAAAAAAGATAAAACAAGGATTACCCATAATAATCAGAGAAAGAAATGTTAATATATGGCAATTCTCATTCTCAATATTTTTATGTGCTTTGAGAGAGAAAAAATATCTCTTTATATACATTGATAAAAATGGGGTTCATATTCCCATATTTTATAACATATTATTTTCTACTTATCCACTGTATATTATTTCATTGAATAAACATATAATCCATAAAGCCCTAAAAACCATAAGGTTTTTCATTTGTTTACAGCAAACTCATGTGGCAGTAAAACCTGAGCTCAACTCACATGGGATGATTCATAGCCATGTAATAGGATTATTTTTACACTGGCCACAGAAACATGGTACAAATGCCACATAGAAGACTCTCAAATTTATGCAGCAAAATGTATGAAAATTTGGCCCCAGCAGTTTAGGAATAAGGGTCAGGGACCTGGATCTATAGCGGCCTGTGAAGGGTGCGAGTATTCCCTGTGTGGACTTATCCCCACGTCCTGCCACATAAATAAACCTCAGCAATGGAAAAACTCATTTCCTACCAGGGATATCCTTCTCCATGTAAACTCTAATAGCTCTTCCTGTGGACTGAACCTATGTAACATGTCAGATCTTTTCCCAGTTTAGAATCTATCTCTTTGTTTACAGTATCTTCTCCTTCATAGTTTTAATATTAATATGAATAAAGTTTTTTTCATGATTTCTGTTTCCTCACTGCCAGACTATGAGCAATCCACATCTATTTTTCTGTGGGAATGTTCAGGGTTGTCTTTGCTGATAAACATGGTCCATCTGGAAAAGTCTGGAACCAGATATGATGCAGACCAAATACTTGCCCATTTCCATTTTTCATTCTCTGCCTTGTAACAGGTCACCTAAGCCAGAATCCACTAAGCTGACCCAAGCTCCTCAGCCAGGACAGCAGCAATATAAGTCATCTGAACAGGTCCCCAGGAGGGACATACATGCGCCCCGGCTTCCTCATCTTCCACTGCTGGAGGACCCAGAACCCACTGCAGCTGACTGAATACGGGGTGGGTGTTACAGGTTGAAGAAGGCAAAACTGCCCTCTCAGTATGAGCTACTCATCTTTATCCATGAACAAAAATGGAAACAAACCTCTATTTGATCAAAACCACTTTGTTTTTATATGTATAGTTCAGCAGTTTTGCCTGTAATTTATATGGAATAGTATCCTAACCAAATTGAGTTCTTGTCCAGTTTGACTGCTGTTGCAACTCTTTCCCACTGAAATGACATCTCCATCAAATGCCAAGATCACATACACACTTGGGTCTATTTCAAGACTGTTGCTTTGTTCCATGGGACATGTGCTAGTTCTACAATCTTAACTCACATGCCTTTAAAATGTTTTACGACCTAGCAGAACAAATTCCCTGTCTCTTTTATTTTTTTTCCTGAAAAATTTCTTGGTTATTCTGATTTGTTTTCCTTCTAGAAAATTTTAAGAATTATTTTGTCAGGATTCCAATGCAATTTTGATTAAAGTTGATTAAATTAGGGAGACTTTATATCTTATATCATTATGGCATTTGTCTATAGGATACCATTCTGGATGGATGGGCCCAGCTCCCACTTGGAAAGGCCAGTGGAAAGCGAGATCCGGTACACACCCATGGATAGGTTCTCCCATGGGGAATCAGGCCTGCATTGTACCTAGGTTTCTTGGAGACTTGCTTTTTGCTAAAACTCCCCTCACCCTGAATTGAGGCAGCAAATGTTTACTGCATATCTTTAAAAGAACTTCCTAAAATTTATGCTAAGCCTTCCAAGGATGAGTGTAAATAACCACTTCAACTACTTTTCCCTTTACATTTGCAAATATCCTTCTTTTTGATGTAATTAGCAACATCCTCTCCTTTGTTTTCTGTAAAAGGTAACCACCTAAAGCATAGTAAATGGGGACCATCCTTAATGTAATGTGCCCAGAAAAGCAATAAAAGCTTGTCAAGGCAAAGGTCTGGATGCTCTCCCCGGGAGAGAGTGGCCTTGCTGTCCCTTTTCCTCCACAGGACTTGATAGTCTATGTAAATTTGTCTGGCCTCATCCAAAATATCGAGGACACTGCTGGCGGGTGACCACATCATCTATCTAGAATCATGGGATATCTTTCTGTTTAAACAAGTCTTCTCTGTCTCTCAGTACAATTTTGTAGTATTCCCTCAGTAAACATCCTAGACCTTTAACTAAATTCATTCTCAATTTTTATTGCATTCTGAATTGTGATCTTTAATCCACTATAACTTCTTCTATCAGTTATTGGTGGTTATTGAGAAACTGTTGATTTTTTATTTTATGTTGTCTCAGACCACCTTTCTGAACTCCCGCTACTTTCTTGTATTGTTTATTATTAAACTCTCTCAGGTTTGAGTCCATTCCTGATAGGTCTGCTGGAGTTGATGTCTGAAACTGTCTTGGTTTGCTACCTCTGTGAGGAGTGGCTGTCCGCTTCCATCCATAGTTCCTACTCCATTGTCGTTTCCTGCCTCTTTGAGCCATCTTTGGTAAGTTAAAACTTTCTCAAAAACTTATCCTTTAATCCAGATTCTCCCATGTGATAAAAGAAAGTTTCAACATATAATTTTTAATGTTTTTTCTTGAATTAAACCTTTAATCACTCTCTCATTACTAATATTCCAATGATGTTTTCTCTTTCATGGGGGTCACTGTTGGCAAAAATCTGCCTTGGTTTGTTCAACTTGCAAAAAATCACATCTTTCTTTATTTAGTAATGTGATGGCTTTTTTAGAACTCTCTAAGCCATTCCTTGCTGTTCAGAGGAAGTTAGTGCAGTTGGGAGAATATGTTGCTGGTCAGGCTCAATGCTGCCTCTGCCATTACCAGCCAAGGAACCTGGATAAGGGACTGCGCATGCCTCAGTGTTCTCTGCATAGTGCAGGTGACAAGAGCAACCCTCTCCCCTTGAGGATCTGATTAGGTGATTATCATGTATAAAGTGATTAAATCATCCCCAACACTTAATAGCTGACATGTATATGAAATCTGCTATTATGATTATGTCTTTTTTTGTTTTAATTTTATTAAAAAGCTAGTTCACTTATATTCAGTTCTTGTTTAAAAATAAAACCATGTAGACCAGAAATTCTTCTGCATAAAGATAGTACCATGTACAGTCTTTTCATCACCCTCCATTTCTAGAGAGCTTGATATCACACTTTGGTCTTCTCTTGGATCTAATAACCACCTAAGAATTTTTAAACTTCAACATGGTAAATTCTCTTTAGTTATCCCTTTCTTGTTAACTTCCAGGTAGCAGTCTGAGAGAATGACCCTGTGAATGTTTTATTCTTTATATAAGCCCCATTTTGACTTTGGAATTTTTATTATACTTCTGTTTTCAATGGAAGTACTTTGATACTGTTATTAAACATATCCATAGTTATATTCCATTTTGGATTATTTAGCAAAGGGCTCTATAAGTAATTTTTTACTGTTTTTATGAGTTCTGCCTTAAATTCTATGAGGCTAGTACTAGGATTGCTAACTTTGCTTCAGGTTTGTTTGCATTTGCCTGAAAAACCCACTTCTTTAAATGTCATAGCAGATTAATAAAAAGCTATTCAATAAGTAAGGGCTTTTGCGGTAAAGTAAAAGGTAAAAACAAGTGTAATTTTATAGTGTGCCTTAACAGATCCAGAACAAAAAATTACTAATACACTAAGTCACCATTAAGATAATTTTACTATGACTGCCAAGGAAATAGATGTGTTAAGAAATAGCATCTATGATTGTTTACAGAATGTTTCATCTAGATTTTCCCTAATGAGTAAATCTCAAGGAAACTAGGTCAAAGAAACAACAGCCTGCTGATTGCAGTCAGCTATTAAATAAGCACTGTACCTAATATATTGTAAATGACCACAGACCATGATTAGAAGTCAAAGGTAAAAACTAGGACTGTGCCCTGGCTGGTGTGGCTCTGTGGATGGAGTGCCAGCCTGTGAACCAAAGGGTCGCCAGTTCAATTCCCAGTCAGGGCACATGTCTGGGTTGTGGGCCCGGTACCCAGCAGAGGGTATGTGAGAGGCAACCATACATTGATGTTTCTTTCTCTTTCTCCCTCCCTTCCCCTCTCTAAAAATAAATAAATAAATAAACAGACAAATAAATAAATAAATAAAATCTTAAAAAAAAACCCACCTAGGACTGCCACAAAAATAAAGTCAAGATAAGAGAAAGTCACTCCCCCAGCAATCTATCCCCCCAACTCTATTGATCAGAGAAAAAGCAGAGGAAATAGAAACTGCTCCTTCCAGGAGTGAGAAAAATAAGTCATACTCACGCATCATAATCTTGAATGACCAGTCCCACAGACCAGATAGCGGTCAAGTACTCATTTACACCGTTGGGGCTGATGTAATGAAGGGAGTCAGGAGACCTTGGATCACCATTGGAGCCAGTGAAGTCTACTCCCACCTGCAAGTAACAATTGCAGACCTTACTAGTGAAGGTAGGACACCTATACTGACATCTAGGAGAGCATTAGGAGATGAGACACAAACATCCATTCTCAGGGCTGCCTCTGTTTCCTCAAACACCTGAGACCACAGGTATATATGGTCAAATAATTTGAGCCTCTGCATAAAACGGCCTACCATTCCCATTTGCAAGATACATTAAGCCATGAATTATTACATCCATGACTTTAGATGCAGGGCTTGTTTTTGTTATGCCTGTTTTTATTATTAAACTTACTATAGGATACTCACTTCTTTGTACACAATCTGCTTACTGTTAGAAAGAAGGAACAGATCTTACTAACACAGATGAAAGCTTCAGGATGTATGCAGACCACCTGCCTAAGGGAGACTACACAGAGTGTAAATTTCAGCACAAAGTCAGTTTTGCAGGAAGAGAATGTACACTGCAAAATAGAAATGTTCTTCCTGCAAAACTAACTTTGAAAAATTCAGTGAGTTACTTACAGTAAAATTCAGCTGACATCCTCCCATAATATAGTCAAGAAATGTGCATTCCACTATAATCTAAAAGCAAATAGCAATGGTTAAAATGCAGGCTTTCCTCTTGAGAAAGAGAAACAAAGAGCTCTCTGAGAAAAAATTTTAACAGTTTATTAAATGAATAAAACTCATACACACATGTGGAAACCAATCCTGCACTTAAGTTTAAGGCCCCTGCCCTACATGTCATGGACTGGATTTTACTTCAAGATAATTAGAGCAATGTTCAGATTAGAATAAAACAGCCAACACTGAAATATTTTACATTTTAAGAAACTAATAATCAATCTAATGTATTGACAGCTTTAATAAGCATAATAATCAAGATATTTTTAAAAGCTCACTTGTTTCTTATAAGAAATCTCTTGGATCACTCCCCCCAATTCATAATGTCATTCCCACCAATGCAATGGAAAAATACCACAGGGCCTCACATTTCCTAAAGTAATGAAAAACCTTAATATCCTGTCCTTCCTAAAATGTTATCATACCTTGAAAGCAAAGTTACTTGAAATATTTCTTTACTATTTCCTACTCTGTTTTTCTCCCTAATGTGTGTGGGCTCACGTGATTCTCAGCTGCCCCAGATATAGCTGTGATGTACCACACTGACAGAACTGGATATGGAGCCTCATTACATGAACAGTGGTCAGAGTCAACTGACCTCACATTGCTTCACACTGATGACACCTGAATTCTTGTAGCTCTTTTTCTTCTGTCTCTTTTTTTCATTTATGCATTCAAATTCAATCTGCAGTAAGAAAAAACGAAAGGTTTGTTATCACTAGTGATATCAGAAATGCCAATGTGAATTTACTAATTTTTTTAGAGAGAGGGTAATGGAGGGAAACATCAATTTGTGGTTGCCTCTCACACACCTCCTACTGGGGACCTGGCTCACAATCCAGGCATGTGCCCTGACTGGGAATCAAATCAGCAACTCTTGATTTATAGGCCAGCACTCAATCCACTGAGCCACACCAGCCAGGGCAGAAATGTCAATGTGAATTTAAACGAGTGACTCAAGCTACCTCCTAATGTAGGTCTATTGCAAAATACAACTATGAAACAATGACATAATCTACTAAGTATATGAAATAGTAAAATTTCCAAAAAGCATTCCTAAAATTATATACCTTTTAAAATAGTTTGTAAATATAAATTTCTTTGCAAATCTGCTAAGTAATAATCTTGTTCTGTACAATAAAGAAACTAAATTATTTTACTTCCAGTTGTTACCCTCACAGGAAACAAAATACGCTGCTTAGAAAAGAAGAAAACCTACCACAAGAAAACAGAGATATATGAAGACCAATTCCATGGTAAAATACATTATCTCTTTCCACTGAAAATGTGTGTTACATATAGATCTAATGTTGTCCTCAGTATACTTCCTTCCCCAGACAGACTGGTCTTCCTTCCCACCTCCTGTCCACCTGTCCATCCATAAAGCTTGGCTCATGTCCTCCCCTGTTCTGGTCTTCTCTGATGTTCACTTCTCTCTTTAAACTTCTGCAGCCATATAAAACTAATTAACATACTTTGTATTATCCTCAATTGTTTCATTCATTATTTATTTTCATAGCTAGAGTATAATGCCCTCAAATTTATACCTGCAAATTCTCACTGTCTTACCTAATAAGTACATAAGAGATACTCAATGAATACTTGATAGGTCAGCTCTTCTGGTTAAAAGAAGAGCTGACTTCTATATTACTAATTTTCTAAAAACCAAACATTAAAAAGTACATTTGATACAATGATATAAAATGAAAGTATGTTAAATATTTTGAGGGTCTGGGATCCTTCCAGAGTCTCACTCATCATCATAAATACAAAATACTGAGTATTTCAGGTGCAGAAATGCTCTACATAGAATTCTCACTAGTCAAAGGCTGCATTACTTCATGTACTCACACTCTCATAAGGTAGATGCTGTTCCAGGCACTGAAAACAGAGATAAAAAAGAGCCCTACCTTTAAAGAACAAGAGTGATAAAGAACAAGAGTGAAGACTTCTAGCCAAGATGGAGGCACAGGTAGACACACTGTGCCTCCTCCCATAACCAAAATAAGAACAACAATTTATCAACAAAAAAACAACCAGGACCAGTGGAAAATTGAACTGTGTGGAAGTCCAACAACCAGGAGTTAAAGCAGACTTATTCATCCAGACTGGTAGGAGGGGCAGAGTCTGGCATTCAGGTGGTGAGAGGTCATGGCAAAGTGGTGGCTGGCAGACCAGGGCACGCAAGGTAGCAGCTGGTGGACCCAGCAAGGTGGTGGATTGTGGAAAGGCGCAGTGAACAAGGTGGCTGGCAGACTGGGTAGTCCCACATTCACATGCAGATAAACCGGGTGAAACTTAGGAGCAAGATAGAGCTAGAAACCCAGGGTGCAGTGTGGAAAAATAAAGCCTCAAAATACTGATTGAAAACACCTGTGGGGGTTGAGATGCTGGGAGAAACTCCCAGCCTCACTAGAGAGTTTGTTGGAGGGTCCTAGAACATACACAAACCCACCCACATGGGAATCAACCCCAGAAGGGCCCAGTTTGCTCAGCAGAAGCAGGGGAAGTGACTGAAATCTGGCAGAGAGGGGAGCAAGTGCCACTGTTTCCTCTCTGACCCCTCCCCCACATACAGCATCACAACCCAGCAACTGGGTTGCCCCACCCCGGTGAACACCTACGGCTCCACCCCTCACCATGTAACAGGCACATTGAGACAAAAAAAGTGGCCCAAATGAAAAAAAGATCAAAGCTCCAGAACAAATACAATTTAGTGACAAAGAGATAGCCAATCTATCAGATGCATAGTTCAATACACTGGTAATCAGGATGCTCACAGAATTGGTTGAATTTGGCCGTAAATTAGATGAAAAAATAAGGGCTATGCTAAGTGAAATAAAGGAAAATGTATATGGAACCAATAGTGATAGGAAGGAAACAGGAACTCAAATCAACGGAGTGGACCAGAAGGAAGAAAGAAACATCCAGGAGTTCCAGTCCAGATGGAGGCATAAGTAGAAACCCTTCATCTCCTCTCACAACCAAAAGGAGGATAACAAGCAATATAAAATCAATAAAAAACCAGAAGCACCAGAAAATCAAACTGCATGAAACTCCGACAACCAAGGAATTAAAGAAAAATCAACCATAACAACCAGACTGGTAAGGCAGACCCTGCGGGGAGGGTGACTCAGAAAAACCTCCGGAGGTGGCTGAAGGGCGAGGTTGACTGCCAAGCTGTAGGAGCTGCTCAGGAGAGACTGACTGAAGAGGAAAACTGAGACTCAGAACTGACTGTGGGCTACAGCTGGGGGGTCGCCATGGCGGGAGATACTTCCAGTCTGACTCAAGAGTCTATTGGAAAGTGCATTGGGGACAAGCAGGGGAGCTGCGTTTCTCCCTTTCTGGCCCCTCCCCCACAGGCAGCACAGCAAAGAGGGTTGCCCTACCGGGGCAAATCCCTAAGGCCCTACCCCTTACAATTTATCAGGTGCCAAGACAAAGAAATATGGCTCAAATGGAAGAAAACAGCAAAACCTCAGAACTAGGCGATGAGGACATTGCCAACCAACCTAACTGATGGAGAATTTAAAGCCCTGGTAATCAAAATGCTCACAGAACTGATTGAGCTTGGTCAAAAAATGAAAGATACCTAAGTGAAATAAAGCAAAATATTCAGGTAACTAACAGTGACAAGAAGGAAACCAGGATTCAAAGCAATGATTTGGAACAAAAGGAAGAAATAAACATCCATCTGGATCAGAACAAAATAACAAGAATCCAAAAAAATGAAGAGAGGCTGAGGAATCTTTGGGACAATCTGAAATATTCCAATAACCAAATTATAGGGGTGCTAGAAGGAGAAGAGGAAGACCAAGAAATTGAAAACTTATTTGAACAAATAATGAAGGAAAACTTCCCTAATCTGGCAAAGGAAATAAACTTTCAGAAAGTCCAGAAAGCCCAGAGTCCCAAAGAAGTGGGACCCAAAGAGGAACCTACCAAAGCACATCATCAGTAAGTTATTCAAGCTTAAAGATAAATAGAGAATCTTAAAAGCAGCAAGAGGAAAGGAGAAAGTTACCTACAAAGGAGTTCCCATAAGGCTATCAGCTGATTTCTCAAATGAAACCTTACAGGCAACAAGAGGCTTGAAAAAAGTATTTGAAGTCATGAAAGGCAAGGACCTATACCCAAGATTACTCTACCCAGAAAAGCTTTCATTTAGAATGGAAGGGCAGATAAAGTGCTTCCCAGATAAGATCAAGTTAAAGGAGTTCATTATCACCAAGCCCTTATTATATGAAACGTTAAGGGGACTTATCTAAGAAAAAAGAAAATAAAAAATATGAAAAATGAAATGACAACAAACTCATAACTATCAACAAATTAACCCAAGAGAAAAGATAAAACAACAAAAACTAAGCAAACAGCCAGAACAGGAACAGGATCAGAGAGATGGACATCACACAGAGGTAGTTCAGTGGGGAGGGGGAAGGGAGGAATAGGGGGGAAAAGGCACAGGGAAGAAGAAGCATAACTAGCAGGCATAAAATAGGTGGGGAAAGATAAACTATGGTATAGGAAACAGAGGACTCAAAGAACTTATACGTACAACCCATGTGAACTAAGGATGGGGGAAATGCTGAGGGTTGTGGAGGCAGGGTAGAGGGGGGAGAAAGGGGGAAAATTTGGGAAAACTGTAATAGCATAATCAATAAAAATACTTTCAAAAAGAAAAAAAAGAAAGAAACATCCAATCAGAAAAGAATGAAGAAACAAGAATTCAAAAAAAAATGAGAGGCTTAGGAACTTCTGGGACATCTTTAAACATCCCAAAATCCAAACCAGGAGGAGACTGCTCTATCCAGCAAAGCTATTATCTAGAATGGAAAGGCAGATAAAGTGCTTCTCAGATAAGGTCAAGTTAAAGGAGTTCATCATCGCCAAGCCCTTATTACATGAAATGTTAAAGAGACTTATTTAAGAAAAAGAAGATAAAAAGCATGTACAGTAAAATGAAAGCAAACTCACAATTACTAACAACCACACCTAAAACAAAAACAAAAACAAACTAAGCAAACACCTAGAACAGGAACAGAACTACAGAAATGGAGATCACATGGAGGGTTAGCAACAGGGCAATCACAAGAGAGGGGGGGAAAAGGTACAGAGAATATGTAGCATAGATGGTAGAAAATAGACAGGGAGAGGGTAAGAATAGTATGGGAAATGTAGAAGCTAAAGAACTTACAAGTATGACACATGGACATGAACTAAAGGGGGGGAATGTGGGTGGAGGGGTGCATGGTGGAGGGGAGTTAAGGGAGAAAATGGGACAACTGTAATAACATAATCAATAAAATATATTAAAAAAAAACAAGAGTGAGCAGGCCTGTCACCACAGCAACACTAAAAGCTTCATTTCCCACAAATTAGCTGGATTTACAAAAAATTTTACATGATCCATTATCTTCTAAAAGTAGGTCATTTACTGACTCTGGAAATAATTAACTAATCCCAGTGAAACATCAACCCAGACCACTCCTCATATTTAATTCCTTTGGGAGGCCTGCTTTACTTTATTCAGGTTTTCAACATTTTCCATTCATTACACCTTAAAAAAAATCTTTAAATAGAATATTTGCAGCTAAACTTTGCTTCTGTGTCAATTCAAAGTCAGTTAACTCAAAGCCAAATTAATGTCTGCATTGAAAACGTAAGTGGGACTTCAAAAGCCTCTGCTCCATCCCACCAGCATCTCGTTACTTGCTGTTTCTAATACCTGGGCTTTGTCTGACCAGAAGCACGGACAGACTGGAGATCTCCGTGACCCACTGAAAATTCTAGTTCCTTTATGTTTATTTAAAACTCATTTTCTCCCAATTACTTAAACCAAATGGCTCATAAGTTTAATTTATTCATTCAATTTTTAAATTTTGATCTAAGTTTCAGAGGCACTCTTAGAAATATGTTGAGAAGGCAGACACACTGTTACTAGTAGTCAGTTTCCCCAGAGTGCCAGGGAGTCTCCCCATTGGCCAAGATGGTACCATGGGGAGGTTCTTATATTGAGTGTATGGAAAGCTAGAAATATCAGTATAGAGGGCTCAAGTGTACAAAAAGTAACAAGATGATTGGATAGAGAAAAAACCCTTCCCCACCCCTACCATACTGGGTGTGGTACCATGGGAAGGCAGGCACACGTGCCACAAAAGTCAAAATGGTGCAGGGGACGTACTGGACCAAAGAGGCCAGTCCATCTAACCTGGGGAAAAAATGGATTGGTTGGGAGATGGACCCACCCAAAGTGCACAAAAGTTTGGAAAGTTGATTGATCATTTTGAAAAAGCACCTGGTCTATCCCATACCATTACTTTAGGTATGGTCTATCCCATACCTAAACTAATGTAATATCAGAGAAACAAAGAAGTTCTCTCTTGCTCATGACTTGAGGGCTTGCTTTCTTGCTTGCTCATGACTTGGACTTGCATAATGCACTTGCCTATTCTCTCTATGGGTAGCCCATGGCTTCCAGGAGGGAGTCTCTCTCTCTCTCTCTCTCTCTCTCTCTCTCTCTCTCTCACCTTCCTGGGAATGTTTTTGCCCGCACACCTGTGTGTTCTCCAGGAATTATGTGACCTTGCAGCCCTAGCAGCCACAGTGCCCATGGCCATGTGGGCTCCACATGCAGGTTCCAGGAGGGAGCCTAAAATGAATAGCAACCTGGAACAAGGTAAGCTACCTGGATGGGGACTATGATAGCTTAGCAGAGCTACCTGTGGGCTCCAAAGGACTGTACTTTAAATTGAAGCAGAAATTATGGACATTGGCTTTTGTCTTGATTCAGCTGAGAAGGGCTTTGAGATGGGAGTCTGCCATTCTCCCAGATTGTGCTGCAGCTGCATAAAATTTCTTTCCTTTTGCATCAGCAACTGCCTCACAAGTTTGGCTTTGTGGCAACAGTGGCTGGACCCGTTTTTTTGTTTGATTACAACATGATCTTAACATAAGTAGAGCCATTAGATAACAGCCATATTTCCTCATTTGAAGTACCATATCTGTGCTTTCATCCTTCCATAGGTAAGGACAAATCAGAGAGAAGAGCCAGAGGCAGGCTGTAGAAGTATACAGGTTTAAAAAAGTGTACACAGGTATTTGTCCAGTGCTGTGGATATTAATTTTTGTGACCAATAAAATACCAAACACTTGAAAAATAAGAATTTTCAATGAAACCATGAATGTTGTCTATAGCCAAGAAAACAAAACCTCTAAATCTTACATAAATTCACACCCCAAGTATGAATTTTGGGTCATCTGATTATTAAACAAATAATACTCACAGATGTCTGAGCATCATATACTATGGAGTAAAATATGTGGTAAACATGTGCTATGCCAAGGGAAAAAATGTAAAACTAGCCTTATGGCCAAACTGTCAGGTATTTTCAAACAACAAAAATGCAACTTACAGGTGAGTTCCTGGAGGCTTCTTTCAGTTTGGTCATGGTGGTTTGAAATGTCCCAATGAGATCATGTGACCCATCATTATCATAATCATAGCACTCTACCTAGAATTAAGTATGACAAAAATATATAAAAACCAACATAACTGTGTTAAAAAAGAATTGGCTGTAATCAGTGGAACTTACCAAGAAGTGCCCTTTTCGTTCAAGTAAGTAAAAATATTCAGTGTGGCCCTGGCTGGTGTGGCTTAATGGATTGAGCACCGGCCTTCGAATCAAACAACTGCCAGTTCAATTCCCAGCTGGGATGCATGTCTGGGTTGCAGACCAGGTCCCCAACATGGGGTACATGAGAGGCAACTGCATATTGATGTTTCTCTCCCTGTCTTTCTCCCTCCTCCCACCCTCTAAGAATAAATAAAATCTTTAAAAAATATATTCAGTGTGCAGGTTTCCTTGGTGAGGTAGGAACTGACTTCCTGGAACCCTTCCGAACTCTAGTGACCCTGGGATGGGTTCCAGGGCAGATCACAGACAGATGAAAAACAAGTACTGTTCAATTTCAACATTAAGCAGTTTCCAGTACCTCTATCATGTCCTCTGTAAGTGTTGATAAAATCGAAACAGAATTTCACTTCTTCCTCATCCACTTCTTTACCTTTTATCACTGACCAACACATAAAAGCCATTAACTGGAGGAAGAGAGGAAGCCAGTGTGTAGGCAGCTGAAAGGCATAATTAAATTCTAGATGACTTAAAATCATGGAGTGTTTCATCCTGCCATTTGGTAAGGCTGGGCTTGCATGAGGGTTAGACATGATAAAGTCAGATGACAGCACTCTGAGGAGCACAGCTCCTTTGATGAAAAGGAAAACTCAGGGGAAAAGTAATGAATCCCTTGTGAAGTCTCTGCTCCCACATAAGGATAGTGAAGTCCAGCCTCAGCAGCAGCTTTCACTCAGTGTGTGCTCTGTCTCAAAGCCAATGGCACAGAGCTGAATGTGTGATTCGTCATGCGGTTTGGTGCCAGGTGGTCAGATGTAGTGGAAAGTAAATATTCACAAGAATGCCTGAATTATCTGTCGCAACAAGAGACTTAAGGTGATGTAAGTTGTTAGCCAGCAGAGGTGTTATGGTGAACAATGAATAACCAATGTCTTCTTAGTGCTTTTAATTTCAAAATAGATCATCTTATTTCTACAAACCCTTATTATATATACTGCACACATTAGCTATTAAAAGCTTGTGAGGTAGCCAGAGGTATTAGATAGTCTTGGAAGATATTCCTTGTGTGGGGCCCAATATAGTTAAAGAAAAGCTGTGCTAACAAATCTCGAATCCTTTTAGGACTCATGATTGCCTGTATCTAAAAAGCTATTGGCATTGACCCCATGCCATCTTGCTATCATTCTTCACAGAATTATGTTAATCACCAAACTAAAGTGCTCACTCATAGCATTTCATAGCATGAAATTAATAAATTTCATAAGCCTCACCATAAATTTTAGAATTTATACATCTCACCTGACAAATTTTTCTTTTTAGTTGTATGAGAAGTGAATCAATTACTTATCATAACAGAAAGCCTTTCATTCCTTTATTTCCATTTTTATTCAGGAAGACTAACCATTGATCAATGAATAAAAACAAACAAGGTCTAGAATTGCAATTCTGAGTAACTGTTAAGAGTTTTCATTGGTTGAAAGCACTTTGGCCACTGACCAATCCTGAGATTTTGACTCACCCTGTATATGTGATGCTTAATTTTTAAGACAAAAGGCCTTTTTCTAACTTCTTAAAGTATCAGGGAAAAGAAAAATAATGATATTAACTTTTTTCTAGATGAATTAAAACAAGATAAAGTAAAAACAATCTTAATATTTTAATAATTTTTAAAATATATTTTATTGATTATGCCATTAGTTGTCCTTTTCCCCCTTCATTCCCCTCCACCCTGCACACCTCTCCTCCACCACTCACTCCCCTTCGTTTATGTCCATGTGTCACAAGTTCTTTAGATTCTATATTTCCCATACTATTCTTGCCCTCCCCCCGTCTATTTTCTACCTACTGTCTATGCTACTTATTCTCTGTACCTTCTCCCCTCTTCTTCTCCTCCCACTCCCCTGTTGCTAACCCTCCTTGTGATCTCCATTTCTGTGGCTCTGCTCCTGATCTAGCTGTCCTCTTGACCTTATCTGGAAAGCACTTTATCTGTCCTTCCATTCTAAATGAAAGCTTTGCTGGATAGAGCAATCTTGGATGTAGGTCTTTGGATTTCATGACTTGGAATACTTCTTTCCAGTCACCTTCTAGCCTTCTTGCTTGAGAAATCAGCTGACAGTCTGATGGGCACTCCTTTGTAGGTGACTGTCCCCTTATCTCCTGCTGCTTCTAGAATTCTCTCCTTCATTTTAATCTTGGCTAATATAATGATGATGTGCCTTGTGTGTTCCTTCTTCGGTCCAACTTCTTTGGGACTCTCTAAGCTTCCTTTCTGGATTTCCTGGAAGTCTATTTCCTTTGCCAGATTGGGGAAGTTCTCCTTTATTATTTGTTCAAATAAGTTTTCCACTTGTGGTTGTTCCTCTTCCCCTTCTGGTACCCCTATAATCCAGATGTTGGAACGTTTAAAGATGTCCTGGATGTTCCTAAGCCTATCCTCATTTTTTTGAATTCCTGTTTCTTCATTCTTTTCTGTTTGGTCATTTTTTTCTTCCTTCTGGTCCACTCCCTCGATTTGAGTCCCAGTTTCCTTTCCATCACTATTGGTTATAGTGCATTTCCCTTCATTTCAATTAGTTTATCCTTCATTTGTTCCTCTAATTTGTGACTAAAATTAACCAGATCTGTGAGCATCCTGATCACCAGTGTTTTGAACTGTGCCTCTGAAAGTTTGGCTATCTCTTGGTCACTTAGAATTATTGGTTCTGGGGCTTTCAGCTGTTCTTGAGCCATAATGTTTTGGTCTTTTTGCACCTGTTACATATGAGGGGCGGAGCCTTAGGTGTTCACCAGGGCGGGCCCACCGAGGTTACTGGGTTGTGTTGCTGTATGTGAGGGCAGGGTCAGAGAGGGGCAATGGCATTTGTTCTGCTCTCTATCAGATTTCTGTCCCCTCTGCCACTTCCCACAGCAAATTGGGCCCTTTTGGTGCTGGTTCCCAGGTGTGTGAGCTTGTGTACCCTCCAGGACCCTGTGGGTCTCTTTTAATTAACTCTCCCGGCACAGCACCTTGACCCCAAAAGTCTTTCCAATTGGTGCTTTCAGGCTCTAATTCCCATAGCTGGGGCCCTAGCCTGAGTGGTCTGTCTCACTGTTCGGTGCTTCACTTGGTTTATCTGCACTCCAATGCGTGACTACGGTCAGCCAGCCACCCTGCGCCCTCACTGTGGCAATGGGTCTGCCCATTGCCACCCCATGCCTGGTATCCACCAATTGCTGCTTGCGCTCCTGAGTTGGTTTACCGATTTTTCCTGCCTGACCCTGCTCCACCACTGACTCCGCCCCTCTTACCGGTCTGGCTGAATGGTTTGTTGTTGCCAGACTTCTGTACAGTCCAATTTTCTGTTTTGGCTGCGTTTTTGTTACTAAAACTTTGTTGTCTTTAGACTTGGCTGTGCGAGGAGGCACAGTGTTTCCACCTACGCCTCCATCTTGGCTGGAAGTCATATTTTAATAATTTCATTTTAATAGGTTCCTATATTTATGGACAACAGAATGTTACATTTTAGATTTGCATTCAGGAAAGTACAATTTGCACTTAAGGCAAAAGCAAGCTTTGATAATGCCAAGATTTTACTTAAACAAAGCATATGAAGAGCTAATACTGTTCATATGTTTAGTCTGCCTGAAACTTCAGGAAATGCAGAAATAGTTTTCAATTTTAATTTCTAATAACTCACTATATTGCCCCATTGAAGGCAAATGTTTGGTGCTTAAGAAAAAATGTGGCATTTATGATGCTAGCAAATGTTGAGATACCGTTCGAAGGAAGATGATATAATGACTGTGTCATTTAATTTCTCTTCTCAATAATTCAAATATTAAGCCTACTGTCTGCTTTAAACAACAGTATCATGGTGTTTGTGAAACTGAAACACATGCATATATACATCTGTACACAAGTATATATGTAAAGAATTCACACACCATACAATACCACATCTACTAAGGCATTCCCACTCCAGGCAAGGTGGCAGCATGCATGATTATTTCTCAGTCACTAGATGTTATGAAAATGATAATACATGCTAGAGTGAACATTCATATTGCAGCAAAGAAACTGCTGATGACTGTAACTCTGTCCTCTGCTCTGTAACTCTTTATGCACCTCTAAGCAGTTTCCAAATACCAAGAGAATCACAGATGTATGACTTCCTGATATTGCAAAGAGATACAGACAGTGATGATGTAGCAAACCAAGTTGTATGTCATTAAAACAAACCAAGAAACTTTTAAGAATGGAAGGCATACATCAGAGTAAGCTTAGAAAACCAGTTTACTTACTATAATAAAATAGCCCTGTACGCAAGCCACTGTGTGCAGAAAAAGTTTAGAAAACATTGTTTCACCATTAACATATTATAATCAAATAGTTTTGATTTAGATATATTTTCAAGGCCTCTCTGGCTTCTCAGATCTAACGAAGCTTCAACTTACTACTTTTCATGTGAAAAGCAAAAGCTCTAGATTCAGTACAATAAGTAAATTTTTTAAAATTTTTATAAGAGTTTATTTGAGCCAAACTGATGACATATGCTAGGGAGAAAGATCTTAAATGCTCTCAAAAGTAATTTTTAAAGCTATTTTTCTACTATTTATTTTGTACTGTATGTGCCTGCATGGTATGTAGGTTATTTTGAGCTAAAAGCAACTGAGACACTCTGGGCTGAAGAAAAATTTATGCTCCTCCCTTAATTATCTAGAAGACATTAATTTAGGAGCCTGATCCATGATGACAGTTATCATGAGAAATGACTTTTTACTTGTCTATATGGCAGGGCAAACTAATAATCACTGAACATGCGCTATCCCTCAATGACCTTTCAACACCCCAAGGTGTCTTACATGCTCGCTAGCCCAGAATATCTTCTAGACCTGTTTCCCTTTGTGTCTGTGACTCTCTTATGTAGGAAGGGTTCCCCTAACTATGTAATTAAATTTGATCAATTTATCTTGCCAATTTGTCTTGTGTCTATTTGAATGTATCTGAGACGAGCCAACAGAACTTTGAGAGTAAAGCTTGTTCCTCCCCTGCCCAAAAGCTAACTTTCCACTGCTGTTAGAAATACCATACAACTTATACTGACATTATTTTTTAAAGTTCTTTGCAGTTTTCAATAATAACAGTATCTGTACCGTGTTTAAGAGTTTATAAAACTTTAATTTTTGCTAATTTAATCCTCACTTTTTTGCAGTGTAGACATTATTTTCCTTATTATATAAGTAAAGACATTAGATGGCCTGCTCAAGGTCATCCCTTAGCTGCTTCAAGGACTGAGTTAAGACTTGCACTGTTATCTGATTCTCAGTTTGTTCCGTGCCATCAGCCTCCCTGTATTCACCATATTCATTATGAAAAACAAAAACGAAAATCCATGTCAGCTTTGGAACCTAAGAAAAGGCTTCTATCTGGTATCTTATGTCCACAAGTGACTCTAGTATAAAAATATCTTTAAAATAATATATTTTTTGATAAATGGTTAAATTAAGAACATTTAAAAAAATTCTTAGGCATCTGCTTCTGCCACTCTGCCTTCCTGATCCTCCAAAACTGAAGCCACCTAAACATTTCCAGTGCTTGTATTTTGCTCTGGAAATAAGCAACAGAATACCACCATTCTTTATTATCTGCTGTGCTAGGGGCAACAGCTGCTTTATCCACAAGGGATACACCAGAGGCAAAGAGGGTACTTAAAGGTCCTATTCATGGAATAAAGAAATTTTTTTAAAAGGCAGAAAAATTTATATTAGACATTTTATTTTAAAAATAAAAGTAAAATAAAAATTATAATGCTTGATTCAGCATTAGGTCAACAGATCAGTCAAATATGTTGTATCTTCAAACTATTTATCATCAGAAGCATCTCTACTTTAGTATTCCTAAATATGAACAAAACTGAATCCTACACGTCTCTGTTGCATCATGTACTCTCTTTAAATACTATCAAATCAATCAATTTTACAAAAGAGGTGAGTTTGCATAAATAATTTCAAATTACCTTAATAGTTTTATCCATATCTCCATAGCATAGTGAGTTAAGAGAGATTTTAAAAGGCCTCCAAACAGGATTCAGGTTGTTTTTAATAACCTATAAAAATAGATTTTTGAGGACAAGTTAGGAAAGCATTCAGTTCATTAGCATTTTGTTCTTGCCTTTCCTAGATTCCACTGTGCTTTAATCATTCATCCTTTACCTCTTTGGCCAATCAACATTTTTACTGAAAAACTACCTAGGCCAATATTATACAACTGTTATAGAAAAACTGTGACAAACCGTTTAGTTGGAATACATGCTAAGAAAAGAACAAAACTACATGGGAAATACATCCACTCATTACAAGATATGCCTGTGTCAGAAATCAGGGTTTCCAATGCAGGGTATAGAAAACTGAAATATGAAATAAGAAAGTTTGAGAAAGAACTGTGCTGGGTTGGATTTGGTTAAAGAAACAGTCTTAAGTTCATAATTTAAAATTTTTAAATATACATAAAACATATATATATATTTATGCTTCCCAGCTGAGTAAATTAAAAAGGCCTAAATGCTATGACATCCCAGTAACAATGAGTACATCTAGCCTTCAGATCTTGGCAGCTAAATACCACCACCCTCTTAAAGGAACATAGTTGCTTCAGAGAAATGGGTTGTTCCAGACCTGGCACAGAAGAAGCTGAGGGTGAACTGAGACTGCAATATAAAATAAGAGAATGGTTAAAGAGTTAAAGATTAGGGGTCATGTTAAAAGAAGCCAGGAGCCATTTGAAGGCACTCCTCTAGTCAAATCTGGATTAATTTGAGCAGTAAAATGGGTGACAGTAACAAATTACAAATAATGAACATGCTATGTTATAATAATCCATGAGTCCACAATGACACTAAAAATAAGGAAGGAGAAAGTGAGAGAGGAGTATCTGCTAAGATGCATGAAGGGACAGAAAATACAGAAAAGAATCACTGTGTTATAACCCAATATAATAAGTGGTTCAGGTATGGATCATGGGTAGGTGCTAAATCCAGTGGGTGTAAGGTAGAACAGCCTCAAAGTGACACACCACAGACCACCTATTAATTACAAAGGGGTAGTCATAAGCATAACCACATGGGCAAGGTTGGCCTCAGCAGTACTAGGCAGCCTGACACTGTGGGTCCAAGGCTGGTGTAGAGCATGAGACACACAGAGTGGTCCTGATGGCACATCTCAGCAGAATCTAGCTGTGAGGAAACACAGGACTCCAGAGTGTTGGACATACTGTGTTGGGAACCACCCTGCCTGGTTTCAGAAACTGTAACCCCCTATGGCTAAGGCTGAGTGAGAGACCTTGAGACCCTAAGCCACTAAGGAGACAAAGCTTACCTCCTGGGCAGGAGCACTGCCTCTGCCCACTTTACTTTACCCTGCCTGCCCCCCAGTGCATGACCGGTTAGCCAATGATGGGTAAGATTCTTCAAGGGAGGGATGACCTAAGACAGGCATGGTCACCATAGGGCCCTCGAGGAAGGACTTGAGGGCTAAGGAGAAAGGGGGTGATGCATTCTCAGCTTTGACTTAGCCTGAGTCCTCATTCTGTCTGCAAGAAGTCTCCTATCTCTTGGCTACCTCACTTCCCCTGCTTGACCTAAGCCTGAAACAATGCTGAAGGAGGGTGCAGCCCTGCGGTTGGAAAGGGCGATCTTCCTGGGGCAATCAGGCCTAAGAAAGAAAGCATAAAATCCTGTGAAACCTGCTTTGCTAATACCCTGGTTTTCAATAAGGGTCCAAGCATGAAATGAGTTTGTTTCCCTAAAGTTTTATAGCCCTTTAGCTATCTGACCCTGACTCAAAATAAGCCCTCATAGTTCTTTGAATGTTACCTATTTGAGTATTATTGCCTGACAATGACTGATGAGCTTTCCACATACATCCTCTATTTCTATGCAAATTAAGCCAATAAAAGCCTGTCAAGGCAAGCATCTGGGTGCTCTCCTCTTGAGAGGTGACCATGCCATCCCTTTTCCTCCATAGGACTCAGTAGTCCATGTGAATTTGTCTAGTATCTCATCCACAATGTTGCAGACACTTCAGACTGGTGTCTACTTCAATGCTGGTCTGATTATTCAAGAGATTTGTTGGTGGAGAGGTGTAGGAAAATAAGAAGAATCTTATACTGGGAACATAATAGTTAAATGCAAAATGTGAACTTTGATTGATTCTGCACAAAACAAAACGATACGCTTATAAACATGTGAGACAGCTGGAAAGGCCTGAAGACACTGTTATAAACCATGTTAACTCTTTCAGATATGGCTGTGTAGGGAAATGCTCTTGTTTTCAAGAAATTCCTGCTCTACTATTAAAAGGTGAGGAGTTGCCTGAAGCCAACATCAGGACAACTCTGAAAAAGGGAAGTACCTATGTGCAGGTATGTGAGTCTGTGCGTGTATGTGTGTGTGAGAGAAGGTACAACTATACAGGAATACTTTACAGTGTTCTTTACAGGATTTTAAATTTTTCAAAATAAAAACTTTACTAATAATTAAGCAGGGTAGCACCTCCTCATTAAAAGAAAAAAAATCAGCATGTTGACTGTATGTCTCTGGCTATATATGTGTGAACTCAGACATTTTTATAGAAACATAATTTGAAAAAAAATTTAGATTACTATAATTCTGAAAGAAACCTCAACCCTATTTTTCAAATTCAGATGTTCACCTCTGTTCGATGAATCATGAGCCAGTTTCCATCGGATGTCTGCTTGTGGAATTCCAGGTATGGATCTGACTTTCCAAATAGATCCTACATTAATAAGAAAAAGCCATTATTTTCCTTTAAACCATTTTATGCCTATTACATGTTAATAACACCTGAACTCTGTCCCCCAGAGTACAGATATACAGAGTACAGTACCATAGTAAATACAAACCCATCTCCTTCCTCACAGACTTGCTGACATCTACCAGGAAAACTGTGATAGTATTTCTGATATATGTTCCTAGTCCTTACTTCTCAAAAAACATGATGACTTTAAAATATAGTGATCAATATGATCCATCAATATAATATATCTTGGGCTGTTTTCATTAACATTGTTCATTCACACAGCACTAGGTAGTGTTTACGTAAGCAATATTCCAAACACTAGTCATGCTAACTCCCTGAGGGACCAGCAATAAAATGGATTCAGAGAGGTTAAATGATTTGCTAAGATGACATATCTAATTGCTGATGGACCTGAGTCTTGACTCCATATATTATCCTTCTATGTCCAATTCCACACACAAGAGAGCAGAGGTAAATATGTGGAGTGTGCAACAGAATTACTTCAAGGCCACCCATCTTTTTCTTCTGTAATTTACCACAGTACTCTTATACAGTGCTCAGCACACTGAGCGCTCAAAACTGTCCTTACCACCACCCTCAACATATATACACATAGGAGATAAAATTAGAAAAGGATATACAACTCACTCCCATAAGTTAAACTCAAGTAATGAGATTATGGATGGTTATTTCCTCATTTTATTTATCTTCACTTTGAAATCTTCATACTCCTTAGAATACATTACTTATTATTTGTCAAAATGAAAGGACACCTGTTAACTCTACAATAATATGTATAGCTATGTCTTTCAATTGAAGAGTTTTGAGTCCTGAATTAACCTCAGTACTAAATTAAGAACAAAGGGTATCATTTCCCTACTTAGTATAGTTTATTGTCAAGCAAGAAACACAGTATAGTCAAAAAATATATAAACACGAGGACTAGGAAGAACTAAAATTTAACTTTATGTGCAAGAAGAATGGTAAGTAAATGTAATAAGCCACTCTATGCCACATTTTATATTGTAAAACTAGTTAACAGCATTATACAGAGACATTAATTTTCTAAAAACACACTAATCTACCCTATCTCACTTATTGTAGAAATAAACCTATTACAGAGGCAAAATAGCATTATAACCATTTTGAAGGTAAGAAAACAGTCCTTGTTTAAAAGTTCATTAGTGTTAGAAGTTCATTAAGTTAGCAATAGTAGAACCAAAAGAAGAATTAAAAGTCCCTGACTCAGACCTCCAAATATGTTACATGAAAAAAGGAAAGTGAAGGAAAGTGTACATGTGGTATGATAAACTTACCAAAGGGCCTGGGGTGGGAACAATACAAATACAAATACAGACAGACCACATACACACACATCTCAATTGATAGATACATACACATATGGGGGGGACCCAAAAATCATCCAGAATTTATTATAAACAATTATGTATTTATTCTTAAATGCTTAAACTTCAGCCACCTTCAGAGTACTCTCCATCTGATGCAATACACCTATCAAGACATTTTTTTCCAGCGCTCAAAACAGTTTTTGAACTGGTCAATTTTGATGCCTTTTAGTGCTTCTGCCATTTTTTGTTTCACCTCTTCTACATCAGCAAAACATTCTCCTCTGAGGACATTTTTCATCCAGGGAAACAAAGACAAAGTCGCTCAGGGCAAAATTGGGTGAATAGAGAGGGTAGGGCACTGGAGTCACACCAAAAATTGCTGAACACCCAGTGCAGTGTGGGTAGGTGCACTCCTAAATTACTCATCATGAAATGAGCAAACATGTTGAATGAGTCTTCAAAAATATTTCACTGAAGCTGAACACAGCCTCTCACTACAACATCAGCTGGTGTACATGGGATCCAAGAACACTCACCCAGTGGGGGAAGCCTGTACTGTAAGGGGCCCACCCTCCAGGAGATAATTCCAGGTTTTTTGGATTCCCCCTCATACATATGTATATATATATATGTATATGTATACAGATACACAAATACATACACATATACATATATACAAAAAACCCTAGTTTTTTTAGGAAATTGAAAGATTAAACCACAAAATATAAATTAAAAATATTACCTGTGGGAGGAAAAAACAGTAGGCAGAGAAAGAAGCTAAGTTTCTTGAATATACTTTGTTATACAGATTTGGCATTGGAACCATGTAAATCTTTTATGATTATAAAACAAAATTAAATCAAAAAATGTTTAAAGGAATTCATGAATGTCGAAAGCAAAATTCTACTATGTGTCAATGTGACAGTATAATCATCAGAGAAGAATTATTTCTTTAAAACAAAAGTATTTGACTGTATCACCAAGTAGAATATAACCATAAGGATAAAAACTTCAAAGAAAGCTCAAGCCATTTCCAGTAAAAATATTTTAACTATAATCTGGATATTTTTATTCTGAAACTACCTGATACTATATAAGACAGAACAGATAAGCAATTATGTTAATATCTTTAGGAACCAAGATTTTCAACATAAGAAAAAACAGGTATAAATATAGAATTAAAGAAGTAGAGCCCTGTAATTCTATATCTGAATATCTGAATTGGAAATAATTGTATAAACTCATAATTTAGTTTTTCTTTTTTCTTACATTAAAACACTCATAATGGAGGTTTTCTAATTTTACTTCATGTACAAAGAGCAAGCTAGAATTGTTTGTATGGTAAGGCAAATGTCTTAAATAAGCAATTCAAGGAAGTTCACTTGGCCCAACTTAACAAAGGCTACACCTTCATGTACAGACAGAAATACAAGTGGCCCCTGTTGAAGCCATATGTCTAATCAGACCACCCAGTTTGAGCAGACACAGCAAGAACAAGAACCCTGGCCAAATTTTCTCAGATGGCTCCAGTAGAGCTGTTGGTAATTTATCTTGTTCTCCCCAATACGACAAGACAAAAGGAATTTAGTTTTTCTTAAAAAATAAAATAAAATCTTTCCTATATCTGACTACTGACTGAGAAGCCACAGAAACAATGAACAACCACAATAAACAGCTCCCTAGCACTTGCCTGAGGTCGTTAAGTACCAGCTTCCACTGACACACAGAATAGCACCATTTCATGTGCCAATCTGGGGCAGAGACTGAATGAACTAAGCCTGAAACACATGTCCTCCCATAGGGCAAATAAGCTATCAGAGACCCCTAGGTTGTCCAGATGGTTTCAGAGATAAATTAAAGAGGTCCCCAGAGGCCAAAGTTGGAATACTCTGAGTATCAATAAGAATTAGTCAATGGAGTTTACAGTAATACTAAAAATAAACAACAAACAAAAAACCCTCATTGGACACATTTAGAGAATAACAGGGAACCAAATTATTATTCCAAAAAATGGTAAATACAAGAAAAAAGGCAAACATTTTAACTTGCCTTTTCTGTAAAAGCTTTACCTCAAAATAAGTAAATGCCCAATGTGGAGAATACTTTCCTCTATAGACCTCTTCTCGCTGATAAATGAAGAAGCAATGATAGCATGAGGATATCACTATTTTACAGACCCTTAACAAAACAATATGTATAGGTAGTTATCATATCCCAAAATACACACTCGACAATGTGAGCCTCCTGATTATGGGGCACCACCTATGAAACTGCCTTACCAACAATTAAAAATACCATCCAATCATACCTCTAGATTCAATTACCAGCTTACAGAAATCAAGAAATAATGGTGGAAAATGCGGCAAGTTACACGACACCAAAGGGATTTAAGCAGGCATACACACTGTGGAAACTTCTACAGGACAAAGTATTCAATTTCTTTGTGCAATAAATTCCAGGAAGGATGGATGGATGGATGGATGAAAAGATGGATGTGAGGGAGAAAGGGACAAACTAAGAGAAGGAATGAGGGAGGAAGAGATGAAGGAAAGAAGAAAAAGAACGGAGGAAGTTTACAGGTTAAAATGATTTAAGAGACACATTAACCAATTATATTTTTAAGAATCTTTTGAAATATACCAGAATATTTACAGATGAAATGGTATGATGGCTGGGAAGAAGGAAAGAAAATAGGGGTAGAGATGTAACGCCACTGGTCACAAGTTATAATAGTTTAAGATAGGTGATGGGACATAAATTTTTTTTAAAAATACTATTTTGTTTTATACTATTCTATTCTTAAAAATACTATACTATAGAATAATATTTTTTAAAAATACTATTCTATTCTATCTATATATTTAGATTTTTCAAGAAAAAAAGTCCCTAGCTACTAGCCTAACATGTTTGCAAACTAATGAGTAAGAAGATGCATACAATGAAGAATATTGATTGGATAATAAAGTAAAAAAGCATGTGAAGGATTATTCTAATCCATGTAATATACTATATTGTTGTATTATTATCTAATACATTCATCCTTCATTAAAAATATTGACTTCTGGCCCTAGCTGGTATAGCTCAGTGGATTGAGCGTAGGCCTGTGAACTAAAGGATCACAGTTCAATTCCCAGTCAAGGCGCATGCCTGGGTCGCAGGTCAGTTCCCGGCAGGGGACTCACCAGAGGCAACCATACATGGACATTTCTCTCCCTCCCTCCTTCCCTTCCCCTCTAAAGATAAATAAATAGTCTTAAAAAAATAAAAGACAATTGCTTTCTAGTTGTCTTTTTAAAAAATTGACTTCTGAATGCAAAGAGGAAATTCTGTAATTAATAAAGTATGAAATTTTTGCTTTTTTCCTTAAGGTAATCCAATATACCCTCTCTTCTATCTTTTCCAATAATATTAATGCTTATATTGACTCCTCGTTTGAGCCAGAGAAACCCTTTGATTATATTGAGAGGAAAGCAGTAAGGGGAAATGAGTTCTGCTTACACACACACACAGATACACATACAGAGAAAGACACACACTCATACAGACATACACAGACACATATATACACACAGCTACACACTCACATACACAGAGACACACACACAGGAAAACAGGATTTTGAAGAAACTAAAATTCCAAGTAATACTCAAATGATGGAGCTTATATTAACTGCAATATTACATATTTCTCAAACAAGAATCACTGTGTGGCAAACAAGATATATCCCTGTTAAAGTCTGCATCACCTACCCACCTTATTATCCAGTTTTCTTGCTTCCATTTCAAACAAGACCACTCTGTTATCCTTTATTTCTTCTGCTGAAATCTAAGAACAGATAAGGTAAGTGAAAGAAAGCTTGTTTTAGGGATTCTGCTATACTCAGGAAGTACTGATATTCTGTTACCTAATAGTATATAAAGTCTGTGTTAATATAAATAAATCATAAAATGGTTAATAACTAAGTGGTACATTTAAGAGATTTATCTTATAGTTTTTATGTACATGCAATAAATATTTTCCCAAAATATGGTGAATCTCATTATGCACCTTCCTTTTTAGAGGCTGTTGCCCCAACTGGATTTCCCAATTTCAGTGAGAAATCAAAGACCTGGAGAAAGTCACAACACCAGCTAAAGCTCTCTAAACCCTGAGAAGTAAGGAAATCATACCTAGAAAACCTATCAATTGAAATATCACATCACTATTTTTCATTTAACTTAACTTAGTTATTAGCTGTCAAAGGCCCAAGAGCAATAAAGGTAACTACCCACAATGTTCTCTGTGCCATGAAAGTTAGTACCCCTACAGACTGAATATTCTTACTGCTTTAGGAAATTTAAACAAGAGAGAAACAGCTGTTTAGGGAAATGAGTTTCATGATGGAAATGATCCTAAAATGAGGCTCTCAGGGAGTCAACTTTCAATTTGCAGAGCTAAAGTCAGAAACTATCCAGGAGTGATTGCCCAGACACAAGGTCCAGAAGGTAAGATCATTAAAAGCACAGCATTATATAACTTGGGATCTAAATTGGGATAAGATATACATTCATTGGCCCAGGGCCAGATGTCAGCTGGCAAGTCCTGCTGGGAGGATGGGCAGCAGAGTGTGAGCACTAAAAAAGAGGTGCCGGCCATGTCACAGTGTGAGACCCATCAGGAACAAAATCCATTCTGAAAATTCTGTCATTTTGAGGAGATAACTTTGCTTTGCATTGAGCCAGGTGGACCCATTCAGATAATTAAGTAGTTTCTTTCAAGCGGGGAATCTATACTTCCACGGGAGTAAGGCATATCACCAAGTTGCTCAGGACCCTGTGAACAACTTAAAAACTCAAAGGAATTGTGTGTGTGTGTGTTTCTTTTTTTGGCACACATATTTCCCATTTGTGATTGCTCTCAAGCAGGGTAGGAGGAGGTCACCCTTCAGATGAAATGATAAAGCATGGTTGTAAGGTACCTACCTGCCTGTACAGTTTCAGTGTGCCCTCTACATAAATCTTTTTACACAAAAGACAAATATCTTATTACCGTGATGCTGCCTTTACCCGCAGGTCTGCCATTTTTAAGCACCAGTGGTCGAGTCAACTTCTTACTGGAAACAATCTATTAAAAGAAGAGAGTGATAAAAAGAGCTTTTTCACTTTATCTCGTGACATTTGAAACTGAATGGTTTTGAAAAAAAAGTCTGAGTATAAAGTCATTAAGTCCATCTGTAAGGATGGAGTAATTATAAAATACATGGACACATTTAAAAATCTTATTTATTTATTTTTAGATGGAGGGGAGGGGAGGGAGAAAGAAAAGAAAAGAAATAATCATCAGTTGTCTTTCACACGCCCCAACCAGGGACCTGACCTGCAACAAAGGCAAAAGCCCTGAACGGGAGTTGAACCAGAAACTTTTTGGATTGTAGGACAATGCCCAACCCGCTGAGCTACACCAGTTGGGGCATGCTTGAAGAAGAATACTGGAGACATTTAAAACCAACTGGAGAGTTCCAAGATGGTGGGGGAATAAGTGGAAGCTACAATAACCTCCCCCTAGGACCAAGCTGGAATTACAACTAAATTGTAGAGAAATCATCCTGAATAACCAACTGAACATAAGCTGAAGAGAAGCCTTATAACCAGGGACAGACAGAAGACACTGCTTCACCACAATGAGACTGGTAGGGAGTACAGAGGAGGCATGAGAGGGCTGGCCAGGCTGCCACGGGTGGTAGCAGAAATTCCTGAGAGATATCTCAGCAGCTGGAGCATTTCCCCTGAGAAGTGTGACATCTAAATACCAAGTTGGGCTCTCTAGCCTATAGCATCAGAGCCTGAAAAAACCCAGGTAACATCAAGCTGTGAAAAGCAACAGGCTTTCTGTCTGCCAGGAAAAGATGGATGAGGATAAAGGAAGCCTCTTAGAGGGCCAATGCACAAAATTCAGTTTGCAGCACGTACCCCGGGCTGTGGCAGACGGAGGGCAAGAGATACTTGAGGAGAGTCTGGGTTTGGTGGCTCTGGAGAGAGAATGGAAAGAACAGCCACCAGGATCACTACACTGAATCATTCTATATACTACAGAAGCCATTTTTCTCAGGCGGAACACTTCTCCAAGTGGCATCAGCCTGAGGGGAAGCAATAGCCCTGGCCACAGGAATTGCTCTGTCCCACCCTGTGGTGTTTATGTAGACTGCTGATTAGAGCTTCAGACTGTATCACTGATCAGTTTAAGACACAAAATACAACAAAGCCACCAAAATGGGAACACAAAGAAACAGAACCCAAATGAAAGAACAAGAAAATTTACCAGAAAAACTAGATGAAATGAAGGCAAACAATTTATCAGATAGAGTTTAGAGTAATGATTATAAGGATACTCAATAGCATGAAAAAAAGACACAGAAACCATAAAAAGGACCAATCAGAAGAATGCAATATCTGAAATAAATAATACACTGGAAGGAATGAAGAGTACATTAGATAAAGCAGAGGATTGAATCAATATTTTAAAAGACAATTAAAAAACAAAAACAGACCCAAGCACAGCAGCAAAAAGAAAAAAGAATTTCAAAAAATTAGGAGAACTTAAGAAACATTTTAGACAATATGAAGCATAATAACATCCACATCATGGAAATACCAGAAGAAGAAGAGAGTGAGCAAGGGATTGAAAACCTATTTGAAGAAATGATGACTGAAAATTTCCCTGATCTGGTGAAGGAAAAGGACACGCAAGTTCAGGAAGCTCAAAGAGTCCCTAACAAGTTGAACCCAAAGAGGCCTATATCAAGACACATCATAATTAAAATGACAAGGCTTAAAGACAAGGAGAGAATCCTAAAAGCTATAAAAGAAAAACAGGTAGTTACCTAGAATGGAGCACCAATTAGACTATCATCTGAATTCTCAAAAGAAATATGGCTGCCCAGAAAGGAGTGGCATGAAATAGTCAACATAATGAAAAGGAAGGACCGATAACGAAGCCTACTTAACTTAGCAAGAAAATAAAATCAAAGGAAAAATCAAAGGAGCTTCCCAGACAAGAAAAAGCTGAAGGAGTTTATTAACACCCAAGCCAGTACTACAACAATGGTTAAATGGCTTAAGAAGAAGAAAAAGAAAAAGAAAAAGAAATTAAAAAAAAAAACAGATGGAAATAGTCTAATGATAAAATAGCACTAAATACAAAGTACATATCAATGACTACCTTAAATGTAAATGGCTTAAATACTCCAACAGAATGACATAAGGTAGCTGAATGGATAAGAAAAAGACCCACAAATATGTCCCCAAGAGACTCATTTCAGACCAAAAGATACGCACAGAATAAAAATACAGGGATGGAAAAAATATTTCATGCAAACGGAGGTGAAAAAAGCTAGAGTAGCTATACTTATATTTGACAAAATACACTTTAAAACCAAGACTATATTAAGAGACAAAGCAGGACACTACATAATAATAAAGGGAACAATCCAGCAAGAGGATATAACCCTAGTAAACATTCACACACCCAACATAGGAACACCTAAATATGTAAAGCAAATCTTGATGGACATAAATGAAAGACTGACAAAAATACAGTCATAGTTGGGGATTTTAACACCCCATTGACTTCAATGGATAGATCTTCCAGGTAGAAAATCAACAAGAAGACAGCAATCTTAAATGGCACACTAGATCAAATGGATTTAATTGATATCTACAGAGCATTTCACACCAAAGCAGCAGAATATACACACTTTTCAAGTGCACATGAAATGTTTTCTAAGATAGATGACCTGATAGGACACAAAACAAGTCTCAATAAATTTAAGAAGATTGAAAATCATATCAAGTATCTCCTCTGACCACAATTCTATGAAACTAGAAGTCAACCACCAGAAGAATACTGAAAAACTCACCAAGATATGGAAGTAAATTAGGATGTTATTAAAGAATGAATAATAGTGAGATCAAGGAAAAATCAAGATACCTCGAAAGAATTAAAAATGAGAACACAACAATCCAAAATCTGTGGGATTGGAAAAGCAATAGTAAGAAGGAAATTCATACCATTATAGGCTTATCACAAAAAATAAGAAAAAGCTCAAGTAAACAATCTGAATTCACATGAAAGAAACTTGAAAAAGAACAAACAAAGCCCAAATAAGTAGAAAAAAGGAAATAGTAAAGATCAGAGCAGAAATAAATGAAATAGAGTCTCTCTATTTCCTTTCAAATGAAAGGAAAAAATAATACAAAAGATCAATGAATCCAAGAGCTGGTTCTTTGAAAAGATAAATAAGATTGACAACCTTTAACTACACCCATCAAGGAAAAAAGAGAGAGGACCCAAATAAATAAAATCAGGAATGAAAGAATAGAAATAACAACTGACACCAAGAAATACAAAGGATTGTAAGAAAATATAAATAACCACATGCCAACACACAGGACAACATGGACAAACTGAATAAATTCCTAGAAAGGCAAAATCTTCCCAAAGTAAATCAAGAAAAATCAGATATCTGAATAGACAGATTATACCTACTGAAATTAAAGCAGTAATAAAAAAAACTTCCCCAAAACAAAAAGCCCTGGACTGGATGGTTCATGGGTCAATTTTACCACACATTTCGAGAAGAATTAACACCACTCCCTCTCAAACGATTTCATAAAATTCAACAGGAGGGAAAGCTTCCAAACAATTTTTACAACACCAGCATTATCCTAATTCCAAAACCAGGAAAAAATAGTACAAAGAAAGAAAATTATAGCCAATATCCCCGATGAACAGACACTAAAATCCTCATCAAAATATTAGCAAACTAATACAGCAATGCAAAAACCCACATCATGATCAAGTGGGTTTTATTCTGGTAATGCAAGGTTGGTACAACATTCTCAAATCAATAAATGTGATTCACCACATAAACTAAATGCAGGATAAAAATCACATGATAATATCAATAGATGCAGAAAAAGCATTTGATAAAATCCAGCACCCATTTATGATAAAAACTCTCAACAAAGCAGGATTAGAGGGAGCATACATAAACATGATAAAGGCTGTATGTACAAACCCACTGCCACCATCATATTCAACTGTCAAGAACTATATGAGTTCCCCTTAAGATTGGGAACAAGACAGGGAAGTCTGATAACAGAAAGGGAAATTTAGAAAGCATTCCCATTCACAATTGATAAGTGTATGTATATATATATATATATATATATATATATATATACACATATATATATATACACACACACACATATATATATGAATAAACTAATAAAGGATGTTAAAAGACCTGCACTTGGAAAATTATAAGACACTGAAGAAGGAATTAGAGGAAGATACAAATAAGTGAAAGCACACACTATGTTCATGGGTAGGATGAATTAACATCATTAAAATGTCCATACTACCCAAGAAATATATGGATTCAATGCAACTACTATCAAGATTCAAATGATATACCTCACAGAACTAGAACACGTAACTCAAACATTTATATGGAACCATGAAAGGCCCCGCATACCAACAGCAATCCTGAGAAAAAACAAAAGTGGAGGAACCACGCTATCTAGTATCAAACAGTACTACAAAGCCATAGTAATCTAAACAGCATAGTACTGGCATAAAAACAAACCTATAGATCAAGAGAACAGAATAGAGAGCCCATAAATAAATGTACACCTTTATAGTCAATTAATATTCAACAGAAAAAGCAAACACACACCATTGGCTAAAGATAGCTTATTCAATAAATGATGTTTGGAAAATTGGAAGGATGTATAAGAAAAATGAATCTGTACCACCTTATTACACCACACACAAGAATAAATTCAAAATGGATCAAAGACTCATTTAAGTTAAGTCTAACTTAAATGTTAGACCTAAAATTATAAAAATCCTGGAAGAAAGCACAGGCAGCAAAATGTCAGAAATTGCTCACAGCAATATTTTTTCAAATATATTTCCCTAGGCAAGGGAAAATAGAAAATATAAACGAATTAGACAAAATCAAACTAAAAACATTTGCACAGCAAAGGAAATCATCAACAAAACAAAAAGACAACCCACAGAAAGGGAAAACATTCACTGACACCTGATAAGGGATTAATGTCCAAAATTTATAAAGTACTTACAAAACTCAACACCAAAAAAAAAAACCCCAGCACAATTAAAAAATGGACAAAGAACCTGAATAGATACTTCTCCAAAGAGGACATACAGATGGCCAATTGACATATGAAAAGATACTCAACATCACTAATCATCAGAGAAATGCAAATTAAAACTACAATGATATACCATCTCACAACTGTCAGAATAGCTGTCACCAATAAATCAACAAACAAGTGCTGGGGAGAATGTGGAGAAAGGGGAACCCTTTTTCACTGTTGATAGGAATAGCCACTATGGTATAGCCACTATGGAAAGCGGTATGGGGATAGATACCTCAAAAAATTAAAAATGGATCTGTCTTTTGACCCAGCAATCCCTCTTCAGGGAATATATCTGAAGGAACCCAAAACACTAATTCAAAAAAACATAAACAGCCCAATGTTCACTGCAGTTTTATTTATAATTGCCAAGATATAGAAGCAGCACAAGTGTCCATCAGTAGATGAGTGGACAAAGCAACTATAGTCCAGTTACACAATGGACTACTACTTGGCCATGAAAAAAGAAAATCTTACCCTTTGCAACAATATGGATGGTTGGACCTGGAGTACATTATGCTGAATGAAATAAGCCAGTCAGAGAAAGACAAATACCAAACAACTGCACTCATATGTGGAATTTAATGAACAAACTGAACTAACAAGGAAAATGGGGACAGATTCATAGATGGAGAGCAGGATGACAGCTTGTGGGGAGATGGTGAGGGGGTGGAAGGATTGAGAAAAAAGGAAAAAAGGACTCATGGATATGAACAACAGAGTGATGACTGTTGAGGGGAGGGAGGTATAAGGGGACTAGAGGTAATAGAAAAAAATAGAGATTAAGTCAACAAAAAATAAATAAATATTTCACCCCTATTGCTCATAGGCAGGTCAGGCCTCAGAATTCTCACCAAATGGGATTCAGGTTTTTAACTGATGTAACTTTAATGTATAACCACCCCCCTCAAAAAATAGCATTTTGATTAATATAGTAGACCTAGGCTCTCAATCAGTTATAATCTCTCATATACATTTTAAATTTAGCTGTATTCACTTTTTTCCCAAAAATAATAAGTACTTTAACTTCCCTTTGTCACTATTTATCAAAGTTTTTGAAAACTGATAAGCTCCATATTGTCAAGACATAGGAAATGCCATGATCTTCAAACAATTCAACATTGAAAAATGAACTCTTTTTTTTTTAAGATTTTATTTATTTATCTTTTAGAGGAAAAGGGAAGGAGAGAAAGAGAGAAATACCAATGTATGGTTGCCTCTCATGAGTCCCCTGCTGGGAACTGGCCTGCAACCCAGGCATGTGCCCTGACTGGGAATCGAACCACGATCGTGTGGTTTGCAGGCCCATGCTCAATTCACTGAGCTACACCAGCCAGGGTGGAAAATGAACTCTTAAAAGACAACTCTGAGCAATAATTGTCACCAACTTTAAAAAAAAGACTCCTTCCCCTGAAATCTTTCTCACTCTGAACAAATGTTCCTTACCCCTACTTAAAAGTCAGACTGTGAGCCCACAGACACACTCCTACCCTGATGAAACCTGTCTGTACCAGAAAGATATAGCTATGATAAACAAGGTGAGTGATCTGGGAGAGACAGGAGAGAGCACCCAGTAGGCTCAGTGGGGCCCTGGGGACCCTTTGTAGGTTGAAAGGGAGGACCAGCCCAGCTGCTGAGGCACGAGCCAAGGAGGGCCCAGTGTGGGCCCCAGGTATCAGTGAGGCCAGTTAGAACATGAGAAGTTGCTGGTACTGTGATGGCATTTATAACTAAAAATAAGGATGCATACACAGCGGCTACACAGTGACATACTGAAATGTCAAATAAACACCCCAAATGCAAACACATATGGCCTCTGCCCTTAGGAAAGCAATAAATTCAATAATGCTGAAGCCCACCATACTGATGTATGAATTTTGTCCTTAAGGTGATTACATGGTTTCCAACTTTAAAAATTAAACTAATGAGCACTTACGAAAAGGCCCAATTTCTCAGAGATGTGAAGTACAGCATAGGAAATACAGTCAATAATACTGTGATAACAGTGTATGGAGTCAGATCAGTACTGGAAATATTGGGAGAATACTTTATAAGGTATATGATTATCTAGCCACTATGCTGTACACTTGAAACTAATACAAAATAATATTGAATGGAAACTCTAATTGGAATTTTTTTGTAACTGGAAATTAAAAAAAAAATTTTAAAGGTCCAATTCTTTGGTTAAAATTTACATACAACACAGTGGAGCAGCAACTTATACTTACTTGTCCAAGGGTACATTCACATTCTCCTAAGAAGTCATCATCGTTCAGCTCGACTGTTTTGTTATCAATGTCATAAATCCCAAATTTCAATTTCTGAACCACTTCAAAGTAGTAATCAATAATAAATGTCTTGGAAAATGCAGGATTCAAGCAATTCTTAATCCTTTCTGTGCGCTCAACCTGTACACAACCCCAAAACAAAAACGTTTCTTCAAGTCAAAAGTGAACTTGCATTTTAAAATTTTTAAAATTTTATGTACTACATCCAACTAAATATAGGCATGACAGCTAAGGAAGTTTCTATATGTGTGTTAAAAATTCCAGTCAAGGACATACCTGCCCAAATGCTGCATTAACAGATTATATGGTTTTATGATTTTTAACATTTTTAAACTCGTGTTGTCAAAGAAACAATTCAGCTGGCTTTTCACCTATAAAATTTAATATTACCTCATACCACTGCTGACCACTTGTATTCAAAAATAACACGCACAACGGGTCCGACTTTGACCCTATGTCTTTATCCAGAAGATTGTCACAGGAAATATTCAGCTCCACCTTCATCACACACTGGGCAGCCATCTCTTGAGCTGTGAGAAAACCAAGGAAATGAGAAATGATGCCACTGAAATGGTTCTTCAAGAAGCACATCATTCCCAGTGAAGAAGCACAACTCTCAGGACAACTGTCAGGACAGGACCTAAGAGGGAATTGGCTGGAATAAGACCAAGTGCCTCCCGCAAGTCAGATGTCACTGATATTGCTTCAGTCAGACTCTTGCTGGGATAAGCTCATTTATTATATAACCTAAGACATAGTAATAATCTTCTACTTCCCTGTATATTTTACCATTCATAAAAAAGTCCAAGTAGCATTTAGCTATGAAACAAAACACATTAAACTACAACCTTAATATTACTTTTATTTGTTTATTTGACAAGATGCTAAATGAGATATTTTCTGTTTTCAAAGAATTTTGCTAAAACCCAAACCTGGGGAATAAAAGACCACCAAATACACCCTCTCTTCCCGACCTCTGCCCATTTTACACAAGTGGCTCTCAATCTTGGCTGCTCACTGGAAGCACCTAGGAGTTTTCAAAACCACTGATGCTGGAGTTCTCTGCTCAGAGATTAGTGCAACTGATTTAGGGTCCACCCAGCCTCAGCCTTAGATGGTTCTAATGTAGACAAGGTCAACAGACCCACTATTCTACAAAGAGCTTCTGACAAACAGGCATGGCTCACTCGTCCTCCAGACTTGCCACAAATACCAAAGTTAGCATAACTGTCATTGACCTTTCTCCCCTACCTCCAGTCAAGATATGAAGAGGGCTGGGGATAGCCCTTAGAGACTGGCCTTAAGAGGTGACAATCGCTGAGGGTGAGTTGCTTTCCTCCCTGACACCAGGTAAAGGGACTGAAGGTGTCACCAAGAAGAGGAGACAAGCATCACATTTCCCTGCCTCGCAGGCCACTCACAGCATCCAGCATGAAGTAGGGGCCCACAGTGGGAGGACAGGTCCTGGAGGGAAGAAGGTGCCTCCCCACTAGAGGCGCTGACAGCCCTTAGAATGTGGGATATTTGATGCCCTATGCCTTCCACTTGGAGATCTGGATGACATTCTGGGACAAGAGGAACAAATCACTCATCAATGATCCTGTTATTTAAACAGGATTTCTGTGCTGTACAAAATGCCTACTCAGGCCTAAAATAATCAGGATTATGATTAGAAGTGTCCTTTGGCAAGTGTCAAAAACAACTCATGTCTACAGAAACTCTTTAGTTATTCCAATGGACTCTCTGAAAATAGTACAATCCTCAATGTGGGTCAGAAATCAATACTAATATTTAAGATTCCTAAATAAGCCCTGGCTGAGTGGCTCAGCTAGTTGAAGTATTGTCCTGTAGCACAAAAGACTACGGGTTCAGTTCCCGATCAGGGCACATACCTAGGTTGTGCATACAATCCCTGGCCAGGGCCTATATGGGAGACAACCAATCGATGTGTTTCTCTCACATCCATATGCTTCTCTCACATCAACCTTTCTCTCTCTCTTCCTCTCTCTTTAAAATCAAGAAACATATCCTCAGGTAAGGATTAAAAAATTCCTAAGTTAAAGGAGCAGAATAAGGTAATAGGTTTTGTAGTTGCAATAGCTAGAAATTCCTTTGAAAAGCAATGCTCTGCATGTGGACTTCACCCTGAAGAGAATTACTCCTAATATGGAACAAAATCCACAAATCCCCTATTTGCCTCCGAAATCCCCTCCCCAGGATGTTGTAATGAAACTGAAACTGCCATGGCCTTTTACTATAAAGTCAGACATTTTTTGCTACTTTACATGCATCACAGTTATAAAGTGTACGGCACATGGTCCTGACAAAGTGGCCCAGACACTAACATTGGGAGAAATCTCTGATGCAGGCGGAAGACTGTGCGGGGCAGACACTGTAGGGAGACTGGCAGTGCTGGGCTTGGAGGATTCTGTGAGCAGGTAAAGAGGGGACCACAAAGGGACAGGAGAGCTAGGCATGAGAGGGCATAATGAAGACAGCTCAGTGTCATGGAAGTGAGCATCCAGATGGGGGAGTCATGGTGGGCAGGATGCGAGTCTAGTGTCCTGAGAACAAGGCTGAAGGACTTGGTGGATGTCATTGCAAGTTCTCAGGCTGGGGAGAAGAGGATGAAATACTCGTTTCAGATATCACTTGTGTTAAATCAACTCTACGGTGCCTCAGAAGTTGGGTCACTGACATGATAGCAGTAAAGTATCTGGATCCAAACACACAAATACTGAATTTAGCACCAAAATTAGCATATCTTTACATCACCCAGTGCAGGAGATGAGCTGTTTCCAATGTTAGTGAGCACCTATGACAGTGTGACTACAATCATCATTCTGTCCTACTCTGATTTATGAAAAAGGAAAAAGTGCTACACAGACTGTCAGAGGCACAAATGGTACAAAGAAGGGACACCAGAAAACCCAGAAGCAGAGATCTGACAGTCCTCCCTCTGAAGTTACACAGCCATGACATCTCTTAAAGGTAAACACATGGGCCTTATCCTTGCACTTGACACCTGTGACTCTCCTCCTTTGCACCTCTAACAACTGCCTATTCTTCCTCTCCCCAGACACCATGAGCAACCACAGGCCTAGTCCCTCCTGGTCCTTCTACCTTCACTTCTTTGACCCAATCCTCCCAAGGAAGGCTTCAAGCATCAGTGAGCAGGCAGTGCACCCAAAACTGACCACCCTACCTGTCCCTACTTTACATCAACGAAGCACACAAACAAAGTACTGTACACTCAAGAGCCTTACCTTCAATTTTCTCTTGGGATCCTCATGTTCAAAATGAAAATAATAACCAACCCTACCTCATCTGGTTGTTCAGCAATATACATTTAATATATTTAAACAGTGCCCAGAAGCTACTGCTGCTGCTTAAGAGTAGTAATAGTAACAGTAGTAACAGTAGTAGTAGTATTTTAGGACTACCTGCCTCCAGTGTCTGATCCTCTCTTATCCACCCCAAATTATTCCAGCCTTCACCAAGGACCTCATTTGAACTCCTGCAGAACAGGGACAAAAGATTTGCAGTGATGATTATGTGACCTCATAAAAATGACTTTCTAGATTTCTTTAGCAGTCAAAATGGAGATCCTACAGGTAAACCTGTACATCTGGCATGTGCAGTACACCTCACTTTTTATATCTAATAGCATCTAAGGAATAAAGGTTAGTGTGTCCATTTTTCCTTTTCCATAAGGGAGTTTAGAGTGTTGTGAGTTGTATGTCAGTAGTACCCAGGATAACACAGTACTCCATGGACGGACGTAGCATGAGCAAGGTTTCTAATGTCCTAGGAGCACAGCAGCTAATGAATTGTCTACCAGCAACCAGATAGCCCTCAATTTCCAAGTATGGGGAGAACTTCACAGAAATGAAGATAACAACTCTGTGTGGAGTCACTCTCATAGCAGAGACACACAATCAGAAAAGCATGATTCCCCTTCTCAAAGAAGAGCTACAGAAACAGCCTGCCAAGTGTGTATGATCATTTAGTAAACTGCTGACAGCTACATTATTGTATTCCTTCCAAAACACAAATCTCCTCTGTTAGCAGTATCCCCTGATAACAGCTCTGCATGCACGCTCATTTTAAACTACAAACCCATTACAGCTTGAACCATGTTAACAGCAACATCCATGAAGATGCTCTTTGCACTTCCTTCTATATGATGACCTGGTACATGACACATGATTTTAGAAACAATAAGGTATTCTTTTACAATGGAAGACAATAAATGTTTTATACTCTTGGTGACTGAGACAACTGAACAGACAGAAGAAGGCATGTCAACAGAAGGTGCTTCTATGTGTTTCTCCCCAAAGAGCAATGGTAGCAAGACAGAGAGAGCCCTGGGACCAGCCAGAAGTTTCTCCACTGCACAGGTGACTTACTGGAGAATAGTTTGGTTTAATTGTTTTGTTTCTGAAACGCAAATAGCCCCTAGAAATCCTAAACAGGTCAACTTTCCAAGTTACCCCAACTTTCCCGAATCAACATTATATGACAGAAATGATTCAAAGAAATTGAAAATTAAGAGTTAATATGTGAAAGAAAGTGTAGTGTATAAAATTTTAGGACCATGGTCACTTCTAGGCCCTAGATGAAAACCCTGCAGTGTGTCTGCTTCCTCCTCCTCATCTCACATAGGCCCGGTGGCCTAATGTGCTCAGTAAAGCTGTCAGGGAGATTCTGGCACACTCCCCAAATCTCTCACATGTACAACTGCAGAGCCCTCCCATACCCACAGCCCAAGTCAACTTCCAATCCCTCTCATAGCTCCTGGAGGTACTCCCACTGCCGTCCTCCCTCCATTCACATCATTACTTTATCACTTCTGATGAAAACAACAACATCACTGGCTACCCAGGGCCACTAGTCTATTGCTCTCCCAAGGACTCCTGGCTCTGCCCACACTGACACCAGGCAACCAAAACGAGCAGCACCTTTTGCCCATTCAAGGTCTTCATCAAGATACACTGTGAACCCTGGCTGGTGTAGCTCAGTGGATTGAGTTGCAGGCCTTCAAACCAAACAATCGAGGTTCAATTCCCAGTCAGGGCACATGCCTATGTTGCGGGCCAGTTTCTAGAAGGGGATGCACGAGAGACAACCATACACTGATATTCTCTCCCTCTTTCCTTCCCTTCCCCCTAAAGATAAATAAATAAAATATTTAAAGAAGATATATGGTGAATGACAGCGCCCCCGTGAGTGGCTGGGATGCCTATGAAGTGTGGGCTCTGTCTTCCTTTCTCTCCACTGCTGTAAGCTGAGCACAGGGACTAGGCTGCACAGCCCCTTCACCAGGAAGGACAATGTCTGACTCATTCTTGTGGAAGAAAGAATAACTTCAGAGTCAGTATTCTTTGTTCACATTTCTTTCCCACTATGTATTTGAGTGTGTTTGCTTTGCCAGTCTGTCTGAACTTCAATTTCTATAAAGTGGAGATTTAAAAAATTACCTGACAGTGTTTGGTTTCTGACATGAAGCACATACCAGACACGACTCTGTGAACTGTAGCAATTATTATTTTATTAACTACTCAGATATTTAATTGATTGCCTTGGTATTGATGGTTTATTATTAAATAGTAAGATGTAGAGCACCCTTCTCATATTTGTTTATGAAGAGCTTCTTGGAATGATAATAAAAGACTATGGAGTTTACACAAAATTAATTGGCTGAAATAGTCTGCCTTGATGAGAGATTGGTGCTAATTTTCCTAAATCCTCTCAGAAGAGCTTGTTTCTCTGAGCAACTATGTAGTTGGTACACAGAGGAGGGGACCAAGGGCTGGTGAAAATGCCTCATTATTTATCTCAAAACAATTACAGGGAAGTCAGTGCCCACCCACCAATAACATGAACTGGACAGTTGATATTTACCTCACAGCAGTTCTCCAATACAGTCTATTAGATCATGGGTTACTTAGGGCACAGAAGCATTTCCTCCTTGCTGGGCTCTCACATACCATCTACATGTGGCACCAATATCTCAGAGCTTCTAGAAGGTACTTCTGGGCCATCTCAGGACAACATGAGTTCATAGGAATGTCCTGAACTTAATACCCAGGCTCTGAGAGTAGAAAACTTATAATAAAGGAATTTACACTGAGTTTATCTTGTATGAATTAAGAAAGTGATGCCTACGTATTTTAATCCCTGCCATGGACACTAGAAATGGGGATAGGGAATTAAGTCAAGCATTAAAGCACACAAATAGAGAGAAAACATGTTTCCTTTTCAGTGTGAAAAAGAGACCACCAGAAGGGTCACTGGATCAGAGTAAAAAAAAAAGTGGCCAATAGTTCTGTGTCACTGCCTATGGGCAGTTGTCTAACTTCTCTAGGCCTCTGTGTTTCATTTATTAAATCTGAGTTTTTAATCACTTTAGATAATTCTTAAGACCTCTTCCAGTTAATGTGCTATGACTTTCATTTAATCATAGTGAACACAAAATATGTATAGAAAGTGGTACTAAAGGAGTAGGGGTATTTTTTTAACAAAGTAGAAAAATATCAGAAAAGTTATAAGAACCAAAAAGAGAGACAGAAAGAAAAGGATAAGGTTTTCCAAATTTAGTCTCCATCTTCCACTATTGAAAAAGCCATATCTGAAAAAATACCTATATTCAGATACTTTCCCACTAATTAGGTACCTTTGCTTGAAACTATTACCAAATTCCCTATGTTGTGATGACTTGGAAAAATAAAGTTCATTGACAAACAAAACACAGGCCCAGTGCACTAGGTCCGCACAGCAGGACAAGGAGGCAAGTTTTCCTACCATGCACAGAGTCACTCATCACTAAACCCTCAGCGCAGCCAAAGGAATCAGTTTCTGGCTACCATAAAAAAATAAATTTCCAGATACTTGAGTTATCCTGATTATCTAAATAGTAATACTATTGCTGATACTTGAACATTCAGAATGGGGAAAGCAGGAGTCACTACAAAAGTGTTGACACTTGATCACTCTTGATTTTAAAACTAAGTATGTATAGTTTCACCCTGTCCTTATTACTTGCTACAAAGTGAGAGATTAATTAAGACCCCTTCCTTGATTTCTCTAGAAAACCCTTAAGATATATATAGATCTGTCAGATTCATAACAGGCTACAGAGTTTACTTAACATCTCTTTCTGGTTATACCACTTTTCTAATCCCTTGCCCACAGTATATACATTTTAGAAATTTCATGATTATATTTTCTAACCTATCAAATAAAGAGTTCACCATAGGGGCACTGAGTGAGGTGTTAATAAAAGTCAGATGCAATGACAGTATCTCAACATTGCCTCACTTTATTACCATTACTTATAAACCAAATAAATCATCTTTTACCCCAAAAAAAAAAAACTGCCTTGATAAAAATCAGAGCTGTATCTTCTAGTAGAAAATTCCAGCTCTTCAGCCAAAAAATCTTTAAATTATAAGGCCTCTGTAAAACTGCTGGCCAGCTGAGCTGCAGGCAGGCTGGATGCCATGTTAAGGTCCATTCACCTTGGAGACTGAAGTTGCTTGGGCTCCTTATTTCCATCCCATCATTTTAAGAACTTCCTACCTTCTGGAATCCCCCAGATATTGGACCAGAAATTAGAACTTCTCACCCACCCATTATCCAGCTTTGCCCAATTCTAACACCTGGCTCCCTCCTCTTCTTCAGGGAGCTCATCTACTTAGTTGGTCCAGACGGGCATTTTGCATGTCACTACAGTCTTCTCTCTAGTCGTGATGAGGAACAATATGAAAATGCTCTCAGTTCAAAGCTGCAACACCTACAATGACTTTGTTCTCAAGGCCTGAAAGTGTCTATGTTGAGCAAGGACTGTGAGATGTTTATACATTTCCCAATTTCAAGAATATTCCTTGTATGGTTGCTTAGTACTCTATTTCAGCTGTTTGTAACTTTCCAGTAAACCCTTTCATACTTCCTGATCAGAAACAGTTGAATAGTATTTAGTACTATTCACTCACTCAGTATCATTCTCACAGATGGCCTATTGTGCCAGAGACTCTGCTAAGGTTCTCGGGGACAAGGAACCAAACAGACACACATCCCTGCCCTCACACAGTTATACTGCAGGGAGATAGTAAAATTACAGTGTATGCAGGTGGTAGGAAGTGCTAAAGAGAAAAATAAAGCAGGGAAGGTGAACAAGGAGTTCTGAAGGCAGCGTGGGCAATTTTAGATATTTTATAAACCTATTTTTAACACAATCAGGAAATACTTGTTTTGATTTTCGCTTCCTAACCCCCTAGAGAGAAGAAAATGTGGACAGACAAGTTCCTCTTCACAGTTGCAGGGATCTATTTTAATATACGCTATCTATCACCTGAGTCTGGAACAGGGTAAACTGACCTCAGAAAACTGAAGAGGCCTGATGACAATGGATAGCACAACCACACTGTTGCTTTGGTAATTTTCACAGGAACCAGACATAATACATCCGCTTGTTAAGATGGCATTTCGAAATGATTTACTATAATGAATATGTAGTGTTTCCTTCTATTTTTCATGGGGAAACTGTATTAATATGCTATCCAGCTAACTTATATTGGTAATTTTGATCATTACATTGACTAATTTTAATGTCTTTTTAAAATTATGATTGCATACTGGTAAGCTGCTCAAATTTCCTTCCTTCCTTCCTTTCTTTCTTTTTTAATCCTTATTTGAGAGCATGTTCATTGACTGTAGAGAGAGAAAGGACAGGGAGAGAGAAACACCAATGTAAGAGAAATATTGAATCAGTTGCCTCCTGAAAACACCCTAACCAGGGATTGAACCTGAAACCTAGGTGTGTGTGCTGACTGGGGATCGAACCCACAACCTTCTGGTGTATGGGATCATTCCAAAAAATTGAGCCACCCAATCAGGGCTTCAAATACATTTAAGCCAGTGTAGTCATTTTCAGAATGTTATAAAAATGTACACATAATGTCTGTTTTTGATTATCATGTAAGAAACTTAAGTAATGTAGTTAAATAGACCTTATGATGCTTTACTTTAGGTGCTAATTTAAACCTCCTTCTCAGCCAATGTTTCAACAAATTTCCCTGCAGTAGTAGACAGGAAGCTAGCCTGCAGGGTCAAGGTAATAGTGAGCACATTAAAGGAATGTCCACATTTGGACTCCTCATACTTGAGAGTGGCACTGATCCTCACTCAGATATCCATCTAAAAGTTCATGCTTTCTATGAGCAGTGGTGGCTCATTACAAATTTTTTAAGATTTTATTTACTTAATTTTAGAGAGAGGTGAAGGGAGGAGAAAGAGAGGGAGAGAAACATCAATGTGTGGCTGCCTCTCACGAGTCCCCTACTAGGGATCTGGACAACAACCAAAGCATGTGCCCTGACTGGGAAACAAACCAGCAACTCTTTGGTTAGCAGGCAGGGGCTCAATCCACTAAGCTACACCAGCCAGGGCTCATTACAAATTTTTGAAGGTCAAAATGTTATTTAATCATATTTTACACCCAGTGCTAACCTTCTTACTTTTGCTGACTTTCTAGCACAATTATTTATTGACTGAAGAAAGTTTTAAAAAAGAAAATTCTAACTGTAGTAGAAAAAGCACAGCTGTGTCTAAAGCTAGAGAACCAAGAACTGATAGGCGCTGAGGTCAGCAGGAATTGGTTATCAGGACAGATGCCATGGAAGAAATATTCAGGACAGTAGTGCCAGTGGTCTAGAGAGTATGTGTGTAATCCTTAGGTTGCTTAATGCTATGTGGGAATGAAAGCCATTGTCTACAAAGTGTTCACAGTTATAAGTAAAATTAGGAGACATGTCTAGTCTCCAGCCCTTAAAAGGCAAAGGCCTCTTCTGTCCCCATTCTGACACCTCTTGTCCCTTTGCATTCTTTAGGCACTAGATCTGAGAAAACATCCTGTACCAGCAGGCCAGGTTGCTTCTTATCCAGAGAGCCTTAGCATGTCCAATCCCAAAGACTGATAATCTGAGTTGTTTCAAACCAAAATGAAATGTATTTTTCTAATTCATCAACCAAAAGGAACTGCCTTTAAAAAAAATTTTCACAAAGGCAAAAAGAAAGTGGCCCTGGGTACCACCAATGACTGCCCTAGTGCAGCTGTAACTAACTGTTTGTTTGTTTTTTTATTTCTTTTTATATGTGATTGCCTCTCGTACCCACTACTGGTCACCAGGCTGGCTATCAAGGTACGTGCCTTGACTGGGTATCAAACTAGTGACCTTTTGGTTTGCAGGCCTGTGCTCAATCCACTGAGTTACAGCAGGCAGGGCAATGAGCTCTGGGCCTGCACAAGTTTTGTTCGAGCTGGCTTGTGGTGCTCAGGGCTGGAGTGCCCTGATCCCAGTTAGTGAAGAGTAGGATACATAAGGCAGACACTTTGCTGTGTTACAAATATCGCATTTAGTCTTCGTAACAATACTGACATAGAGTATTTGATCTTCACTTTACAAATGCAGAAACAAGTCCTAAGAGGTTAACCTGCCCAAGGTCACACAGCTAACAAACCTCAAAGTAGAGATCTTCAGATCTCAGTACCCGATTTATTTCAAAGACTAATGTTCTTACCTTTAAGCTCCAAAGCCTGTGATGTGAAACCTTACAGACCTCAATTCCAGCCCTAATGGTAAATTGCTGACTCCAGCTTGAAACGGAATAACAATTGCACATGAAGTGGTAAATGGAGGTATTGGAGGGGCTAATGCTTACACCGCTTGTTCAATATTGAGTCTGCTGAAATCACCACCGCAGGTCCCATCCCGCATGCCCTCCTCTGTCTGACAGTGCAGAAGCCACTGCACGGAAAACACGACCTACATTACACTGTGGATCGAGGTGGAGTGCACGGTAGCTGAGCAGGCAAGTGGCCAGTCCAGCGCTTCCGCCCCACCCAGAGCAGGCCCCATGTCCCAGCACCAGGTCAGGCACCACACCCCAGTTGTCCCTCCCTTTGCGCTGCTCTAGCACTCCTAGCGCGGACGCGACTACCCATCTACCCCGAGGTGCCACACTGCCGAGTGTACAGCCTGCACTCACCTACCGCCTCAGCAGAGAACACCAGGGAGCAAGTCTAAAGTCCGGCCTGCAGCAGCCTCGGGAACCAGACAAGACTGGCCAGCCGGGTGAGGCCTACGAGGGGGCGGGGAAGTGGGCGGGGCCAACTGGATGGGGGTGGGGCGAAGACGCGGAGGTGGGCTGAAGTGGAGTCTAACTAACTGAGGTGCAGAGGAGGCTCGGCTGAGCTGGAAGGGGCGAGACAGGTAGAGATGGGTATGGGCGGGGCCCGAGGCGCAGGCCGGCGCGCTAGGTGCACAGCCTGCCAAGCCCTGGCCCAGGCCAATGGGCACCTGCTGTTGGGCTGAGGCTTCAAGGCTTTTATGAGACCTTTCTCACCCAGAGCCACAGGTTCACTTTGCCCGTCGAAGTAAGTTATTTGGTGCACCAAAATTAATTCCTAAAGAACAAAACAATTAAAATATGTGAGAAAATTAGTCCTGGGGAGATGGCTCATTTCCTTGGAGTGTCACGCAGTAGAAGGCTGCCCTTTGATTCCTTGTCAGAGCACATAGCTAGGTTTCGGTTTTGATCCCTGCTTGGGGCACAGAGGAGAGGCAACTGATAGATGTTTCTCTCTCACATAGAGGTCTCTCTCGTTCTTTCTTTCTCCCACTCCTTCCCTTCCTTTCTAAAATCAATAAACATATCCTCGAGTGAGGATTTATATATATATATATATATATATATATATATATATATATATATGAAAATTATACTACTACTTGAACCAGGAAGAATCAGAATAACCATTTTTACTCAGAGCACTTTCAGTGTGCACTGCCTGAGCCATTTTATATCCCTAATTTAATTCTCACAATTTTGTGACGTATTCATTGCCATTATCCCCACTTCACATTAGAAAAAATGTGATTGAGAAACTTGAATTTTGGTCACTAAGAGTCAGCCTACTTGCCTAAAGTTACATTTCTAAGTAAACTAACCCCAAAGGCCCCACTTGATGAAACAAACTGTGGGAAATACAGAACTTGTGTCCAAGGAAAACATGCACAAAATCAACTGGCAAACATATTGGAAAAAATATTTGCCATCTATCTCTAACAGTCAAAGAAAGAGTTAGTATCTTAAGTATAAATTGATTTTTTACATTTTTAAAATTTATTTTTAGAGAGACAGGAAGGGAAGGAGAGAAACATCAATGTAAGAGAGAAACATCCTTGTGTTGCCTCTCATGCATGCCTGGGGACTTAACCAGAACCTAAGCATGTGCCCTAAGAATTGAATTGGTGACCTTTCACTTTGTGGGATGGTGCCCAACCAACTGAGCCACATGAGTCAGGCAGTACAAATTGCTTTTTAAAAATAGAAAAATGAGCAAAAGATAATTATTTAAATTATAGAAATGAAAAATGAAACATATGAAGAAGTATAGACTTTCCTAACTAAAAACCTTACTTTTAATCCAAAAAAAAAACCACCTAAATATGTTTTGTGTAGAGCAGAACTAATAAAATGGCATTGGTCCAGTCAAGATAGGATAAAGTATATAAAACAAGATGGAGTCTCTCATGTCAACTAAGATGGCTGTCAGTCAGCCATGACACTTTGGTTCAAGAGGGAAACTACCTAAGTCATGCTAGACACATTTGGCAAGGAGACACACCTAAGGTGTCTGCACATGTGAACAGAACAGCCATGTCTGCAGAATAGGACTACCCATAGATAGACTCCTGGGGAAATTCTCCACTTATCAGAGGTGCCAAGACACTTATCAAGAGACCCAGAAGGGTGTAATCCAGCACTTTAAAGATATAATTGAGGCAGGCCCCACACCACTGCTGAGAGAGCTGAGCTCCACGCAGCAATATGCTGCTCCATGCCATGCTGATCTCCCTTGGCATCAGCTGCTGGAGGCTCTGCCCTTCTGGGTTGAGGACTTCGTCTGTTCTACTGCTTACCTGGCTCCAGAAATCCTTCCTTGTAAGATACTGACAACTCCCTTGCTCACTGTGCTGTCTCTCAGACCTGCAGACTGAGACCCTGGGACTTGGGCTCATTATTCCCCATTGATTGCTGTGTGTGTGTGTGTGTGTGTGTGTGTGTGTGTATGTGTTATTTCTCTAAGATTATTGGAGTGGGAGTAGGATATTCATGTATGTTAATGTTCTACTTTGAGTAAACCTGCATGCAATAAAATCTGAGTGAATACCATAGTTACCTTGAGTGACTCTTGTCTATTCCTTGGTGCCAGGCAGCAAGCTGAGCAGTTGCCCAGCTGACATATAAGAGACTATATAGGCAACATATGCTTGTGACATGTTTAAATAATCACATCAGGACACATGAGGATCCAGCATGTGCTGGATTCCTACTATGTGCCAGGCATAGTTCTAGATTTATGATAAACTAAGGACAAACAGAAGCTTTTATCGTAGAGGGAGGACAAATAATAAGTGAATTATTATAAGTGAATGGGATGATTTTAGGTAGCCATAACTACCATGGGGAAAGTGATAAGGGTGATTTGGGGATAATGGGAGCTTACTTGGACTGGGGATCAAGGAAGGTCTAAGGAAGCCATATTTGATTTGAGACCTGAAAAATAAGATAAAGGCAGTCATGCAAAGATCTGAGGGCAGCGAGATGATAGCAGGGGCAAAGGCACCAGTAGACCTTGCAAGTTGCAGGAGCAGAAACAAGGCCTTTGTGATTGCAGTATAATGGGGAGGGAGAAGGGTTTTGTTCAACCTTTTGTTTCATTCTTGATTATGCTTTGATATTTAAGTGAAGGTTGCCAGGCACACCACTAATTTAAGTGTAATTTTCAAAATTTCTGGAATACATAGTTTTCTTACCTAACCATTATGATCTTTGTCTTCACTAAAATAGGAGGAAGTAAGAAAAAGGAAATGGTTGTGTACTTTTAGTGCCCAACAAGCAATCTCGTTTCAATGCATCATCCCTTCTCTTCAACCTATTATCTAAATTCTATTCTACTTATGTTCTTGTTCACTTTTTCATTTAGTCAACACTTATTAAATTCATATTATGTATCAGGCATAACAACATTTAAGAAACAAAGAACAAATATGCATCAGCTGAACAACTAATAGAGATTTTCATGGATGTTAAAATGAATGAGATGTTCATAAAATTCAATGGATTACACCAAATTTTGTGGCTTACAACTAACAGTCACATATTATCTCTCATGGTTTCTGTGTTCAGGGATTTAGGAGTGGGTTAGCAGACCATTCTGTCTCATGTCCCTCATCACATTGCAGTAAGATATTGGGCAGGGTTTCAGTCATCACACAGGGCTGGAGGATCTACTTCCAAGGTAGTATACTCACAAGTAGCAATGGTACTGTGTGTTGGTGGGAGACCTCAGTTTCTCTCCACGTGGGCCTCTCAACAGGGCTGCTTGAATGTCCTAAGGGTATGGCTACTGGATTCCTTCAGAGTAAAACTCCAAGAGATCTAGGCAGAAACTCAGATACCTTTGCAATATTCTATTAGTCAAACAGGCCAATATTGATTAAATGTGGGAGGGATTCCACAAAGGACTAAATTCAAGAGGAAAGGATCTTTGACTGCCTTCTCTGAGGCTGGATACCACAGAAGTCTAACAACTGTTTTGAAACTAAATATACAAATAAAAACTAAATTTCTCCTCAAATCTATTCTTCCCATAGTCTTCTCTATCTCCATTAATGGCAAAACATTCTTTCAATTGTATGAGTCAAAATGCTTGGAGTCATTGTTGACTCTTCTTGTATCCCATCTCTATCTGGTCTGGTCTGTCTGCTAATCCTGTCAACTGAACCAGTGTACCTAGATTCTGACAACTCATATTTTCTAGCCTAGTCCAAGCCACCACTATTTCTTTATAGATTATTCTAATACTCTAGTAACTGCTTGCTACTTGCTCCCTTTCAGTCTATTTTCAAAACAAAAGAATATAATTAATGTTTAAATTAAATTATGCCACACACAACCACACAAAGAAAAACCCAAGTTCTTACAATGCCCACAAGGTCCTGCAGTACTTGGTCCCCACCTCCTCTCTGACTTTCTCTCTTGTACTCTCTCCTCTGCTCACTGGACCCCATCTAGAAGAGACTTACTGTTCATGGAAAATTGACATGTGCACCGGCTCATAGTGCGCACAGCATCGTGGTTGAGATATGAGACAAATTCACAGGGACTACCAAGTCCTGTGGAGGAAAAAAAAGGGACAGCACGGCTACTCCCTCAACGGGGAGTGCCGTGCACCCTTGCCTAGATGTGGGGATGACTTTGCCTGCAAGTCCCCCATCTGCCACAGATGAAAGTAACACTACCAAGACATGATCTACTTGGGGAGGAGAGGTGACCAATTTCTCAGAGGAAAAAGGCCAGGAGCCTCTTCCTCCAGGGGCTTTTATTGGGTTGTAATACACAGGAATACAGGCAGTAAGGATCAAACAGTAGGTAACATTTCAAAGAAATCTGAGGGCTTAGTCTGAGTCAGTGTCTGTCAGGAAAGGGGGTTGTAGAAACTTTGGGAGACATACTCATTTCCTGCTTGGCCCCTTAATATATGAATGAAAACACTCTTAGCAAAGCAGGCTTCACAAGATTTTTAGGAATTCTTTCTTATGCCAGATTTACCCTGGATACTGCTCTAGCAAGGCAAGGAACTGCACCACCTCCCCCTCCATAGGTTTTCAGGCTTAAGTGGATTAGATCCAGGAAGTGCTTCTCCCAGAGCACATGGGGACTCAGGCAATGTCAGAACAGCCAGGGGGTGAGGGTCCATCACTTCCTCTTTGTTGCAGCCCCCCAACTCCTTCCATGATGGCCTCTCAAGTGATTGTGTCTGGCTTAGGTTGCCCCTCTCTGTGAGGAGTCTTACCGGTCTCTGACTAGCCAACCATGCTTTGGGGACAGGGGAGTAAGATGAGGCAGAGTTAGCTACCAGAGATAAGCTTTGTCTCCTGTGGCTTGCATTCCAGAGGTCGCTCACTTATCCTTAGCCATGGGAGACAGTTATAATTCCTAAAACCAGGCAGAGCAGTTCCCAACACCTTGACAGGCTTTTATTGGATTTAATTTGCACAGGGATACAGGTACAGCTCATTAATTATTGTCAGGCAGTAAGGATCAAACAGTAGATAGCATACAAAGAACTATTAGGGCTTATTCTGAGTCAGGGTCTATTAGCTAAAAGGCTACAAAACTTTGAGAAACAAACTCATTTCCTGCTCAGACCTTTATCGTTTAATTAATAGCATTCTTAGCAAAGCAGGTTTCACAGGATTTTACATATCCTTTCTCAGGCCTGATCTCCCGGGAAGCCCACCCTTTCCAGCACAAGGTTGCACTGCCCTCTGTCATTGTTTCAGGCTTAAGTCAGGCAGAGGAGGCAAGAGAGCCAAGAAATTAGGAGACTTCTCACAGACAGAATGAGGACTCAGGCTTTGTCAAAGCTGAGGGGTGAAGGTCCATCACCCCCTTTCTCCATAGTCCCCCAAGTTCTTCCCTGGGGCCTCCACATGATCATGCCTTAGGTCATCCCCCCCTTGGGGAATCTTACCCGTCATTGGCTAACTGATCAAGCATTGGGGGCCAGTTATGGAAAAAGGAGCAGAAACGGCACTCCTGCCAGGGAGATAAGCTTTGTCTCCTTAGTGGCTTATGGTCTGAAGGTTGGTCACTCAGTTTAGCCATGGGGGGGGGGGGGTTACAGCTCCTGAAACCAGGCAGGGTGGTTCCCAACAGAAAATGCCACTTGCTTTCCCAGTTCAGGCCTTTCCACTTTCCTTCTACACAAAATGCTGTGCCCCAAGATATCTTCATGAACCTCTCCTTCTTCTTTAGGTCTTTATTCAAATGTTTCCCTCTGTGAGGGCTTCTGTGGCTACCAGACTATTTAAAACTATAATACCAACACAGAAATGCATTCTTTACCGCTTCCTGCTTTATCTTCCACTTCATTTATCATCATCAATTATATTTTACTATTTATTTACTATCTTTTGACAACTAATTACAGTCCCATATATATATATATATATATATATATATATATTCTAATGAGTATATGTATATTCCATTAAAATTGTTCATTCACTTCTAGAAGAGTAGAAGGTACATTATGCAATAAACATTTGTTGTATGAAAGAAGAAATTGTGCCAGGACTTGTAATAATACAAAAGTCAGACATGGCATTGGTTTTACAGTATAGCAAAGGCACATGTTACCACTTCTTATCAACACATTACTTGTTATTACTGCAGCTCCAAAATATTCTTAACAAATAATCTAATGTAAAAATATTACAAAACATGCTCAGAGCCATAAAACATATAAAAGTATATTTGGGAAGTTAAAAAAAGCTTCTCTGAAGTGACATTTGGACTGAGAGCTAAAAGCTGAACAGAAAGGAATAAAGGAGCTGGATGGAGGAATGAGACGGAATCCTCTTTTTTTTTTTTTTTTTGGTTGTCAAGTGATTTTTAATTGACATATTTTCCTTTATACCTGTTAAGTAGCTGGCCATTCTACTGCACCACAGTTGATGTCATCAGGGTGGTGTGGGCATCCACATTGCAGCCCACAAACTGGGCCATCCCCAGGATCTCTTTAATGATTCCAGAGAGTTCTCTAGCTAAAGATCAGCACCACCTCTGTCAGCAATGTTGATGATCTCAGCAGAAATGATAGTTCCACTGTGCTTAATGTGTGTGTGTGCGTGTGTGTTTTCTTGCATCTTTCTGTCTCATGGTGGCTCTTTGAGGACTTTGATAAACAGGGCAGAGGCAGAAGGCACTACCTCAGTTTGGACCTGTCTGTTCTGAATGGTCAGTTTCACTGTAATCCTCAGATCCTCCCAATCACCAGTTGCTTTGGCGATGTCATCACCAACCTTTTTTGGAGAAAGGTCAAGGGGGCCAAACTAGGGAGCCAGGGTAGATGTGGCACCAACTTCCCCACCGGTGCACCTCAGTTGCAAATGACTTTGATCTTGTTGGGGCCGAACTTCAGTAGCATTGTGGAAGTGGCTGGTGTTGGATGAACCCGGATTTGGAATGAGGGACAAGAGTTGCACCTTTGCCCCCTCTGAGTTGAAAGCCAAAAGCCAGATGAGAAGGAATCTTGACAGAATATGATTTGGGGGGATCTGAGGCTCCTCAAAGACAGTGTGCCCTGAACCAAGAAAAAATATTTCAGACTTAAAAGAAATTAAAGATAATTAAATGCAATATGTAATCTGGATGTGACCTTGAGTTGGGGAAATAGTTGATATAAAGGACAGCTTTGAAACACATATTAAATAATAGTATTTTGTCAGTTTTCTGAATTTGATCATTGTTCAGGGATTAAACAAGGGAATATCTTTGTAAGCATAGAGAGTCATATGTGTAATCTACTCTCAAAAGGTTCAACAACAGAAAATAGGAATATTATATACATACTACATGTAATATATGTAAAGAAAGATAAATGTGACAAAACATTAACAATGGCTAGTTTTTTTTCAAGCTGAAAAGTGTAATTAAAATTTAACTCTGAATGAAATACCAGAAACTAAGATTTCAGGATTATTGTGGCATCCAGTGGTATAAGCCTATTATTTAGCAACATTGAGGGAACTACCAGCAGAAATATGTAAAAGTGGTTCCCTCTGGGAAAGCAGACCCAGTGGTTCCCTCTGGGTTCAGCAAATGTGGGGAAGAAAATAATAAGTCACTGATGAAATCCTAAAAGAAATGTGGTTGATTTAAAAGGACGTTGGGAGACAGCAATCACAAGGTAGCAGCACTGGACTTGGGGAGGATCAAGTGAAACAGGACTAGGCGTTCTCTTTGTATCATAGTAGTATAAAATGACTATGTAAATGCACCCTACTTGCTGAAACCAATATCTTGCCTCCTCTCCCATAAACAGCTTTGCTGTGCCCCACATAGCAGGCACTGAACTAGGATCCGGGCCATTGGTTACTGAACTGAAGGGGCCTCCCAAGTCTCTGCGGGGGTCATGGTTTCAACCAGACTCAGAGCTACAGATAGCGACCTCTAAGCCTGGCTCTCTTCCTCCTTCATCTTCCCGACCGTCTCCCTCCTCCGGTAGGTCAGTTCAATTTCCCTCTGACGCGCCCCGCCCCGCGGCATCTGTCTACCCAGAACCCCCAGCACAGCCACCCTTCCTTTGAGGGCAACAAACCTAGAAATAACTGGCCCTTGTCTTCTTGCAGACTTAAACGTTCGAGTCTATTTCCGAGCTTCCAATTCTCTTCTCACGACCTAGCTCTGTATCTAAACTGTAACACACCCCACAAACCTAGAAAAAAAAAGGAAATTCTTGCCGCCCCACTGCCCTCTATGCAGGAGCAGGAAACCTGCCAAGTCCCACCCACTACAGGAAACCCCGCCCACCGGACCGTGAGCTCGAAACTTTGCGCCAGACCGGAACTTGTGCACAGACCCGCGCGTCTGTAAAAGCGCCGGAAGATGCGCGGCCGGAAAGCGAAGGACTTGGTTTTCCTCTCGCCCTTGCTGGCTGGGCGGTACTAAGTGAGGAGTCAATCCTGCAGGGAAGTCATGGCGCTGGCTTCGCGGCTGTGGCGCTTTCGTCCTTCGGGGCGGAATGCAGCCCCGGGACTTGGGCTTCCGAGGCGGGTTACCGGCGGGCGCGGAACGTGTATGCAAGGACGCAGCGGCTCAGAGGTAGCTGCTGAGTTCTGGCTCACGGGGAGGGCGCGTGCTGGCCACCGAGGCACACAGGCAAGGGTTACCCTTACACAAGCCTGCTTTCCTTCCTGCAAACGGCGGCGCGCTCCTCGTCCCCAGCCTCTGCCTGCGCTTCCTATGAAAGCTCGTTTTCTCTGCACAATTTTGTGGACGCGGTGAGGTGGCCCTTGGATTGTCCTGTTCTGGCGTTTCTATTTGGCTGGGCCTTGGTTTATTTACGGAGGAGGATTGGGAGCTGAGGGTAGGCACTGGTGCACGTGACAGTGCATTTGAACTGGATGTGTTATTCTTTTAAAAAATTTTTTGAGTGCCTACTGTGTTTCTTAGTGTGGTTGGGGGCTGTGTGAAAGAAGGGCTCAACTTCTTTCCTGCAAAGCTTGAAGCCGGGTGGGGAAGTGTTAAGTAACTTGGGTGGGAAGAGAGGGAGAAGTAGTACTAAGCATGAAATTACTGAGCTTCAGGTTTTTGAGGCAGAGCATTGGTGAAGTTAAAATTCTGGAGGACTGAGATATATAACATTTCTTGAAGGCTTGCTGTAACCATACATTGTATTAAGCATTGCCTCATTTAATCTTCATTTCCATTGTAGGGGATAAGAAATGTTATTTTAACCATTTTTAAAAAGAGGAAACTGAGGTGGGTAGGGTTAAATAATGTGTCCAAGCCTTACAGCTGGAAAGATACGGGTTTGGTGGCAGGTTGACCATCCCCCGAGGCTATGAGCTGCTTATTGTTGCTGTGTTAAAAACATGGAAACTAGAGAAGCAGCATAGACAGGGTAGAAAAAGACAAGGCCAGAAGGCGAAAATACAGCACCTTCTTGCTTAATGTGGGAGGTAGGGCAGAGCTCAGGGACATTGCAGGTTTCACTCTAGGCCACTGCTGTTAAGTGAGTTCTCATTTGTGTGTGTGTGTGTGTGTGTGTGTGTGTGTGTGTGTGTGTGTGCGCGTGCGCGCGCGCGCGCGCTCGCTCTGTTGGAGGAGCTCTCCTTCAATGTGTTAAATTTGAAACACCTGTGTAGCACAATAAGGTGCGGCCCACTTGTGTAACAGAACAGTAAGAGTTAAGTTCCTGCTGCATCTCATCAGCCTTGTAATGACAAAGTTATTCCAGAACCTGCTGTAATAACATTCTAAGCCAAAGGCAATAACGAAGATTATTCTCTCCAGGTATACTGAATTTTTAAGGAGTTGTAACTACGTTTTGTTACCGATTTACCAGTTACTCATGTATTTTCAAGCCTTGGTCATTGTAGTTTTCTTTTTCCAAAGTTTTTCTCGAAGCATAATAAAGTCAGTAAGTTGAGCTAGAGGTATTTATTTCTTAGGAGTTTGCAGAGCGTGAAGGTTACTTCTGAGGGGCTGAGAGAACATTTCATTTGTCTTTTCCAATTGCAATCTGTATTACATAACACCCATCTTGGAATGTTTATTTTTCAACAAATTTGTACTGGATGTTTTCTCTGAGCACAGCTGTGTTCTATGCTGAGGATACAATGAATGTAAGAAACAAACCTTTTCTCATTTATATTACAAATTTGAAGGAAAGGTGGCCACTTAGTAAATGTAATGAATGGTGGGTGTGAGGAAAAGGGCAGCAAAGTTACACTAAACTTGATCTTGGAGGAAGGAAGAGAAAAGGTGTGAGCAGTTAGAGGTGAGAGATACAGAGTGATGAGGACAACAGTATTTAATATTTTTTAAGATTTTATTTACTTTTTTAGAGAGGGGGAAGGGAAGGAGAAAGAGGGAGAGAAACATTAATGTGTGGTTGCCTCTCACGAGCCCCAAACTGGGGACCTGGCCTGCAACCCAGGCATGTGCCCTGATAGGGAATCAAACTGTCGACCCTTTCTTTGCTTTGCAGGCCTGTGCCCAATCCACTGAGCTACACTAGCTAGGGCATTACAACAGTATAAGTGTTGTGGTAAGAAACAGGGATCTTTTTAAGGAATTAAAAATGACCGAAGTCTGGAATGGGAGAGTAAACTGAAATAAAGCTAAGAAGTCAGCATGTACCAGTTTTTTAATTAGCTGTTATTATACAACAAATCATCACAGAAGTTAATGGCTTAAAACAGCAAGTGGTTTTGCTGGTTAGGGGGAGACCAGGTGAGGCTTAGTGGGGTTCCTCCAGCTGGTTTCTTGGGAGGTTAATTTGGGCTGTTCAGCTGCTGAAGGCTTAAATGAAGGCTGGTGCTATGCTGTCTCTGCTGTGCCCTGGTGGTGGGACAGTTGGTTAAGGATTGGCCCTTGGGACCCAGGAACATAGGTCTTGTTGGTCACCAGAGCCAGATGTAGGGGTATTCCCTGGGCAGTAGATGCAGAAACTATGGTAGTGATGTGGAGGGAGAGTGTGATGGTAGTGTTCACCCTTCCTGGTGCCTGGAGAGGGTGGTCACCATTGGTCTCTGGATGTGTGTTATATTAGATACTTGCCCTTCAGGCTGAAATTTTAAGTTAAGTGAATAAACCTCTTTCACAGAGACTTCATCCCCTTAACTGTCAGCTGCCTCTGTGGTGGGCTCTGGGGTGGGTGAGTCTGGGAAAGTCTTTTACACATGGTTTCTCACTAAGCATTTGCCTAATTGGATTCCAGCCTCATTGGCCTTCTAAGCAAGATGTTTCGGGGGCTTGTCTTTCAGGTGTGGGTCTCAAAAGTTAGGGTGTCCGGTGTGGGGTTCAAAATCTTTGCTCTTTGGAAAGAAGAGTTCTGTGATTGTGAATTGCTGTCAGGAGTGGGGTTTATGCAAGACTGTGTTTCTGCCTTTCCCACCTGTTCCACTATGGGTTTTTTTCTCGCTTGATGTGGAGTCACTCAGCTAGATTTGGGGTTTGTAGCTGTAGATTTGCTGTGTCTGTGGCAGGATCTGTGTTGGGATCCTCCTCAGTTGGGATCCTTTTGAATGGGAACCTGTGGAGGCCACCAACCACAGCCAAGTTCTGAAAACCTTGTAAATCTGATTTTATTTTAAAGGTTGTAGAAACCATGAAAGAGTTTTAAACACATGTTTTTTTAAATTAGATTTGCATTAAGAACAACTTTTGTGTAGTGTCAAAAATGGATAGGGTAGTGGATGCTGGAGATGAGGTAAGGATCATTGCTATAGGAGAGGTGAGCACTATGGTGGTTTGAACTGTAGTGGGGGCCGTGGGACTGGAAATCAGTGGTTGCAATCCGAGGCTGTTGTGGAGATAAACTTAGCAGACTCAAAAGATAGATTTGGTGTAAGGGTTAGAGGGAAGGGGTGAAGGAAGAGTCTCAGTTTCTGGCTAGAGCACGGTGTGGGCAGTGGTGCTGTTTGCTGGGCTAGGACTACAGAAGGCAATCTGGAGGCTCAGGAAGGAGATTAATTATGTTTCAGGCTATTTAAGGTGAATGTGATGAGGTGGCCAAGGTGATGTGTGGAATAGACTGTAGTTGGACAGGTCAGGTGTTTACCTTCTGAGGTCAGGGCTGGCGATTACAGATTCAGGAAACTGCAGCACATAGTTCTAAGTAATACTGTAGTAATAGTAAGACTGGAAGAAAGCCTGGTACCCACCATGGAAGAGTTCCAACATTTAAGAGGAGGAGGAGCTGGCAGGAAGTTAGGAAACCAAGAGATGATGGTGACACCTTTCTTTTTATGTAGTGATGAGTTTGTAGCTTGAAGTAGTACAATTGATGTTGAAGGGAAGACATGTTTAAGAGATAGCTTCTTCTATTGTTCAACAAATGTTTTTGAGAAGTCCTTCTGTGAAAGGCATTGTGTTGGGTGAATGAGGGGAAATGGCACATTCTAGCTGTCTCAGTCCACAAGTCATTAGCAATTTGGAGTGTCACTGAGTCCTGATTCTTTTAAGTGATTTTGTAGTTTCAGAAACATGATTTTATCCACTTTCCGAGAGGTCTGCTTACAGTAATTGAAGTGATGAGTACAACTGCAAACTTTTCCTTCATTAATTTGCAATAAGACATGTAAATGCCAGCTGCCTATCAGCGCATTACTCCCTCTTAAGAAAGCGAGAATGTGGTTCATTCAGCATGATGTCAGCAAAGAGAGTTGAACACCCTAGATCAGGGGTGTCAAACTCATTTTCACTGGGGGCCACATCAGCCTATGAAAGGTCAAATGTAATTTTATCTCCCTAACAATTAAGCAGTAGTTACATTTATACAGTCCTACAATTATTTCAGCCCTTCGAAGGCAACTGCAAAGCTGATGTAGCCCCTGGTAAAAATGAGTTTGACACCCCTGCCCTAGATTCATAGTTTCCTCAAGTCCGTGCAACCTTTTCTGCTATGTGATCTTCCTGCCAGAGCTTGGGAGCTAGGAGATTCCCTGATAAAATCTTAGTCATTTTCTTATTTTATTTTTTAAAGAGAAAGGAAGGGAGGGAGAAAAGGGGAGAGGAATATTGATGTGCAAAAGATGTGTCAGTTGGTTGCCTCTCGGCATGCCCTCAGCTGGAGACACGTGCCATGACTAGGAATCAACTGAGACATTTTGGTTTGCATGCGAGCACTGAATCCATTGAGCCACTCTAGCCAGGGCCCTCTTCTTTTTCTAGGTACCACCATCACCATGTGTGTGCATGCACATGCACACACACACCTATATCCATTGCCTTGCCCCATCTTGCTTCTCTTAGTTAAATAAAAATAAATGCAGAAAATTCAATGTTAAAAATGGGACTATATCAAATTTAGTTTTGCTACTTTGTTGTTGATATGTTTTGAATCCAGTCATGTGCAGTATCCTAAATATTCATGCTCAAGAAAGTAAATACAGGCCCTGGCATGGGCAGCTTAGCTAATTGGAGTGTCATCCAGATATGGCAAGGTTGTGGGTTCAGTCACCAGTCGGGGCACATAGAAGAATTGACCAATAAATACATAAATAAATGGAAAAACAGACTGATGTCTGTTTGTTCATCCCCTCTACCCCCTTTCTTTCTCTCTAAAATCAATAAATGGAAAGTAAAGAAAGGCACTGAACAAGCTGCAATATGCCACATTCCTCATTCCTACTGTAGATACTTAAGAGAAGTTAAACTGTGGATCAGGTATGGGGTGGAACAGAGTCAAGAATGACTCTGGGGTTATGTGTTTGTTTTCTTAATCTGCACAGTCAGAAGAATTTACCTTGAATGGGAAAACAGGAATGGAGTTAGGGAGGTGATAGCTGTCTTAGCTGATGTACATGAGATGCATGTTGTACTTCATGTATAGAGAAGTGTTGATTAGGTAGCTAGCTGCATTTAGGATTCTGAAGTATAGAGGAGACATCCTAGCTCAGATTACATGTGCAGGTTTTGGGCATGTTCATGGCATTTGAAGTCAAAGTACAATCACCAGAATGATACAAATAAAAGGAGGTCTGGGACTAAGCTCAAGACTCATCTGGGCAGGGAGGTATTGGAGATGAGGAACCAACTAGAGACAAGCTGTTGAAACAGGAAATTCTAAAGAGTAGTATTTCGAAAGCCACATGAACAGTGTGCCAAGAGTTAAGAGTTAGAACAACAGGTGCTGAGGAAAGAGGCTGGGTTGGTTACAGAGAATCAATTTGTCTTGACTCTGCCAGTGATGATGGTTTTACAGGTTTGTACAGTGTCATAACTGGTACACATTATGTATATGCCATTTATCGTATGTCACACATACATCTCAGTATAGTGGTTTTTCAAAATCATACATCCAGTCCTAATTGGTGTAGCTCAGCTGGTTGGTTGTCCGCAAAGGAAAAGGTTGCTGGTTCGATACCTGCTCAGGGAACAAGCCTGGGTTGCAGTTTGGTCACCAGTCCAGGCGTGTATGAGAGGCAACTGATTGGTGTTTCTCTGCCTCTTTCTATATCCCTCTCTCTCTAAAAATAAATTAATAAATAAAGAAAGCCCCAAATGTTCATTCATGACTTAAAAAAAAAGCAGGAGGAAATTAACCACTGTCAAATAAGTAAGAGGTGGGCCAAGTAAGAGAAGTGAGAAAGGCCACAGGAAATGGAGCACCCTTGGTTACCGGCCAGATATCTGCATGGAGTGTGGTCTACAGATACTTTGTGTGTGAGCTCTAAGGAGAAAGAATGTGGGGGAGAGGTGGAGGTCGTGAGTACAGATGACTTTTTAAAAGAGTTTTGCTGAAAAGAGAAGTCAGAAAATGAGACTGAAGGGAGATGTGGTCAGGAGGAAGGTCTTTGCTATAAGAAGAGAAAGATCCAGTTTACCAACATGGTACAGCTTGTTATTATACAAGCTGGGAGGTCGAAATGAATCAGCAGGGAGGGAAATACTGATGCCATTGCCCTGGAAAGGGGGCAAGACCCACACATGCCTTCTTTCCTGTTGGTTTTGGGGATTGTGGCCATAGTTGTAAAAAGTAATTTCTAAATCTGTTTGGATATACTCTATATTCAAATATAGAGCTGTATATAGAGCATATACTCTATACTCTATATTGTTTATTGAAAACTATGGGTTTATACATCACTTTTAAAGATATCTTAAAGCTATTTCCATTTTTTATGTGTACTAATTACCACATTTAATATTTTTCATCTTGTGTTGTCTTAAGACTGATACTGGTTTGGCCAAAAAGTCTGTATGTTTTTACCGTACAATGGCTCTTGTAGTGCTTAGTTGTCTTTAACTTCATTCAAAATAATTTTGTTAGATGGTACTGTGACAGCTGTCATATCAGTGTGCATTAAAAAAAATCAAAATTGGTGAATTTTTGTGTATCCATTTTAATATTGAGTATGAAAGAAGATATGCAATATTTTTGGTGTATTATGCTTTATTTTTTCAAGAAAGGTTAAAATGCAGCTGAAGTACAAAAAAGATTTGTGCAGTGAATAAGGACTGCTGTGACTGATTGAATGTGTCAAACGTGATTTTCTAAGTTTTTTGCTACTATTGACATTTTGGCCAAAACATTTTTTGCTGTGGGACTGTCTCATGCATTAGATGTTTAGCAGCATCCGTGGCCTCTACTCCCTAGAAGCCAATAGTGGGACATAGCAGACATACTCAAAATTTCCAGATCAATAAAGTTATTGGTGAAAATGAAAGATGTGTCTTTTGTTTTAAGGAAGAAACTAAACAGACTTTTTGGGCAACCCAGTATGTTGGTGTCTTATATTTTTTTCAAACAATTATACTATCCATGCCTCCTCAATCCAGCACTTACCAGCATGACAGATTTTTAGATAAGCTTACCTCCCTTAGATGTTATACATCTTTTTTTTAACAGGATATGCTCTCCCTATAAAGTAATAATGTGAAATAGTTTCACTGAAGAATTTGATGAGTTAAATTTTAAGCAGTATCATTAGGATTGATTGCTTTGGGAAAGGGGGAGAAAAGTGGTGTGATTTTTGCTTGGTGTAGCAGTTGTTTCAAATTTTCTGGTTGATGACCTCTGACCATGATTGTTTCCACAGGTGATAGGAAACCCACCAACTTTCAAAAGAAGCCTTATATTCTCAGCCTTGTCTTATTTGGGTTTTGAAACTTACCAACTTCTTTCTTCGGCTGCTGTGGTTTATGCCACAGCCAAAGGTAAGTCAGTTAAACATCTGAACTCCTAGTGGTTTATGTTTGTCATTTTGGGGTTAATAACTTAGTTATTTTTTAATACATTTTGAGATTGATGTTGATGTTGTTAATAGGCTAGATTATTTTCTGCTTTCCTCTACATGTCAGTCTGATATATTTTTCTCTTAATAATTGCAGCTCCTTCAGTGAGAAATACTATATTAATACATTATAATTTTAATAGGACCCTTGAGCTAAGATTGGTACCTTTTTTCCCTTTATTTTTATTGAAGACATTACAGATACCCCCATTTCTCTTTCCATACCACCCATTCCCCATACCCTCTTCCCTGTGGCCATCATCAAACTGTTGTCTGTGTCTATGGGTTATACATACAGATATGTTTTTTATGATATATTTTTAAAGGGCTGAGGGGTTGTGCTGGGAACAAAGAATATCCTACAGAGACCGTATCTGGTCCACAAAGCCTAAAGTTCTTACTCTCTAGATGTGTATAGAAAAAGTTTGTCAATCCCTACTTTATAATGATACAATGATTATTTTGTTTCCTTATTGCTAAAGTGTTAGAGATTCTTGGTACAGTTAAGAAAGGCTCCATTTCTTTGAGATAGAAGTACTTAATTTATAAAGAATGCAGCACTGGCTGGTGTGGCTCAGTGGATTGAGTGCTGACTTGCGAACCAAAAGGTCACTGTTTCGATTCCCAGTCAGGGCACATGCCTGGGATGTAGGCCAAGTCCCCAGTAGGAGGTGTGTGAGAGGCAACTACCCATTGATGCTTCTCTCCCTTTTTCTTCCACCCTTCCCTCTGTGTAAAAATAAACAAGTAAGTAAATAAATAAAATCTTAAAAAAATGCAATTTGGTACTAAATATCAAATAACTGGTTGAAAGTAGAAGAATTACGTCAAATTTCTTATTTATATACTATAGATAAATAAATATTAAGAATTGCTATATTTTAAAAATTAAATTTAGTTAAGTTGTGTATGTAGACAGAACCAAAATTTTAGCAGTTAGACAAAGTCTTTTCATTGACACGTTAAGATCTTTTTCACAGGACCCACTTTTTAATCAAGAAGGGAGTTGGAGAAGGAAGCAGAAATTTGAATAGCTGTTCATATTAAAGTTCTGGTAGATGAAGAATTTCAGAATATTAGCTAAAAATTACTAGTTACTGATTTTGTTTGTGAGTATTCTTTAAAAAGCAGGTAGTTGAGAACTGCTGTTTATATCTTTGTTTTTTGTAATGTATCATTTTACCCACACCTGTGTGCAGTGAAGCAAATGTTTTTGGTGTCCCTCTGAAGGATCTGAACTCGGTTATAGGATCAGAAGAAGACTGTGAGCAGTGGGAAAATGTCCACAAAGAAGTGATCACCTGTGGCTAGGAGATAGTGAACATCAAAGAGTTTTTTTAACTGGGCTTTTGGCTCATCTATAGTTGATCAAAGGGGAGCATTTTGAAGAGTTTTAGGATTTCCATCATTGGTAAGGGTCTCAGTGGAATAAATGTATCCTGGGAGAGAATGGAATCACAAAGATGACACTGACCCCTGACGAGGAGGCTCGTTTGAAAAAGACTGTAGAAAAAACTTTGGCAAATTCAAGAGGTCAAGCTTTATAGTTATTTAAAGCTACCATTCTGAACTTATTAAAGAGGTGGTAGTTACAGGATTATATACCGAACATTTGAATAAACTTAAATTCATAAAAGTAGGGAAAAGAAATGGGGTGGAATGACTTAGCTCTTCAGCTTTTTTATTTAGCCTCCAGGTGCTGGATGTTACTTACTATTTACAGTTCCTAAGTGACTGCAGCAAAGATGTTTCTGCTACTTCCAATGTACAAGTACTAGCCTTCTGTATGTATACAGTTGTTATTTGGACCAAAAGTATATATGATATATGTGCGTATTATAGAAGTTCTGATTCCTTTTATTCAGTACATACTAATGCATTCATTTTGGCTGGCTTATGTGTATGTTTGCTTATATGCTTCAAAAGAAGTCATAACTTCCTCTACAATGTAAAAATAAAAGTATATACAAGGGGGAGCCCAAAATAAACCAGAATTAATTAAAAAATTAGGTATTTAGTCTTAAATGCTTAAACTTCAGTCACTTTCAAAGTATTCTCCATATGATGCAGTACACCTATTCAGACTTTTTTCCACTGCTCGGAAGGTTTTGAACACATTGATTTTGATGCCTTTTAGTGCTTCTACCATTTTTTGTTTCACCTCTTCCATGTTGGCAAAACATTTCCCACTGAGGACTTTTTTCATCTGGAGAAACAAATAAACAAACAAACAAACAAACAAACAAGGTCCCTCAGGGCAAATCAGGTGAATAGGGAAGGTGGGGGCACAAGGGTCACATCTATGTGTGACATACCTATGAATACTCAGCACCTTTTTGGGTGGGCTGGTGCACTCCTAAATTACTCATCATGAAATGAGAAAACATGTTGAAAGAGTCTTCAAAAAAAAAAATTCACTGAAGCCAAATGCAGCCTCCCACAACAGCGCCATCTAGTACACTGACACAGATGGGTTCCTAGAACACTCACCTAGAGGGGGAAGCCTATACAGGTGGTCTGCCCTCCAGAAGATAATTCTGTTTTTATTTTGGTCTCTCGTACATGCAGAAATAATTCAATGTTCCAGCCCTAGCATTAAATAAAACCTTGGGAAAAATTAACATTTTAATATTCCAAGGTATACCTTATTCTGAAAACTAAATTCATTGTGTTTATAATAGAGATTTTAATGAAACCTACCCTATGTTTTAGAATCCTTTCCTTATTTTCAAGCATATTTTGACCACTTGAAATATTAATTAATACTTCAATTAATACTTGAAATTAATATTTCAAGTGGTCAAAAAGAGTGGCAAATAAAAGAGTATGGATGTTTATTTAGCTTTCCTTGATTTTTTTTAGCTTTGTTTCCTTATTGGCATGCTCATTAAATTTGTTTATAAGACCAGGATGTAGCCCTTAAAAAAAAAAGAGGTCAATTATTGATAAAATATAGAAGCCCTGTTTTTTTATAACTTGGAAAATGATTCAAGTTTGTGTGAAAATATATAACTTCATTGGTCCTTATAAGTTTTCCTTTGTTATTTCTCTCTCTTTCCTATGCTGTGATACTTATTTTTAATATTTTTTGAAATTGGTCTTCAAATAATTCCATTCATCAGAACGTCTGCTTAATTCTCTTTAAACCTGCATCATGCTCATTGAAACCAATTAATTTTTTTCTCCAGTTATGGGATTAAATCCTTCTGAATTGAGCTTTTTTTAGAACTTAACCTAAGGACATAATATGTTTTTTGACGTTCTAGTTGGATGGGATCGTGGGACTCATTTTTAAGACATTGTCTGTGTGTACCACTAGATTGTTTCAAATACCTACTTGTCAGCAATAATTGAAACACTCAATGCATTTTTTATTTCCTTAAAAGAGACAAAATTTAAAGCCCCTTGAGATATGCTAGTGTGAGAGAGAATGTTCACTTTTAAAATGCTTAAAAGTGGCTCAACCTGCATGACCTTCCTAAATCACTTCCATTGTCTCTTCACTTTTTATCTTGATTTCTCTTTATTAAAGATCCTTTAGAGCTGAGGTCAGTGCTCCTTTACACTAACCTTGTGTTACTTTAGGGCCCTTTTTAGATGCACTGTCTCCAGTACTGCTGGGGATTATTGGTGTGAAAATTTTTTCTTAAATTTTAAGATATTGCTGGTACTTAGACCCTTTTAGTATCTAGAGAAATCTTAGATTATCTAGAATGTTTAGATACTTATTTTCTGCTAAATCTTCTAAGGAACTTCAGAAATAGAGCTATTTTACCTGCTTAGAGTAGTTTCATCCCTGTCCAGGTACCTCTCACATGCCTCAGAGTGCACTCAGCAAGAAAAACGGAAAAACCTGAGTTTACTAACTTATACATGTAGTTACATTATTGACTCTTTTTACATTGACCTTTTAAAAAAAATTTTTTTTGAAAAATGCAGAAATTCATTCATTGCCCATATTCATTTTAGGCTGAATTTAAAATTTCACTGTACAGTTGTGAGTGAATTAATATCTCAGTTTATCTTGAGATATGTATTGATTATGTTGAAGACTTTTTTAAATTATACTGATTATGCTATTACAGAAAAAAGTAATGTACTTTAAAAATTTAGTCCATTTTATAGAATATGGTCTCTTTATGTCAGTAACATAGCTTATTTTTAAATATTTTCAGGGAAAGTGCAGAGCATTAAACAAAAAAATATACAGCTGATTTACAGAGATATCAGTGATCTACATGCTCCCACCTTAGTGCCTATGCGAGTCTGTAGTATCAGAGTAAGTGCATCTTATAAATTATCCACTAAATGAGTTTAGAAATCTCTGTTTACAGTCAGGAAAAAATATTTTTTAAAAATCTGGATAGTATAGCTTATGGTACTGTTCTATATAATAAATTGGAGATAAGTGATTTAAGTTATAAAAGTATAATACACACAAATAAGTTAAATTATTTTAAATTATTCACTAGATTTCTACGTTTAAAAAAAGTTACATGGGTGATGAATGTAGAGTTCCTGGATCATGTTAAGGACAGTATCTCTATTAGGCTCCTCAGGGTGTGGAATACAAAATCAGTGAATAGAATTAAATGTGACTTTGCTACTTATATATGCCATATATACATTTCAGTATGCCAAGTCAGTATGTTAAATATTATGAACAAGTTTCCGCATACTTAGTGATTTACTATCTTCCAGTTCATAGTGTAGAAGCCCCAGATGGGTCCCACTCTCTTCAAGTCAAGGAGTCAGCAGGGCTGTGGTTTTATTTGGAGGCTTGAGGGGAGAATATTTCCAGTGTTTTCACCTTTTAGAGGCTTTCCGCATTTCTTGGCTGAAAACCCCTTTCCTCCCTATTCATAGTGACAATCGTTATCACTCTGACCTCAACTCCATTGTCATACTTTCTCTGACTTTTTTCTTCTGCTTCCCTTGCCCACTTTTAAGGACTTTGTTATTATTCTGAATGCACCTGGCTAATCCAAGTTCACTTCCTAGTTTGAGGTTAGCTGGTTAGCAACCTTAATTACATCTGTAAATTTAATTCCCCTCTATTATGTAAGCTGCATATTTTTATAGGTTGCAGTGATGCAGACTCCGGCCCACCAGAGTCTGTGTGTTGTGGATGCGGTACACAAATTCACACAGACTACCAAATCCTGTGGAGAAAAAGGGATGGCACAGCCACCAAGGGGAGAGCAACTTGAGTGGCTGAGCCACTCTCTTAAGAGGAGAGTGCGCCAGCCCTTGCCTGGACAGGCTTTTACTGCTTTTCAGTTGCATTACATCAAAGAAGGTTCTCATTTCTAGATTTAGTTAAGTGATTACTTCTTACAGATAACAACAAAAAAGAAAAAAGCTAATGCAAGGGAATGATAAAAATTATTCGATTTTATTTAATCCTTGGGACATCTTAGCACAGAATTTAGGGAATTGCTTCAGAGATAAACGTTAAACATCTGCAGTCTTAACTCAGGGTGAGGGATTTTTAGCAAAAGCAAGTCTCATAGCAGCCTAGGTACAATGCAGGCCTGGCTCCCCATGGGAAAGCTGATCTGCACACCTGACTCCTGTGTGGTGCTTCGCATTGATCGGTTTTCCGGATCCGTGCTGGGCTACATTTGCCATTGCCATGCTGATTGGTTCCCTATATTTCAGGGATTAGGATGTGGACATGATGAGGGTCACAGTTCTGTTTACCACAAAATATTAACTAAGAATGTTAAGACTATTACTTGACTGAATTACTTGACTCTTTTTAAAAGTCATAACCAAATTTGGAAGATGAGCTGCTGATAAAAATAAACATAGAATAAAATGGAAGTCACTTAAGAAAATTAACCAACTGTGTTATTACTGGGTTAGCCAAAAAGTCTGTTTAGTTTTTTTCCTTAAAAGATACATTTTTCATTTTCACTAATAACTTTATTGATCTGGAACTTTTGAGTATGTCAGCTATCTCCCACTATTGGCTCCTAGTGGGTAGAGGCCAGGGGTGCTGCTACATATCTTCCAATGCATGAGACCGCCCTACAGCAAAAAGTTTTTTGGCCAAAATGACAGTAATACCAAGAAACTTTGCAAACCACTTTTGACAGGTTCAGTCAGTCACACAGCACCTTCTTCATTCACTGCACAAATCTTATTTTGTGTTTCAATTGCATTTTAACCTTTCTTGAAATAATAAAGCATAATATGCCAAAAATGTTGCACATATTAAATATTAATATACACAACAATATTAAAATGATGCACAAAAGTTCACCAATTTTGACTTTCTTAAATGCACGCTGATATGACAGCTGTCACAATACAATCTAACAAAATTATTTTGAATGAAGTTTAAGACAACTAAGCACTACTAGAGCCATCTTATGGGGAAAAAAATGAAATTTTTGGCTAACTCAGTATTTAACTGTATCACCTAAAGAGATTGAGATAAGATTGAAGAAGAAAAAAAGACTAAGGGTTTCTTTGCTATTGTCATTTAATTTTTATTTATTTATTTATTTTAAAGATTTTATTTATTTCTTTAGAGAGGAAGGGAAGGAGAGAGGGAGAGAAACATCAATGTATGGTTGCCTTTCATGCATCCCCTGCTGGGAACTGGCCTGCAGGGAACCAGCCTGCAACCCAGACATGTGCCCTGACTTGGAATCGAACTGCGATCGTGTGGTTGGCAGGCCCGCGCTCAATCCACTGAGCTACAGTGATTTTTCTTAAACTAGTATGATTATATCATGATGTTAACAATAAAAAATACTTCATGTGGTTTTCTCATGTTCATTTTTTTCTTTTTTGATGTAGGTTTTAATTTTAAAAATTAAAAAATTTAATTTAAAAATTTAACCTCAAATACACTATGATTAATTAAAGCATTCCAAGATAAATAACAATTGAACCCAATACATTAGAATGTTGGTTCATTCGTAGGATTGACTAATAAGCACCCTTATAAAAAACAAAATTAACATTGTCTCCTTTAGTAACAATTGGAATATCTTAAAATTTATATTTAAGTTTTTCCAGTAATTGGTCAACTTCAGAGGCTTACACTGTCTATAAGGTTTATGTGTTTGGGGGTAATGTCTAATGTAGTTAATGAATTGGTTGGAGTATAGTGTGAATCAGGTAAGTTTCAGATTCTCCATACAGTTGATTTCATCCAAGTTTTTGATGACAAATTTGACTCTTTTTCTGTAAAGTATCTATATAAGTCAGGTCATAAAGCAAATCTAGTAAAACAGTGTGTTTCAGTACATGCAAATTAGTAATTTTCAGTACTGTAAGTGGATGTTATAATTTTCTACAGTGGATGATACTTAACAGTGGCAACATCAAAGACTGGAGGACAAGTGTACCATAACTTGTCACAGAAAGTTCCTGTTCTCACTAAAAAAAAAAAAATACCAATTTTAGTACCAGAATAAGTTGTCTAATTTTGTATTTTTCATGCTATAAATAAATCACTGACTGATAGTTTCATAATTTATTACACTTGTGTTTAGATACTCCAGGATTTTGGATCTAATTTTCTTTGCTTATATATGAGTTTGTGTTTCTTAGAAGTTTGTATCTGGCTTGGGAAGACCTACTTTACTGTGTTATTTTCATTTATAGTCTTCAGAGTTGAAGAAATACTCCAACAAGCTGATTACCTCTATGAAAGTGGAGAAACGGCAAAACTCTATCAGTTGCTGATCCAGTACAAAGAAAGGTGAGCAGAGTGTTCTCGTGTTATTTAACACTTAAAATGAGTCTTAGTGCTGTGAATATTTATAGTTTTTTTTAAGACTTTTACTTCAAAATAGTATTTTTTTTTAAAAGATTTTATTTAGAGAGAGGGGAGGGGAGAGAGAAAGGGAGAGAAACATCTATGAGTGGTTGATTCTCAAGTGCCCCCTACTGGGGACCTGGCTGCAATCCAGGCACGTGCCCTGATTGGAAATCAAAAGGGCAACCCTTTTGTTCCCAGGCCAGGGCTCAATCCACAGAACCGACCAGCCAGGACCAAAGTTATATTTCTTAGAGTTGCATTTGTAGCAAGCTATTTCTGTCTTCTGTTAAATAATTTGCAAATGCTATATGTATATTATTGATTTAGAAAAGGTTCTACTTATTATAGTAGAATATTGGAATCCTTTTTCTCTTTTGTTAGTGTGCTTTGGATCATACAAGTTAAGTTGCCAAATATCTTTATGTCATCTATATCATGTATTTTTCATTTCTTATAAATTAATTTCTTAATTGGTACAAGATTTTAATGAATTTGGGTGGTTATATGACTCCATTGAATGGGATCTGTGTATCATGTTAGAAGCTTAGTCTTTAGAAAAACTAAAAATAACTCCTTTTTAAAAAGTAGTTTACATGTTTGGTACAGAGTATCAGTGTGTATTCATTTAGGGGGAAGATAGAGGTGGGGTAGATCCACCCCTATAAAGTGAGTCAAATGAGGCATTTCCAGGTCACTGATTAACCTCATCTCCTATTCTACTGCCTTGCTTAGATTCTCAAGATGCATCATTTTACTTCCTAAATGTCTATAGGACCCATCTCTCCTTCCATGGTTCTCTCAGTAACTTGAGAAGGCTGGCTTGGCATTTTAAGCGCACTTCAGTAATCACTTGAAAAGTAAGCTGTTAGGTAGTTACTCCATATTCGTTGAATTATAAATATACTGTTGCTTCCTTTAGTTTAAAATTTTTATGCGAATACCACTTTTTGTTAAGAAATGCAGGGAGAGGCAAAAGTAGGTTTACAGTTGTGAATATCTAAAACAGTTTATTGTATTATTTATTTTATTGTATTATTTTCCATATTAACAACTGTGAACCTGCTTTTGCCTCACTCTGTATAATGTAGTAGACTTAAAGGCAGACATTTAATAAAAAGGAATTTAAGGCTAGTTTTAAAACTATTTCTAGTTCTTAATTTTGATTACTGTTTTTGTTTATTAAACATTTATTATTTTATATAATTATATTTAAGTGGAAGTTCTTCAAGGAGTTGAGTGCCCTTACTTGAAATACGCCATGTCTTGTGGCATGGATTCATTTGGAGATTATATTGTACTCATTCATTAATATGTACTTATCATATATCTGTTCTGTGACAGGTACTGTATGTGGGGCTAGGGTTCAACAATTTTTTATTTTAAAACAGACCCTCTTTGTCAAGTCAATGTGCATGATTTGCTCTCTGAAGCCCAGTGCAAGCAGTAAGCCTCAAGTTACATATTGCATATTATAGGGCACGTGTTGGAGAATTCAAATGCAAAGATATTTTCTAAGGAAGGTAGTATTTAAGATATAGTAAGTTAATGTTTATGTATAATACTATATATTGTGTAGGAAATTTCTCATCAAATAAAGCTCTGGGAGAGAAAAATAACAAATTTAACGTGGATAATGGCATTTGATACCGTGTTGCTTGCTGTAGTCTCTCTGTCCCGAAAGACCATATATAGTCGTTAGTGATGTGACCTTTGACAGTTTTTAAAAAATGTGAACTGAAGTATTGGTTTTATATCTACTTCAAATTAGTGAAGATGCAGAGTTACTGTGGCGTTTGGCTCGGGCATCACGTGATGTGGCTCAGCTTAGCGGAACCTCAGAAGCGGAGAAAAAAGTCCTGGTATATGAAGCCCTAGAGTATGCAAAAAGAGCACTAGAGAAAAATGAAGCAAGTTTTGCAGCTCATAAGGTGAGGTGCCTAAAGTAACAACGGTTACCATGTCCTGAGGGTTACACTGGTCTACACTACAGTTATCCCTAATTTATATGGAAAGATCATTCTCTATGTTAAAGTAGGGAAGAAATGTATTTTTATAACACTTTTTCAAAATGAAGTTTTTTCCTCTGCAGTCTTGAATACTTTACCTTCGTGAGTTGATTTGATAAATTATTTCTGTGAATACTTATTTTCATGAATTACCTGTATCTTTACTTCTAAAGATATAAAAACTTTACTTCTAAGATATAAAAGTAGTATAAAAACTTGACAGATTTTTTTCTCATTTTCCTTACATTCTATTTCTGTTCTTTGAAACCAAGTATAACTTTTCACATATAAGCTCCCTACTTAATGGACTTCCTAACGGGATAGAACAGTGGTTTTTGATGGACACTGGAGAATATGAGGCATTATTGATGTTTTGGATTAGGACGCCACTTTATCATGTTGGAATGTCCTCAGTAGAGCCCCAGGTCATTGTGACATTTCCAAATGCTCCCTTTAGGGGCCAGTTTCCTGGCCCGCTCCCCCAACCCCCCCCCCCCATGCTTGCGTGCATACACACAGGTTTTATATTAAGGAGAAAACAGATACAGATCCTTCAAATATGTTGAGACTTTTGAAAGCTCAGAATATGGTCCCATCTTTGTAAATGTTCTTTGTGCATATTCATTCAACTGCTGTTGAAAGTATCTTAGAAATGTTGAGATTCAGTTGTTGATAGTGGTGATCCAGTCATCTGTATCCTTACTGATTTCTTTCTACTTGTCCTACTCGTCATTGAGAGTGGAGTAAAATTTCCAAGTATAATTATAGATTTTGTCTGTTGATTTTTGCAATTGTATTAGTTTTTATAACGTATACTTTTATTTATTCACTTTTAATTTCTTTGAGTCCAAGTCTCTTATCTTTATTTTAAATGCCTGGAAGCCAGGCAGGTGGCAGCAGCAGTATCGTGTTCCTGGCTGGCCAGCACAGGCCTGGTGTGGCACCTCCATCTGGTCTGCCAATGGCAGTGCCAGTGGAGACCTCTGCCCCAGAACAGCCTAGATGCTCTGAACAGGCAGAGCTGCCAACCCTCCTTCATATCTTGATAACCAAGCTCCAGGAAGGAAGATGCTGTTTCCCCTGTATACTTGGGGCCCAGCATATGGTCTTCCTTCTCCCCACAGTGGCCCTCCAGGGTTTTTGCTCCCATCCTAAGGCATGCACTTTCCCAACTCTGGGTGCTAGTAGAGCCATGGGCATGGCCACAAGCTCCAGACATTAGAGAAGCTTGCATCTGACAACAGGTGGCGACACAGCAGGGCTGTGGGAACTTGCTGAGAGCTGAGCACACAGAGTAGTGAGGCAGTAGGGTGAGCCACAGGGATCAAAGGGTGTGTGGCCCTTAAGGTAGAGAGACCAGAAAGTCTGAAATAGCGGTGTGTCTCCCCACATGTGGTATGCCAGGTCATGCCAGGTAGCTGGCAGTGCATTGTGCAGCCTGTAGTTTTCTCAAGCTCTGTAGAGGAGGTGCCAGTGCAGAGTGGCTTCCCATTCATTTGCCTGAGTCAGATTCAGGATGTAGGTCTTGTGATCCAAGACCATGTGAGAGCTTCCCAGGTAGTCACCATCTGTTTGGTAGACCTGGTAACCAGGATTCAGGCTGATGTAAGTGGTGGTGCTAGGTGCCAGAAAGACTATACATAGACAGCAGCCAGCTCAGGGTTTCCTTGTCATAGAAGACTGCAACCTCATTCATGTGATTGTGGCCAAAGAATTGACCAGCCAAGGTGTTCTTGTACCTGGCTACAATTCAGCAATTCCAGCTCCTGCTCTTCAGGCAGTGCTCTGGGGGTATGTGGCCAATTACCATATTTTACCATGTGTAACATGCACTTTTTTGCCCAGATTTTTTAGGGAAAAATAAGGATGTGCATTATACATGGGTAGGTCTAATTCTGTATCTATATAAATGTTTACAATTATTTTATTTATGCTTATGTGTTAAAAGTATAACTAGAAAGCAATAATGATATCCATATGTTCAAAAATGAATGCTAAAATTCCTTTATAATATAAAAACAAGTATCTAAATATAAGTAAATTAAAAAATTAAAATGAAAGACTTTTTTCCCTGAGAATTTGAGCCAGAAACGTGGGTGCACTTTATACATGGGAGTCCATTATACACGGCAAAATATGCTATATACATCTTTTCTCCTTGGCAGCCTGAAGCTCCCCACTGGCTATTGTAACTGTCCATTGTGATCTGTGGAGTAGATCAAGAGCCAGAAGTTCTCATGGGAACAAAAAGTCATATTGAGAGAGATGAGGCAGAGGCTGGGCATGGGGAAAGGGTATAGAACCCCCGAATTCTCAAAGTGAGCATGATCCTCTTTGTCCAGTTCTTTGCTAGACATTTGGATGGAGGGCAGAGTCATATAGAACATCATCTGTAGTTTTAAAGAGCTCTCATTCTAGCTGAAGACCAAACAGTATGATGATAGGGCCCAAGTGCCTGGGGACAATGGTTCAGAGGACTAAGGGCTTAGGGAGTTCAGGGTAGAAAGAAAAGTGAGCTAGAATGGGAAGCAAAAGGCCACTCAGGAAAGAAGACATGGGCCTGGGTAAGTTGGGCAAAGGTGGGATGCTAAACAGGAGTGGAAGGCATTCTAGAAAGGGCCAGCGTGAGCACAGCTGAGACTAGTATGGAGAGGGTGTGTGGCCACACATGTACATTTAAAGTGCTGTCATTAGGAATGTAAACATTCGGTATTGTTTTATTTTATTGATGCATTGACATCTATCATTATAAAATAATTTTTATCTCTAGAAACTTATTTTATTCCAACTATGTCTGATATTAATGTAGCTATTCTTAGTTTCTTTTAATGTTAACATGTTATATCCTTTTCTGTTTTTTCATCTATTTGTGTCTTTATATTTAACATATACTTCTCTTTTAAAAAGATTTATTTATTTTTAGACCGGGGAAGTGGGGGGAGAAAGAGAGGGAGAGAAGCATCAATGTGTGGTTGCCTCTCACACGTTCTGTACTGCGGACTTGGCCTAGAACCCACACATGTGCCCTGACTGGGAATTGAAGTGGCAGCCCTTTGGTTTGTAGGCTAACACTCAGTCCACTGAAGCACACCAGCCAGGGCAACATACACTTTTTGAAAGCAGGTGATAAGTCTTGCTTTTTTTGTTTTTTTTTTTTTGCTAACATTCTTTTAAAAAATTAATTTTTCAATTGCAGATGACATTTAATATTATATTAGTTTTAGGCATACAAAATAGTAGTTAGAGATTTATATATCTTACAAAGTGATCCTCTGATAAGTTTAGTACCCACCTGACCACCATACAAAGTTATCACATTATCATCGACTACATTCCCTATGCTGTACTCTACATCCCTGTGATTGTTTTATAACTACTAATTTGTAGTTAATCCCTTCACTTTTTTCACCCAGCTCACAAACCACCCCCCCTTTGGTGACCACTGGTTTGTTTTCTATATTGATGAATGTTTCTGTTTTATTTTTTAATTTTATTAAGATTATGTATTTTTTAGGGGAAAGGCAAGGATAAAGAGAGGGAGAGAAATGTGTAAAAGAGAAGTATGAATTGGATGCCTCTCATACACAACTCAAATGGAAACCAAACCCACAACTCAGGCATGCGCCCTGACTAGGAATCGAACAGGCTACCCTTCACTTCGTGGGATGATTCCCAACCAACTGAGCCACACCAGTCAGGGCTGTTTTGTTTAGTTTTATAGATTCCACATATCAGTGAAATCACATGGCTTTTGTCTTTTTCTCCCTGTCTTATTAGCATAATATCCTCTAGGTCCATCCATGTTGTTACAAATGTAAGTTTTCATTTTTTTTTAGGGCTCAGCAATATTCCATTGTATTTATGTACTACCTTTTTATCCATTCGTCTGTTGATGGACACTTAGGTTGCTTCCATATCTTTTTGATGCTATTCTAATTTATATTGTCTTAATTTCATTTTCAGAGTGTTGGTTGCTAGTGTATAGGAATGCAACTAATTTTTGCATATTGATTTTGCATCTTACGGCTTTGCTAGACTCATTAGTCTTTAGGGTTTTCTATATAAGATCATGTCACCTATAAGTAGAGATAGTTTTACTCTTTCCTTTCTTTATCTTGCCCAACTTCCCTGGCTAGAGCTCACAGCACAGTGTTGGAGTGGCAATTCTTGTCTTGTTCCCAAATGTAGAGAAACCAGTTAGATTCACCTTGTCTCTCAGGTGTCACTGTTGCTTATGTGAGGTATCTCAAAAATCTTTAGTATATTTCATCTGGTGTTTTAGTGTTTCAGTTAAGAAAGTAAGTATAGGATCTGTTATCCCTTCTTGGCTAGAATATCTGCTTAAAAGTTTTCTTTTAAGGTAATGTAAACTCAATATAAACAAGAGCCATTTTGGGAATTGAAACAGAGTACAAATATGGAAATAAAAACCACTCATGATCACACCTCCTACTGACAACTCTTGATGATCAATCATTAACTAATTGTAAGTCAGGAAATGCCAACTTAAGGGAGAATGTGTTTGCTTTGCATGTAGGTGATAGTTAAGTGCATAGGAGAAGGTAATTTTATCCAGAGCCCTGAGATGTGGGAGAAGCTCAAAGCACTGGGTTTGAGACCCCATGTGACCCCTCCAGTCATCTGGATTTAGACTATTAGAGGGGTGTGTGTGTATGGAAAAATGATACTTTTTTATTTTTAGGAAACATTGAAGGATACAAAGTATTTTGGTGGGAAATAGAGCAAAACAGTAGTTTGTTAAAATCTTTCTGGTTAAAATAATTAAAATCCCACAACCTCAAACAAACAAGGGGGGTGTTTATTTTGGAAACTGTTATATTTCGCAGAACACAAAGGCAGGTGGATTTAAAATGGCTTCCAGATACACTGGCTCAGTTGATCTGAGGCTGTGGTCTCCTCTTTGCATCTTTGTCACTGAAGACTTTTCTCATCTTGAGTTCTGTGACTTTCCACAGCACTTGTGTTTACAAAGCTTGGATATTTTGTACTCAATTCGTAGAGAAGAAACTCAGATTGTCTCAGTTTGTGTCTGTTGTCCAAGTATGGTTGTAGGTCACAATTGACAGATGCAGCTGTTAATACTATAATGATGCAGATGTAGAGAACAGGTAGCTCCCAGAAAAAGGGTGAGAAAATAAAATGAGTTATGGAATTGCAGATTTTTCTAAATTTATACTCAGACCATAGACATGAATTATTACCATATTGTGTTGATAACTTCCTCAGAGATTAAATCCTCTTGGCTCTCTGATTTGTACTCTGTTTCTGTATAAAGAAGTGCCATCCTTGAGTTCCTAAGGACCATGACCACTTTTCTTCGTATATTCTGTGTATATAACATGGTATTTATGCTCAATAATTTTTCGTTGATTGAGAATGTCTACTGAGGAATAGTTATTCATTTTTACCTTGTATTGAATGGACTACTAAGTATTGTTATTCTTACACCTTTTTTTTCTTTTATTTTTTAGTGGTATGCCATCTGTATTAGTGATGTTGGAGATTATGAAGGCATCAAGGCTAAAATTGCAAATGCCTATGTTATCAAGGAGCATTTTGAGGTACTGCTGAATTGAAAAGGCCATTAGCTTTCTGAGTAGATTCGTCTCACTTACTCCTCCCTATTTAACAAACCACTTCAAATTTAGTGTGTGCAAGCAGGTTATTTCTGCCACTTCTGTGGGTTGACAGCACTGAATGCTTCTGTTCTGTTTGGGGTAGCTCAGCTGACTGAGAACTGCATTCACCTGACCCCTTGGCTGGGACAGGTGTACATGATGGCCTATTGTCTTCAATGGTTTCTGTCCATTCAGTCATTGGCCCATGCTTTTTTTTTATTTAAGTAATTTTTAAAAAAGATTTCATTTATTTTTAGACAGGGGGAGGGAGAGGGGAAGAGAAACATCATTGTGTGGTTGTTTTTCGCATGCCCGCCACTGGGGACCTGGCATTCAACCCAGGCATGTGCCCTAACTGGGAATTGAACCAGCGACCCTTTGTTTTGCAAGCCGGTGCTCAGTCCACTGAGCCACACCAGCCAGGGCTGGCCCATGCTTCTTTACTGCATGATTGCTGGCTTCCAAGAGTGAGCATTCCAAGGGAAAAGTCCCAGTGTGCAAACCTGCATCACACTTGGTAATATCCCATTGACCAAGGCCAGTCTGTGAGAGGGGACTGTGCAGGGTCCCATACTGGAAGGTGTGGTCTTTTCTAACAGTCTAATAATTGCTGCTCCATTCCCATAGTAACAGTGCTGTTTATATTTTGATTTCTCTGTGTGTGTTTTAGCACCTCCCCTTAAAGTTAATTCATGTATTCATTGTAAGCTCTTCCTCAGCTGCCAGAGACTCCAGAAGTCTGTGTGTTCCATGGTGCACATACACACTATTCTACTGTCTTTTAAACAAAACTGCCATTGAAAAGCCAGCACATTTATTTCTATTGTGATATTCTACCCAGGGGTGTCTAACCTTTTGGTTGTCTCTGGGCCATACTGGAAGAAGAGTTATTTTGGTCTACACATTAAATACTTTGCAACATGTAATCACAACAAATCTCATAATATTTTAAGTAAATTTACAATTTTGTGTTGGGTCGCATTCATAGCCATCCTGGGCTGCATGTGGCCCATGGCTGCAGGTTGGACACCCCTAGACCATCTTAAAAATACAAAAGAAAGTGACAAAAACATGTATAGGGATAATGTTAGTCTGCGTAACAGTTTTTCTGAATTTTCTGGTCATAGTTGTGGCGGACCCTGGCCAGCAGAGTCCGCCTGTTGTGGCTGACCACGAGAATGAATGCACAGGTGACAACAAGCCTGTTGAGAAAAAGGGAACAGGCACAACTACTATCTCAAGAGGGGAGCGCCTCAACCCTTGCCTAGACAGGCTTTTATTATTTTCCTGGGGTCTTATATCAGAGAAGGATTTATTATCTATTACATAGGATATTATTGTCTACATTTTAGGTGCAATCAAGAAACTGAAAATAACATGCAGAGGGGAATGGCAATGAGCTGATTAGCTCTGTCCTTGGGAGGACTCATACAGGCTTTGGAGATTACCTTGAAGATAGAGAATACACATTTGTCGTTTTAGACCAGGGTGAGGGAGTTTTAGCAAGAGTAAGCCATAACAATCTGTATGTATTTTCTAGGCCCGATTTTCAGGGGAAAACTTGGTTTGAGGGTCTGGCTTCTGCCCACCACTTTGCTTCTGTAGGTTTTCCATACAGAGCTGAGTCACATTTGCCAGACCAAAACAAACCGGTGCCCTATAATTCCCCCCTTTTTTCCCTTTTTGTTAAGGCTGTCATGGTGACACATCCCACAAGACTTGCTACTTGCTGGTCCCTTTTGCAACCCTGGGCAAATAATTTATAAATGCATCGTAATATGCAAAACATTATTAAAATCAATAAACAACCAGTGGCACCAGTGACGCACAATCTTGGGTTGAGTCCATTAAATCAGTGCTTTGGGTTTGATGAGCCAAGATTATCATAAGGGTTTGAAGGGTCTCCTGCTTAGTTAAGTGTTGAATATCTTGGAACTGTTTGTGTAACTCTAGTTGCAATTTATTGATTTGTCCTTTTAAATTAGTAGAAAAAGCTCCTCTTAGGTGATGTTGAATATCACTCCAGGTGACACACATTTTGGAGAAACCAAGATCACAGGTCAGCTGCTGACAGATCACTAGCAAGCGCATCCTGGCATTCACCGATCCAGTTGAGTGCTGATTCAACTGCAGAAAGTTGAGTCAGGATTTCTTGATCAATCCTGCCGAAGCATTTCTAAAGTGGAATTGATTAAGAGAACATCAACAGTGTGAGCAGTTTGAACTGACCCAATGAGGGCAGCGGTTGCTGTGGCTCAGTAGCCGCGATGACTATAGCAGAAACAATAAATGCAACCAAAGTGCCAACAAACTGTTGGACTCTTAAAGAGGCCAGTGCATTGTTAAGTGCTATTATGCCATGGCGATCTTCCCATTCTCTGATTACATCAACTGGAACCCATATCTGAGTTTGTCTTCTAACTATATAAACTGTAGTGAGGCTTAACTGAGTAATATCGAGATGAGTAAGACAGCTGGCATGTATGGAGCCTGCAGGAACAGGCAAAGAATAAATTTTTGCTGATTTGCTATAAAAGACTTGAGTTGTCCCTGGAATTGCCAGAAACAAGTAAGGGTGAGAGGTACAGACTGTGACCCAATCTTGTTTTAGAGGGCCATTCTGAGAGGTTTTTAAAATTTTTTTTATACAGACATTTTCTAGGAATAAAAGGCAAGCCCATTTTCCCTGAGTTGTAATGCCAAGGGCTAGTGTGGTTGGGAGAAACAATTCTGATTATGGGTGCCCCAGTACTGGGCCCCTCCCACCACATATTAGTATATGGAATTTCAGGCAGAGCTGAAACTATTGTTGTGCCAAACTTAACCAGTACTTTCCAATTAGCTCCCTAATTGTCTACTATAAAAGGACTTCTGGGGAGAAAAGCAATAGTAGCATTCGGTCCTCTGCATAAAGACCGAGAGATGGAGTCTTTGTGGCTTTTGTCTAAAGTACAAGGTGGAACCGGAGGGGAATTGAGAGTATGATAAATCCCCCTCTGGGTATGTAGACCAATTGCGATTATCATAGAGAGCTGATAGTAATCACTGTACTGCTCCTAATTTGCAGCATAGAATTTTTCTCTTATAGGTAAGCACAAAGTGTCAGTAAGAACATAAAAACAAACTGGTAAGTATTCAGCAACATAAGTAGTATCTCTTGGCACTGACATCCAGTGCTTACTTTCTTTTAATGGGCCATCAGGGGGCATCCATACTCCTCCATTCCACTGAGTATCCTTAATGGAAAAGGGAAGTTCAACACCCCACCAGGTATGCAACTTAAATATTAGTGGGTTGATAATATGAGCCCAATAAATATGAGAGGACTTACTTTAGTAGCTGGGCCCTGCCCCCCTAGGCAGAGTGTAATGGCAATCAAAAGCAAGGTTTTAGCTGAATTGGCTGACAGCACTGGTAAGTAAGCAATAAACCTATTTTCTGGGTGTCTTCGACCTTAGTTTCAACAAGAATATTCTCAGCTTAGGTATTAAGAGTCTTAATGTCCCCCCCATATGGTGAGGAACATTATGAGGCACTGAAAGATTATTACTCTCTACACCGGAGGCCCCTGAGCCTTGGCCCTCAATATTGAGGTGGTCTGCATCCCCCTTTGTTGGTGAATCCAAACCTGTGTGCGACATCATGGGTGTATGTGTTCCTTCTGGCTGTTCAGTGTCAGCTGGGCCATCTGGTCTGTCAGCTGATTGGCTTTCATCTCTAGGTGGTGGAGCTTGATGTCTGTTTTGTTCATGATGAGGCTTCACCCTTCTAGCTGGAAACCAGACAGGACCTCTGGGGATGGAAACACATGATACCCTCTTCCCCATGTTAAGAGGTCTATAGGGCCCTGCCAAGTATCATCTCCCAGAGGATCTCTGTACAAGATCTGAGGGTAAGGTGGTTTTGCTTGTTTGGCCTGAAAATGTTTCTCAATTGGAGTACAGAGTGATTCATCACAACTTAGAAAATTATAGGTAAACATAGCTAACAGTCAAATTTTGGGGGGTAGACTCCTGAGTCCCCCTTTTTTGTTTTTTAAGATTTTTAAAGGTATGATGCGCCTGTTCAATAATTGCCTGGCCAGTTGGATTATAAGGTATTCCTGTTTTATATTGGATATTCCAGTGCTGAAGGAAGGCTTGAGTAGAATAGGCAAGATATCCTGGGCCATTATCAGTTTAAATTTGCTGAGGCTGACCCAAATGACTGAAGGCTTCAAGCCAGTGGGTTTGTATATTTTTAGCAGATTCTCCTGTTAAAGCAGATGCATGTAGGGCACCAGAGTAAGTATCAATAGAAATGTGAATGTATTTGAATTTTCCAAAGGGAGTATAATGAGTGACATCTGTTGGCCAAATCATTTGAGAACTTAGTCCTTGAGGGTTAACTTTTGTGGATGGAGGTACCTTAGTAAGGGCTTGACAGTCAGGGCATTCTTTAATAATTTGCTTAGCTTGAGAATGGGGAATATCAAACTGTCTTTGAAGTGCCTGGCTGTTCTGATGAAAAACTGGTGAGAAGCTACTGCTTGCTGAAAGGCAGAGAAGACGCTAAGGCATCTATCTTATTGTTAACCATCCACTAAGGGGCCTGGCAGGCCTGAGTGAGATGGAATGGGAGTAATGAAAAGGGGGCGTTTTCTCTTGTCAAGGAGAGACTGTAAATTCAGAAGTAAGTTAAGCAGATTGGAATCATCTGAAGTTTTAATTAATGCCTGATCTAAATGTTGAGTAGTATAGACAGTATATCCAGAGTCACAAACTATATTTAAAGCTTCTTTAGGCCATTGCCGCAGGGCCATAATTGCAGCAAAAAGTTTGGCCCTCTGAGTAGAGGCATGTCCTGAGGATACAGAGTTTTTCCAGCTAATGCCTTCTTTTCAGGCAACAGCAGCTCATCCGGTTTTTCCAGACCCATCAAGAAATACAGTTTTTGCTCCTGTTACTGGTCTGGACTGATTTTTTTCTACTGGTCTTATCTGAAGGCATGGGATGTTTTGAATCAGTGTATCTGAGGGTAAATTAATTTCTGGTCCTCCTACAAAGTCAGCTATGGCACACTGAAATTCTAAAGACTGAGTTGTTAGTTGCTGTAAATAAACCTGAGTTAAGGGAATACGAATAAAGTCAGGATCATATCCAAATAACTGCTGTGTTCGTTCATGTCCTTTTATTATGAAGTGACACAACAGTTATATAGATGGTAATGGTGCGTCGTGGCTGATGAGACAGAAGAAGCCACTCATAGCTCAGTAGATTGAGCACAGGCCTGCGAACCAGAGGATTGTGGTTCAATTCCCAGTCAGGGCACATACCTGGGTGCAGGCCATTTCCCAGCAGGGGACGCATGAGAGGCAGCCATACATTGATATTTCTCTCCCTGTCTCCTTCCCTTCCCCTCTAAAGATAAATAAATAAAATCTTAAAATTTTTTTTTTAAAAGCCACTCTATCATAGTTAAATGAAGGTATCTGTTGCCTTATTTAGTTGCCTATAAGTCCTATTGGAGTACCTAAGCTTGGAAAGCAGACAAATCGGACAGGGAGTTGTAGATTAATTCTGGTTAATTGTCATTGTTGAATATGTTGATTTATTATAATTAACTCTTGCAAGGCCTTAGAAGACAGTTTGATAGGGGAATTGAGATCTGGGTCTCCTTTAAGGGTATTAAATAAATGAGTTAACTGCTGAGTGGGTATTCCAAGCCTGGGTGGCACCCAATTAATTGTTCCTAAAAGTTGTTGGAGGCAATTAAGAGTTAAATCCTTGGGTGGACTAATTTGAAGGACTTAAGGCCGAATTGTCCTGTTGAAAGGATATAACCTAAATATTTCCACGGTTTTGAATGCTGGATCTTCACTGGAGCAATTATCAGTCCAGCAGAAGCTACAGAGTTTTAAAGAAAGGAAGTAGTTTTTGCTAGCATATCTTATGAGGGAGCTGCAATTAAAATATCATCCATATAATGATAGATAATTGAATCAGGGAATTGATCCCTTACTGGCTGAATTGCTGTATGAACAAAATGCTGACAAATAGTTGGACTATTAAGCATTCCTTGAGGTAAAACTTGCCATTAAAATCCCTGTGAAGGCTGAGAGTTATGAAAGACAGGGAGAGAAAATGCAAACCCTCTCGATCCTTTTCTGCTAAAGGAATTGTGAAGAAACAGTCTTTTAAATCGATGGTTAAAAGTGGCCAATCTCTAGGAATACAGGCTGGATTAGGGGCCCCTGGCTGTAGGGGGTGCATAGGCTGGAGGAATTCATTAATTTTCCTTAGGTCTCCATTTGCCTTCCTTATTCATTTGCCAAATGAACAAGCCAGACTTCTTTGGTTTAACAAAAGTAGGTGTGTTCCGTGGGCTGTTAGAGGGTTTAATATGACCTGCTTCTAATTGTTGTTTGACTAAAAGGTGCGTTTGTTTAAGTCACTCTCCTTTAAGTGGCCACTAATCAACCCATACTGGTGTGTTGGAGAGCCAAGTAAGCAGTAGGGGAGTTATAAGAGCAGTGGCCACTAGGGAAAATGCCGGAGAGAGATTTGCATCCCCCACTGACTGAGGAGATCATGTCTCCAGATATTAAGAGGCATAGGTAAAACATGGTCAAATTTTTCCTACCTGTCCCTCTGGCCCATAACATCTAAGAGACTATACACTGAGTTGAGGTTGAGAAATTCCTGAAACAACTGTTTCACTGTTGGTTAAAGTCCATTTGAAAGGCCAAAACTGATTTGAGATAACAGAGATATCGGCTCCATTATCTGTGAGCCCATGAAATGTTTTATTCTTTATTTTTACTTGTAAGATTGGTTAATTTAGCTTAATGGATTCTGTCCAGAAAACTGATCAATTGTCTGTACTGCTAAAGCCTCTCTCCCCTCACTTTATTCTGAGTCTTTGAGATTACGTAGGGGAGGAGGAGCAGCTGGCAATGTGCCTCTGAGCAGGAATAATACAATAATAGTCAGACACTTTGAGCATGATTTTAATTTCTTTTATAATCTGAGTCAACAGCTTCTGGTTGAACAAAGATGCCTTCAGTAGTAGTAATGCTGGATCTTCCTAAAATTAGACCTACTGTTCCTGGGGGTAGAGGTCCCCAAACACCAGTGGAAGCTACAATTATTTGATCCTGCTCCTGTAAAATGAGCTCATTGGCGGTGACCAAGTCCAGCCCTGCACTTTCATGGGTGGCTGCACAAAGGTTGGAAACTGCATTTCCTCGAATTCTCTGATACTGGTTTTTCTGAAAGCTACATTTGGGGTTGGGGGCGCTGGAACGGGCACCCCCCTGGAAGTTTCCCTGAATCAGTTGGTTATTTTTGTTAAATTTGGAGCGACCATTCTCTTGCCCAGTGCCTGCTCTGCCACAGCGTGGACAATCCTTGGGGGGAAGTTTGTAATTACCTTTTCCCCCTCTCGATGTAGACAAACAGTCCTTGCCCAGGTGACCAGGCTTTCCACAGTGATAACATCTGAGATCTCAATATCCCTTAATTGGAGTAGGTAGGAGAGAGGCCTTATGGTGCTGTGTGCCAACATCTTGGCAAGCCTTGATAAACTCACTGATGTCCTTGGTGGTAGCTCGCAGGGGACCAATAATTGCCCTGCAATCCTTGTTAGCATTTTCATAAGCTATAGCTGCCACAAAAGAGCTTTGGAGGCTCTAACATTATCTATTTGCCTGTCAATGGCTTCTTGGAGGTGGTCAATAAAGTCAGTATATGCCTCCATAACACCTTGATGAATATTAGTAAGGAAGAAATTTCCCTGCCCTGAGCATCAGGTACAGCTCTCATGGCCCTGAGAGCAATTTGAGCAGTCTGATAAAAAACATGAGGATCAAGCCTAGCATGAGCCACAGCAGTAGCAAAATTATCAGACCCAAGCAGCATAGGGAGGGTGACAGGATTATTTATTTGTGAATGCTCAGTGGCTTGGATGCCAGCGCTTTGAGAGTATTCTGAATACCAAACAGTATACTGAGCCTGGGTCAAAACAGTCCTGGCGAGGGCCATCCAGTCACAAGGTACCATTTTATAACTGTCAGTAATGGATTGAAATAGCCCATTAGTTTAAGGAGACTGAAGCCCATTTTCTTTAATACTCTTTTTTCAATCCTTATAAAGTGGAAGGGGCTCGTGGACTTTCCTCTGACCCTTGATTATAATGGGAAAAGCCAAAAGAGCATCTAAATCACCCTCCTCTGCTGCCTGCTGAAGGCATTGTCTCATAATCCCAACAGGGTATTCATCTGAATTTTTTGGCTTTCTTGATGGTGACTGATCTTGCAGGGAGGAATGCTCCCATAATTAAGATAAGGAGTGGTTACTATCAGACAGGTTCTCTGGTGGAGCTGTAGGTAGGACTCTTGTAGCCTGTTCTGCTGCATCATATACTACTTCCTCATCTGAACTAAACTCCATATCTTCCTTTGTAACTAACTCCTTTTTCTTAGTTCGTATAGGCATGAGACCAGTCTTGACTAGTCCCCCAAGTTACTAAATTTTGAACTCTGGTAGTAAATCCACTATCCTTGTAAAGCCTTTAATTTGTTACCTGCTTTTTCCCAAACTCTAATATCTAGGGTTCCCTTATCAGAGAAAGCAGGGTAATATTCTTTTATAATTGTAAAAGCTGTATAAGATGTTGTTTTACCTCATGTCCTGATCCTTGGAGGAGTTGCTGCAGCACCCGTAGATAGACTTCTTGTTCTTTAGATAAATTAGAGCCCATTCTTGTTGTTAAAAGCTTTTTTTTTTTCTTTCAATTTCTGCCGTTTCAGATTCTGCAGCCTATACTAAACCCTAGCTAATTAGCTATTAGGGAGTATAGTGTGGTGGGTCAGAAATGTACTGTTGGTGAAAACCGTCAGGGAGGGCTGCCTAGTTGGTATCCAGGGTACCCTAACCCCGCTTACGAGTTTCAGGTTTTCCCCATGCATCTAAGACTGCGGGGGGGGCTCGAAGCACCAGGTGACCAACCTTTATATTGTGCTCCCTGACTGAGTCCAGAGTTAAATTACTATGATTAGAAGTTCCTATGAGGCCCCTACACGTCTCAGGGATTGACCCCAGACACCTCGGCAAAGCCCCTACTCACATAGGAACGCTTGAGATCTCAAGCGGGAGGGAGGAGATGGCTCTTACCTTCCGTGCCCAGCAAGGGGCTGAGGCACTCATAAACAACCCGTTAACTAAGTCTGAGTTCTCAAAGCAATCTTTGGAGTCCGGTTGAAACTGCAACATTCATTTACTATCTGCATTTTTGTTTACAGGCAGGCAGAGGAAAAGGCAGAATCAAAAGAGCTGCAAAAAGCAGCTTTTAAAGAAAGAATGCACAGAGGCTCTTGTTTAAAAAAAAAAAAAAGCTAATTGAAAGGAAAGTTCATTGCTCTCTCTCCCAAGCCTAAAACCTGATGGGGGATTGTGCTGTGGGGATGGGCTTGTGAGTGTTTTTTATAGTGTGCCTTTCGTTGCGTAGGCTTTTGCTTGCAGTTGGCAGGAAACCTAGTGTTCTTTCCTGGCCCATGTCCAACTCATACTTGTCACAGGTCTCTGTTGCGGCAAGCACCCTTGTGGCTCTTCAGTGCTGGACCTGTGCCTGCAGGGTGTGGCAGTTGCCAGAGAGAGAGGGAGCAAGGCTTCTGCTTACTAAAGAGAGTGTGGTCACAAGAGAGGGCAACCTTGGAAAGATACCCTTTTTCCCTAAAATACAACACACCCTGTGCCCTCCCAAAAGCACTGGGGGTCGTTGGCCCTTACCTGGGCTGTTGCACGAGTTCCACCCACGGTGGTGTGTTGACCACGATGGCCGATAGCCTTGGCGTCCCTGTTGCTGGGCACCAGATGTGGTGGACCCTGGCCAGCAGAGTCCGCCTGTTGTGGCTGACGATGAGAATGAATGCACAGGTGACAACAAGCCTGTGGAGAAAAAGGGAACAGGCACGACTACTATCTCAAGGGGAGAGTGCCTATGGGTGCCTCGGCCACTCCCTCAAGAGGGGAGCGCCTCAACCCTTGCCTAGACAGGCTTTTATTATTTTCCTGGGGTCTTATGTCAGAGAAGGGTTTATTATCTATTACATAGAATATTATTATTGTCTACATTTTAGGTACAATCAAGAAACTGAAAATAACATGCAGAAGGGAATGGCAATGAGCTGATTAGCTCTGTCCTTGGGAGGACTCATACAGGCTTTGGAAATTACCTTGAAGATAGAGAATACACATTTGTCGTTTTAGACCAGGGTGAGGGAGTTTTAGCAAGAGTAAGCCATAACAATCTGTATGTATTTTCTAGGCCTGATTCCCAGGGGAAAACTTGGTTTGAGGGTCTGGCTCCTGCCCACCACTTTGCTTCTGTAGGTTTTCCATACAGAGCTGAGTCACATTTGCCGAACCAAAACAAACGGGTCTCCTATACTTAGTCTCAATTCCTAGTTGGTTTTTTTTTTTAATGACTAGTGTAAAAAACATTGAGTGAGGAGTCAGGAGACCTAGCTTCTTACTCAAGCATCAGTAATACATACGTGTGTGTGTACATTTCCATTTAATAATATGCATTTTCCACATTTTAAGACCGTTGAAATTAGACTGCATTATATAGCCAGTGGTATCTTATAATTGCTTTTTCTTTCTTAGTGATACATGATATAATGATATGGCATAGATATTATGGTATCTTAGACTCAATGAAATCCAGTATTTTTCTCAGTGACATTAGATACATCTCCTAAATTACTCTGCCTTGGTATAGAAATACATGACAAATAATTTCCAGTATGAACAATGAAAAATTGAAGAAAATATTTATGTTTACTTTAAAGAAACAGTGAAGGCTATAGGTTATATTTTTAAAAATGTTTTGTGTATGTTTTCAAATGTACATATGTTCAGTATATTTAAGAATGACAGTGTTTAGTATTTATACTGTCATTTCAGAGTCCATTTTTATAGATAAAGTCAGAAGGAATTACTGTCTATGGGTTATTTTTGAAGACAAACTGTGTTTGCTTGAGAGTAGCCCATCTCACCCATTGCATAAGAAAGTTGAATTCTTATGCCCAGGGCAGCATGTATGCAACGAATTAACTTCCTTCTTTTGGATCTAGAATGGCATGAGACCCGTACTTGTAGAATGCAGAAAATAATTATATAATTTTTTGTAGGGCTTAATTTTCCAGTGGAACTCAGAAATAGTAATAGGGAAAGATAGCTTAAAGTTGTATATGTACTTCAAAATATATTTTGCTATAAGTCATATCACAATATTTATGGGAAAGTAAGTTTTTTGATCAATGTTGATTCTTACCCATATTATTGAAGCTAGAGTTCTGCCAAGTCATACTTGTTAGCCTCATTCTGTCACCTCTACTACTGCCACTGACATCGATCAATGTTAAGAAATCAAGTGCCTGGTACTTAAGTAAAAATAATGGTGACAAAACATATTACTGAGTTAAGCACCTCCTATTACTTGCTCATTTCATTTTCACTACAACCCTCTGGGGAGGTGTAGTATTTTCTTAATTCTCTCAAAGAGCAGACCCAGGCAGAAATATAGAAACGTGCCAAGGTCAAAAGTTAGAAGTCATGAGCTGTGATTCAAACCCAGGTAGTTTGGCTTCACAGCCCACACAGGTAACCAATACAGATAGATATCTGAAAATGCATATCTCACACATTCCCAACTGAAAGTGAAAATGTTGGTGTACAGGAAAAAATAAGTTAGTCTGTTTTAAGAAGGGATCTTTTATTTTTCATGGTATTACATTAATCTCTGAGATTTCCTTAGCAGTTTCCAACAAAATAATGTATAAAAGGAGAGATTTCATTAAAGTTATTCTGTAGTTTATGCTTTACATTAATTCACACAGGATGTCTCATAGTAAATCGAAATTAGGGACATTTTATAACATATTTTTACCTTGTGCATAATCCTATTGATGAATTCTGTGAATGAATAGTATTTATTTTTTCTTGGTTAAGTATAGATGGGTAAGTTGACCAAAATCTGCATACGGGAAACTATCTAAAATTATGTACTTCGGTCTTCTATTCGGAAAGAATGCTTTTTATTCACATAGGCAAAAAAGAACTTCCTTATTTTTGTTTTAATCTAGAAAAAGAAACATGAGAGCTATGGATTACTGTTAAAATTAGCTTTACTTCCATATTTCATGTTTTTCTTGAGAATCACTATTACTGTTTTCTGAACTCTATAAAATATTGTAACGTCAATACAATTTATTTAATCATGTATTGAAACAAGTTTAACCAATTAAAGAATCAGGGAGGAAAACTGGCATGGATTATCATGGAAGAACTGAAATAGGCAGGGTTGCAAAAAATTATTTTTAAATCATGGCTTCTTCAGTAAACATAGGGAAGTTCCTGTTGCCATTTCAAAAACAACTGATCGATTTTCTCATTTCTTGTTAGAAAGCAATTGAATTGAACCCGAAAGATGCTACCTCAATTCACCTAATGGGCGTCTGGTAAGAAAATTTCTTTGAATCAATATTATAGTAGTGTTTAGTATGATCTTATTTTGTAGTGTGTAAAAAAATAAGCAAGGTGTAAAATATTTTTAAATAGCACTTGGCAGTCAGGAGTGCTTTAATCCATTAAATTAATTAGCAGTTGTACCTGTATTATTAGAAAATACTAAATTTGATTGTGATCATGTTAAATATTGTTATTCAGATCATTTAGAAATAGGTACAGTCATCCCGTTATCCATAGGGCATATGTCCAAGACCCCCAGTGGCTGCCTGAAATTGCAGATGGTAAGTAACTCTTTATATGGTGTTTTTTTCCCCTTACACATACCTTTTTCACTTAAATGGAGCACTTACAGCTTCTCTTTGGAGTATCTGAATTGCCAGCACCACTAATTGGTGCTTCAGAGTTACTAGGAAGTAAAATCAGGGTGACCTGTAAACAAACATGATACCTCAACAATTGATCTAATAACAGATGGCTGCTGAGTGACTAATGGGTGGGAGCATCTACAGTGCAAGGACACTGTACAAAGGGATGATTCAGGTCCTGGGTAGGACTGAAATGTCATGCAGATCGCACGAAATTTCATCACACTACTTGGAAGGGCATGCAGTTTAAACTTATGAATTGTTTATTTCTGGATTTTCCATTTAATAGTTTGGGACTACAATTGAACATGGTAACTGAAGATGCAGAAAGAAAACCATGGATTAGAGAGGATGACTGTACCAGGACTGAAAAAGCATTAGAATGTTGTGGTAGACTTTAAAATTCCCTGTGATGAAAATAGGACTGTTTACTAGGCAAAGTGAAACTGGTTCACTGTCACTGTGGAGGTGCACAGGGAGGGAGCCCCAGAGAACCCCTGCACCTTGAGTGTATCTGAGAACAAGTCCCCTGAGTCTGAATGTCATCTTGTTTCTGTGTAACCTTGTCCAGTGTGCTTCAGTTTGTTCACTTGTTGGTTGAAGAGTTTCTGAACACAATCCTGGCACTGTCTTCTTTGTGTGTAGTCTTCAGGGCTCAGTATTTATTGTCTTCTAAGAGGTGACAATGTAAACTGCCCTGAAACAAACTTCTCAGAGAGCGAAATCTTCAGGACAAAGGACATTAAACTAATCAAGTGCCTGCAGTCACTGAGTTAGGTGCTAATGAGTAAACATGAGTTCAGACTGTAGTCGAAGACCCAGCACTTTCTTCCTGCTCACTTCAGAAAGGTGTCAAGATCTTTGGATGTCAGCCCACTTTCCTCACTCTTTTAAACATATGCACTTAAGGTGCCTCGTTAGCACAGGTAGCACGTCAGTCTCATAAACATACGCACTTAAAACTGTTGGTTGCTATTGTTTTTTATGCATATCATGTTTAGTTTTATCATTTTTCTTAATCCTTTTTAACTTCTGTGAGTTTTTTCTCATGTAAAAACATACACTAATGATCCTATTTCATTAGTTGTAAGTAGATGAGAGGAAGGAACTCACTGAACTTAGCACCTGGGACATGAGTGTTCTGGGCAAATGACACAATTATTACTAGTACTATTGTGAACCGTTCATATTTGATCACAATATACACCTTAATTGATGGGTCACTATAAACATTAGTCTCTGCATAATTCAGTATGACTGTCAACCTACAAAGTATTATGTCCACTAGGAATTGTTAAAACAGACTGATTGTCTTTAAGAGAAAATAAGGTGCAATTCAATGTATGAATGTTTGCTTCTTTAGGTGTTACACATTTGCTGAAATGCCTTGGTATCAAAGAAGAATTGCCAACATGCTATTTGCAGCCCCTCCCAGCTCCACCTATGAGGAGGTGTGTGATGTCCTTGGCACAATTAGCATTGACCTCTGAGGTGTGACGCATTTGCAGGGCTCTCCCTCTGGACTGGTTAGTGTGGCTGGCACAGGCTTCACTGTGTCCATGACTCTGTGAGTGCAGTTTCTCTGGCTGGAGGCTCATAATGCTGGTGTATTGTCAGGTAAAGTAACCAATGGCTAACAGCTTCATTTTCTATTTGAAATTTATACTATTATTTAATAAAGTCATCAAATAGAACAGAAAATAGAGCAGCTGTTCCTCAGCATGTTTTATAGACACGTTCTGCATAAGTCATTTACCTGCAAGAATAAAGCACAACTTTATAATGATAGCCTTTTTAGAAAAGTTCTATTGAAAGGCTCATACTCTGTTATTTTCTTAAGCCTTTTGCTTTTCCTGTTAAATATAAAATTTGAAAAGGATTTCTGGGCAAACATGTTGGGTTTACTCCTCACAAAATTTTCAGAGCAGGGAAACAGGCAGTTGTGAAATAGCTTTCCCAGTACTTGTATCATAAGGAGATGTTTTGTTTTTCCCTTGAGGTATATAATAATTAAAGCACAGTTGGGAAGTATTTATTTAAAATTATGCATTCTAAAAAGAAAGATTGCTCTGTTACAACAAAGTAATTATAGTTTTAATTATTCAGTTGTCAGAAGTTTGAGCAAGTTAAAAAGAAAAAGCAATTTCAGATTCACAATAACATTTTATATAGGAATTTCAACAATAAAGGACTTTAAACATTCACTGGTACAACATGTGTGTCACTGAGTAAATTCTGCTTTTGATTTTTATCTAGTTTCCCCTGGTAAACTAGATAAAGTTTCCCATTCATAGTGACATTGTTAGGACTTAAAATGAGAAAGATCAAAATAGCCCACTTGCATGTGAACAGTCTTCACCTTCCTCTGCATGTGATGCTGCCTCGGGACAAGTCATGGTTAGAAGGGTCCCCACATAATCTGTGCTCTGGGGATTTAAGTGTTATGTTTAGTTTTGTTATTTTAGCTCTCACTGTTGATGAATTGACCCTTATTTTTAAGGTGTTTTCATTTACTTCCTCGCTTATATTTAATGCAGGAATAGATTTTGGGAGAAAAAATGTTAATACTGAGTGTGTCTTAATCTTTTTCATTATGTTTGGGTTCTTTGTGTTTTTACAGGCCTTAGGCTACTTTCAAAGGGCAGAGCAAGGTAAAATATTTCAGATACTACTATTAACATTTGAATAATAATATTATGAATAAAATTTTAAGGCAAAAATATTTATTCTGATACACTTTTATACTACATATTGTCAAACAATTCTTAATGTTTTTATTCAGTAAAGAGCACCTGAGTTAGAAATAGCCCCAACTGTGCTTAGATCTGCCATTCTGGAATGGTTTTTCATTTGATGTAATTCAGAGACTTCACAGGTTAATAATCGTCTTATTCAAGACCACTCAGCTAATTAGAGGAATTTACATGGGAACTCTGGTTTTAAACCAGGGCAGTTACGGTGCTGCAGAAGAGTTTCATGTCACTCTTGCTCAGAAGAAATGGCAGCCTGCATAGTGACACCAGCCCATCCTATGTTTATCCTTTTTAATATCAACACAATTAGAGAATGGACATGAGCATGTGTTACCAAATACACCAAAAACTTTGCACATGTTTTTCTAAAACTTACTCAGAAAAATTAAAGACTATTATATTTCAGGGCCTACTCCTATGGACTCGTTCAGATGCTTATATAATAACAAAGAAATTTTTTTTTAAATTACTGATTTCAGAGAACAAAAACATCAATTTGTTTTTCTGTTTATTTATGCATTCATTGATTGATTCTTGTATGCCCTAACCCTAGGGACTGAACCTGTAACCCTGGCACATTAGGACAGTGCTCTAACCAAGCCACCCTGCCAGCACAGCAAAGCACTTAAAAGGAAAACACTTTTTCTGAAATAATTGTCTTAAGTGTTAACTAGCTCTCTTTAATACATTAATTCCAATTTACTGTTACTGCCTTCCATTGGTATCCTCATGATGGTAGTTTTATGTATCATTAATATGAATATGGGAATGAAGTTTCCTAAAAGGGTGTTAGATAATGAAGGATTAGGAGTATTGAGGAAAACATGGTGTTGCTCTCCTGGAGCTAAAATCCTCGGTAACTGATTGTTCTCACCTTTTACCTTAAAGGTCACTTGAGGCAGCCTTTCCTTGTAGCCCATATCTTGTCTAGAAGTCCCTCCTCTGCCCTAAGTACCTTTAAGCTCTCCCATTGGGGTTCTTGTTACTCCACAGTGTGAATACTTGTCCGCATGTCTACAGCTAAATGCAGGGAGGATGGGGGCTTTTTTTGCTCACAGTTGCATCCTTGCTGTTTAACCTGGTCCTGGGCAAATTTGCTGAACGAGGAAGATGAATCAGTAAATGAGTGACTTGCACTTTACCCCAAGGAAACCTTAAGCACATCCACATGTCATCTTGCAAATATGTTAACAATGAAAGAAGTAAAACAGTTTTGGGTTAAGGAGCAAATGAAGGTAAATTGTATCCAGGAAAAAGTATGATTTGAATATAGAGGTCCCCAAGCAGATACATGGAAACTGTGTAAAGAATTAATGAAGTTTGTGAGACCAAACTATGCTTTCATTCATAGGCTTTGTGTTGACATTTTTCCCTCAGCCAACAACAATGTTCTCCACTTTTCTGTTTGAAACCCTATTCGGCCTCCCATTCAGCCCAGGTATAACCTCTTAGAGTTAGTTGCTTTTTTCTTTGGTTTCTCATCTTTTCTTTCTTACATCATATTTCATTGTGCTCATGTTCCTCCTTTTCATTAGAAATCCCAAAAGAGCAGATTGTTTCATCTATGCTTATGGGCAGCTCCCATCCAGTAAGTGTTGGTAGTGTGTGTATCATAATCTCTCATTCAGGAAATGTCTGCTGAGTGCATGCTATGTTCTAGGCACTTAGGGTACAACAGGGAAAAAGGTGATAAAGGAGAGTCCCTGTCCTGTGGTAGGTAGCTTGTCTCCCAGTGACTGGATAGAGCACCTGCTTTATAAAATGGCATGAAATGACAAAATGAAAGGTGTGTATAATAGAATCCTAGCGCATATTATACTCAATTACCTTGTTTTACACATCTTTTGTAGATAATGAAGAGAGAGTTGAATAAAAGAGTATCCCAGTTAGCCTAATCATTTATTGACCACACAAATTTATTTTTGTAATTTAGACCCAAAAAAAATAAAGCCTTTAAAAATAAGAGCAGGACTATTTCTTCTGAGATTTTTTTTTTCTTTCTTATGAACAGTGGATCCAAACTTCTACAGCAAAAACTTGCTTCTTTTAGGAAAGACATATTTGAAGCTACAAAACAAAAAGCTTGCTGCTTTTTGGCTGTTAAAAGCTAAGGACTATCCAGCACACACACAGGAAGATAAACAGGTAATGTCTCCAGTGAAGTAAGGCAGATAGGTTTCTATATAAAAATATAAGTTGTCTAAATCCATATTGTTTAAAACAGTAGTGTTCATTTCAAACATGAATTGTTAACATTTATGCTAATTTCTGTATAACATGCTTAGTTATTATCAACAGATATTATAAATTCCTTGTGAGTTATTCCTATTTGACGTATGTAGCTAATCAAATGAGATTTCTAAAATAAACAGCAAGGGGTGGGTGGGTGGGAGGTTCTGGTGTGTGTAAGAGTCACTGCTAAGAAATTTCACTTTTAAAATTGGCTATCCTGATTTTTGGAAACTGAGAAACTGCAGTCTACCTTACGAACTTAAACTTCACAAGTTCTACTGTCTATAACATGTATTTTTTCCTTTTTAGATACAGGCAGAAGCTGCTCAGCTGCTTACAGGTTTCAGTGGCAAGAATTGAGAATTTTTCAAAGAGAGAAACACCTGAAATCTAGGAAACCTGCCTTTTCATCAAATTATATGTATGTTAACCATAACTGTTCTGTGGCTGTTTTTTTTTAATGTGACCATTTAACAAATATACAAAATTCTAGTTTCTTCACAAAGAACAAGTCAAAAGAGATAATTGCTGTTAGGGTAGAGGTGTCTCCATTGCTCAGGGGGTGGTTACCATGTGTCTGGGACACTAGCAGTTCTAGGTGGTGTGGCATTTGAGGACTGATCACATGGGAGGGAGGGGAGCAGGAAGGAAAGCCCATGAGGAGAGGCAAATGAGGGTGCATTTTCAAGTTGGACTGGTTCCCAGTTGAAATCTTGCAGAGAGGGGGCAGTGCAAGTAAGGTTGGGGATTGAGCGATCTGGGTGTAAAGCAGTTAAATGATGTATCTGGGAGCCAGGCTGCCTCAGGAGGGAACTGGAAATGAGTGATCTCTGTGTGTGATGTGACTTTGTCTCAAGTTGGTTGATCTAGGACTTGACAGAGCCCAAGTTCTGTTACTTTATGGGTTGAAAGCAATGCAGAACTTGAGGGAAAAGTGGAATGTAAGATGTTTGAATAGGCAGACAATACTGCTTCTTTGGGGCTGGATGCCACCCTGCAAAGTCCAAAGCTTGTAAAAAAGGATGATTTTGGATGTGAGAGTGTATGTGTGGGGAGCTCCTCAGAGGGTCTGGTGTCACAGTGGGGATCTGGGGAGGGGAATGATGTGCTGTATCTTATGTGCGTTCTCAGACACAAAAGAAAAGAAAGCAGTGCCCTTGCCTTTCTCTGTGTGTGTAGTCATGTATATTCCTGGTACTTGAAATTAACTGGAGATGACATATTTCATCCCTAGATACCTCATCATCTCATAATGCAGCCCTGTTTCACAAATCAATGATCTCAACTAGAAATCCAATTCCTTATTATCATCTCATACCCAGTTCTTTAAATTCCTCAAGTGTCCCAAAATGTCTTATGTTCTTAAAAACCAAGATGCAAGTGTTGTATATTACATTTGGAGAGCACTCCCCCATCTTTTCTTCCTCTCTGTGACTGTGAAGCAGCCAGGCCAGTTGTCTGAGATCACAGGGGGCAAACACACGGCCTGGGGCCAGAATCCAGCCCTCCACATTGTTTTATCCAGCCCAGTACCTTGTTTCTACCTGGTGGCACTGCCAACCTCCTTGCCCCTAGTTAAGGAGTAGTTACATTTATTTATACAGTCCTCAAATTACTTTCAGCCCTTTAAAGGCAACCTCAAGGCTGATGTGGCCCCCCAGTGAAAATGAGTTTGACACTCTTGAACCCACTTTTGAGAACCACTGGCCTACCTGACTTTCAAGGACCCACAGTTAATTATGTTGGCTCTTCTGTGCCCAACTTGATGTTTATCACTTTCATTTAGAGTAACTTAGAATGTTATTTTCTGGAGATGAATTAGCAGGTAATCAAATGGGAGGTAAGAGGTTTGAGTAAATGCTGTCTCCTGAGTGATTTGTGTGTGTGAAGAAGGGAAAGGGAGAAACGTCAGATTGTTGTTCCACTTATTTATTAATTCATTGGTTAATGCCTGTTTGTGCTTTGACTAGGGATTGAACCTTCATCCTTGGTGTATTGGGACAATCCTCTAACCAACTGAGGTACCCGGCCAGAGCTAAAATGTGTGTTTTTTAACTTTGAAATAATTATAGATTCATAATAAGTTGCAAAAACTAATTAATATGGGGAGGTCCTGTGTGTCCTGCCCTGCTTGCCCAGTAGTGATGTATAACTGTAACACAGTCAGACCCTGTTCAGATCGATCCACTTTGAAGTGTTATTTGTGTATGTGTGCAGTTTTGTCACCTTGGAGACTTCAGTGACTGTCCTAGATTCCTTACCATCACCAGGCTCCATGGTGCTGTCTGTTCAGTCATACTCACCTCTCCATCTATCCTGATCTGTCATCTATAATTTTGTCATTTCAGGAGAGTTATATAAATAGAATTCATATAGTACCTGACTTATTGAGATCCATCTAAGTTCAGTCAGTCAGTAGTTCATTTCTTTGTATTGTTGACTGTTTCATTGTGTGGGTATTCCCATTCATTTAACCTGAATCTATTGGAAGGCAGTTAAGCCATGGTAATCTTTGGTGCTGTGATCATTAGGTACATCTCGTATCTCTGGGATAGACGCTTAGGAGTGCAGTCATTGAGCCTATTGCAGAGCTTTTGTCTTCTCCCTGTAACTAAGGGGCAGCTCCCTCCTCTAGGACATGGCACCTTCCAGGGTTCTATGCACTTTCTCAGTCTCTGCCTTTTGACTCCCAGGAGTATGATGCCCCAGGTCTTCCTTTGGGTTAGACCTGCTTTGGGACTTCTGGAGCCCAGTCTGTCCCCCTTCCTATGCAGCCCCTCTAGGCTCCTGTCCCAGCACTGACTGCTGTTTTAAGATGCTTATTTTTCCTCATTTCCCCTCCTGTGTGTGTACACAAATGTTTGTGTTCTGTCTTGTAAGCATTACAGACTGGCCGGGTGGTTACAAGGACCTCCTTGTGGACGTTTCCTTTTTTGAGGCTGTGACAAGAAAGCTGAACTTGGAAATTGGCTACTATCCTGTGAGAACCCAGAAGCTCTCAGTTAACTTCTTGTTGGCAGTTTTCCCAACTGAGTGTTTAATTATAGACTGTCGACTTTGTAAAATGACTTTTCTCAGACTCTACAACAAAGAAAACACCCAATTCCTGGAGTCAGGAGGTACCATGAATATCAGTATGTACATTAAATACCATGGCCTTCTGATTGCATTCTCCTTTGTGAAAATTGGGGAGAGTAAAGTTGGAATTTAGTAGGAGATACCACTTTTGGACTTGTCTTTGTTGGTAGAACATTATTTTGGTGGCAGTTTTTGCTTTTGTGCAAGCTCACTCTAGACACTTTTGGCCTATGCTTGGGCATCACTGTGATAACTTTGGCAAGGCCCATGGAGTTCATGTGACAAATGTCCTGCACTCAGCATTGGACTGTGGTCTTGTGACTGGAGAGTGTTGAGTAGATGCAGAAGAGCCTCAAGAAGGTAAAATGCCCTCTGATGAGGTCACCTGGGGATGTGATCCGCCAAGGGAAAAGCAAAGAACACAAGTTTGGCTTTTAAGTTCAGTGGATTAAGAAGAGTATGTGTGTTGAAGGGGGGTGAATTACAATGTCAGTGTCGCTGACACATGCCACCCTATCTGCCTCTGAGGATCAGAAGAGCTGGGTAGGTGGGCAAGCCAAGGCTGCAGGTTAACAGTTTTTCCGACCTTTCAGTTCTAACTGCTGAGGAAGGACAGAGAGAGAACAAAACCACTTGTAGCGTCTGTCCAGAGAAGGCCAGCAACTAATATGGTATATGAAAGTGTGTTGGGCCTGTGATCTGTTGGCATGTGTTGATGCTGCATGTCGCTGAGCCTCCCTTGGGATCTGTGTTGGGACCAGTCAGGACAGGGGATCCTGCTGCCTGCATTTCTGACATCATCATGGAAGGGCAAAGGCCTCTCCAGAGAGCGGATCTGGATTATGCTGGCCCATTTGGTCACAATAATTTCTTACCTGAAGTGGGGAGGGGACCAGACCCATGAAAACCTCCTGTCTTCAGTCATCACAGACCCATCCAGCTGGGGTACCTTTATGTGTCTGACACTGAACTCTTTTCAGGTATAACTTGAAGACTAGTTATCACCCTCTACTGCCTTATATCACATAACCTCTCATATATGTTAGATTTAAAGAAAAAATTACTTAGGCAGCAGTTAAGATTTGGGAAAGGAGTCTATTCAACCAACTGGATCACTGCCTTTATTGCATCTTTACTGTGAGTTTTGAAAAAATACAGAACACAACGTAATATATAAAAAAATTTTGCAAAACAAACTTTAGGGAAATCAGATTGTATAATAGTTTTTGTATGTATTCAGCAGTGAAATATGTTAACATTCTAAGATGTCACTTCTGTGGTTATAAAAAATTTTTAAGTAAATGAAATTTACAGTGCATATTTAAATGATGCATATTTAAATGTATTAATTAGGAAGCCCTGTTTGCTGAAGTTGCATTAATATCATATCATTCTAATTTGTTGTACAACTTTGTAGTTCGGAAAATGGCTTTAATAACAAAAACAAAAAGTTTTTTACTTAGGACAGAAATAATCTATAAGGAAAGGGGGGGAAGGACCAAAAGATTGTTTATATGCTTATTTAAATAAGATACATAGAATTTTCATGAATAGAAAATCATTAAACTCATTTGTTTGAGAACTCTTTAGTCCATCTGGTTTAATGAACTAAAACTTTGAAAAAAAAACAACAATGGAAAAGTTCATGTTACCTTTTATATGTCCCCACGTATCAAATTGCATCGTTATGAATTAAAAGACCATCACACTTAAAATCAAAAGTACAGATGTGCCTGATTCTTTTAATCCCACAAATACCTAGTATGCCAAAGGAACATGTAAACAAAACTCAATGCTTCTCCATAGGATGAATGGTGCTGGGTCTGTTAGTACATGACTTTGACGTAAGGATGCTTTCATTCATTACATGGACTGCATTTACTTAGTGGTGCAACAGAGGGGAAATTTTCAACTACTGTATTTATTTAAAATAAATTGACAGGTTTGAGCACCTGTCTTCAGAAAAGTCAGCAGCATTAGTTAACATACTCAAAGTCAGATTTGGCCTAGGCCCTCAGTACCTTCCTGAACAGCCACACAGCTGCACACACCACATGGGATATGTCATGTGAGGGGGCAGAACTGAGGTGAAGGCATCCGGACTGCCTCTGCAGGAATGCTGTTGTGATGATGCAGCCGAGCAGCTCTATAAAACTAGAGCCACTACGAGCATGCTGATGTAGATACTTATTTTTAATACAGTCTCTTGCTGCAAAAGTTAAGGGTAATCTTTTTCCTGGTCAGTCAGTTTAGGGGAATAATAAATAAATTAGAAAAGAATGAGTTCTTTTGTATATTCTGTGTGTAACAACAGAAAACATTTATAGTCAGAGATGTTCAGAAAATTCACTGTACAGAATGAATGGCTTATTTACACTTATCTGTGCAATTTTTCTTGGCTGGGGTATGTGAACACCAGAGTTCCCCAAGACGAGAAACCTCATTTATTCTTGTCCAAACCCCTCTGTTTCTTCTATTGCAAAAAGAAGTTTCTCCTTCAGTTGCTCATAACTCTTATATGGTGGGAGATCCAAGCGATTAAAACTAAACAGAAACAAAATCAGATGTGTGTTCAATAAAATGAAGATTTCTAGTACAATATTTTTAAAGCACATTTGAAAACTAAAAGCTAAAAGGACAGAGACATGTTACTATACTATTTATCATTATTATTAATGTATACAAATTTCTTACAGCAGTCTATTCAGACTTAACATTTCCCAGAGAAAAACAGTCCATCATTTAAATCACTGCCTTGAAAGGCATTTATATCCCTGTCTCTCCCTCTTTCGAACTTAATCAAAACTCAGACCCTGAATGAATTCAACTTTGTCCTTCCTTATTTCTTGTACTTTGATAGGGGGACATCCCACAAGTAGGTAAATTGGTGTCCCTTTCCAGTAGGCAGTCCCATCCTGCCTGTAGCCATGAGCCTTGCCTTCCTGACAACTCTTTCTGAAGTTTCTTTCTTCAACCCCCATCAGTGACCTTACGTTATATTTTGGAAAAAAAAAAGCAACAGTGATACCTGTCTCCCTTTCACAAAATCTAAAATCTGTCTACAGTGAAAACCAACTTTTCTCCCTCCTGTTATAGGAAAGGCCAGTTCCTTTCAGCTGTCCTTGGGGATTCTCTCTGGTTATGGAATGCCCTGCCCTGTCCTGCCTCAGCAACTCCTCTTCTACTGGCTTCACCAATTTAGTCTAGGCTGGTGTGCAAATGTCTGGTCACAGGATCCCTTTTCATGCTTTAAAAGTACTGAGAACCCCAAACAGCTTTTGTTTATGTGAATTGTAACTATATTAGAAGTTAAAACTGAGAAATTTAAAAAATAATTGATTTTGAAACATGACCTTGTTTTATATTTCCACAAATCTTTTTACTCTCTAGACTCTGATACCTGTACACTGACTCTGCTGTACTATATGATCTTGGTTAGTAAATGTATACCTGTCCCCCACATATTCAGGAGGAACTAGACTCTAGTCACTTTTTCTGATAATTTTGAATATTATTCTTTGACACTATACTAGATTTGACCAGGTTACATATAATATGAAATCCTATCAAAGAACTCTTTGTACATTATGTAAAATCCATTGGATTGTGTTGCCCTCTGAACCATCTTTTTTGACCCATGCATGACTTTGTGACATATATTGGTTACTTGCAAATATTGGTTCAGCAACTTAGAGGGTTTTCAAATGTGACACATTTAATCATGTAATAGAAAAAAAAATCAGTAACACTGCTAATCTCACCAAAAAAGTGCTGGGAGGCTATCAAGCCCATGGTGTGTGTATGTATATGTGTGTGCATATATAAAAGTTTTCCAAAATTCTAATTTTTGCTTAAAACCTTCAGTGCCCACAATGCTGTGAATTGTTTTCCTTTAAGTGACACACCTACTTCACTACTTTCAAGAAAGTATTTGCCAAATATCCAAGTCTGAATAAACTGTTTATTAGTCATTCTTTGAAGTAATGGGAATATTCATAAAAAAGCCAGCTGCATCAACCTTCAAACCAAGCAGCTGCCTAACAGCCTCCTCACAGCAGGCACCATCATCAGACACATGCTTAGACACCAGATGAACAAGGTCAGTTCTCACAGCCTCATAAAGTATAATCCTCAGTGAACCCGGGTTGGTTTTTTTTTTCTTTTGCTGTCAACAGCATACATGGTTAACAAGGACCTGGTGAAGGGGTGACAGTTGCCACCAGCGTGCAGATGTGAATACCATAAAAAGGTGAAGTGTGGCTTAGCATGAACATACTTCTGACTAAAAGAGAACCACCCATGTCAGGCTACCACTTGTTGGGAACACTGACAGTTCTGTACTGTCTCCCTGTTGACTGTCCTTGATCTCTCCTCTAGCCAGTGGATTTCCTTGAATCTCATCACCTGCTACTTAAAACACTTTAGAAGCTTCTACTTGCCCTTACAGTGAAACCCACATTCCTCAGAGTAGCCCAGGGTCCTGCACAGTTGACCTGTAATGACTCTGCATTTCCAAAGCCCTTATCTCTCTCCCCTGACTTGTACTCTGTTCCACTCAAACCAGGCATTTCTGCAATTTCTCACTTAAGGGTATTTGCAAACAACCATGTATAAAGAGTGCATTCCCCACATTGCCACAGCATGCTGTTTATCACACTCCTACGTGGCCCTTTCTGAGGGCTCCATGCCCATCAGGCCAGCTGTGTCTACCATGGCTCAGCTTCGTTTCCCTCCATAGACTTCCCAGAACTGTCATTTGTGTGCCCTCCCCAAGGAGTACAAACTGACAGTGGCTACTCTAAATATTGGTTTAGTTAGGCCTACACTTTGCAAGTATTCAGATTAACTAGCTAGAAACCATTTGGTGGTGCTCAGTTATAGGACACTGCGTTAATGAGTGTGTTCTAAACACTGAAATCTGGCTACGCTAATGAATTAGCAGTTATACTGGGTCATACATTTAAAAAAAACACAAAACACTGGTTTTCACCTTCCACTTAGGACTCTCTTCAACTTACCACGTGTGGCTTCTTGGTAACCAGGTGTCTTTCCCAACTTTTTCAATGCAAAATTTTTGAGGCCCATTACTTCCTAAACCAGGAAAATAAAATAAAATTTATCTGGTCCTTGAAACTTTTTGGTCTTGAAAACTAGTTATATAACATGTCACATGGATAATACTACAGTGTCACTTGGCTTCTACCCAGCAACAAACATCACGTCAGTGCAAAGACCAGTAATCGCAGAAGTCTGCTCCCCTGTCACCCTGAAGGGCTGAGCAGTGGTTACCCAGGCGGGTGACTTTCCTTGTCTCACCTTACATATAGCACCAGGCATGAGCCTTAGGCCAGTGACCAAAGTGACCCACAGAGGTGGCACTCACCCATGAGCTCTGCGAAGCCTCCAAGGGGCAGGCGGCAGGTCCCCGTGACAAACTGTAGCAGACGCATTCTCGCCTCATTGTCTGTATCCTTTACAAACTGCAACAAGGCCAAAATTAATGTAAAATAAATGCTAACTTGTCTTTAGTAATGAAAATAGTAGACATTTAAAGTATTCCCAAATTTCTTCCAGATAATTAAGAGTGAATTTGAAGAATAAGAAATTTAACAATGAAATTGATTCAAAAGAAAAGTGATAAAAAGTGGTTGCAGCATTTACCATTTATTAGGTCTAGTTTACACTGTGCTGAGAATACTACAGAGATGAAGTAGAAACTTAGAAATATCATCACTGGTCCAAGAAACCAGGACAGGTTTTACAGCTGTCACCTCCAGAGAGTCCTGCCGGCACAGTGCCATGACCTTCTTGAGTGTGCAGCCCTCACAGTACTGTGAGGTGGGTCCTACATTAGCATCCCCATTACATGTAAGGAGACAAGGCCTAGACAGCCAGTGTGTCCTCAAATGGCTAATAAGTGGCAGAACACAGGTTGGGTAAGCTCTGAACCACTGTCCTACCCTGAACAACTGCACTTTCCCTTTAGGGACGCCCCCCCCAAATGACCACTTCCTCCCACTCAGCACCACTTCCCAACTTTACTCTTCATATGTGAAAACCCAAAGTATACATTCTTCCACAAATAATCTAGTTCACTGTTTCTTTGCAAAGAAGGACACAAATGTGCTGTTACAATGATCCGAATTGGTCTGAGCATCTTCAAAGAATGCAGGGATACTCAGAGCAGACATGTACCTTACAGGTGCGATTAAATTTAGGGAAGCACAAGACAAGTCATATACTAATCCAGCCACAGTGTTTCCATGCACAGTGGTGCTGCTGACATACTCCATCAGACACAAGAAACAAACGAGTGGGTCTGGCATATACCTCACCACTGTCCCTAAAACCAACCCAATCCAGGTGAATTTACATGGCGCAAGTATCAGCTCCTCAGATTTAGACACATCCAAATGAACAGGCTGGGAATGAGCCTAAAGGAACAATGGCAGGCCCCGGCACTCAGGACTGAAGTCACAGGTAGTAAGGGTAGCTTCCTTGCTTTTGCCTCCAGCTGCTCAGCTCTCCACTTCTCTGAGCTGGCTCCTCTATACTCAGATTTTCCTTTGAACCAGGAGACAGTGTCACAGATACACCTTCCTCTCCCCTTAATGCTCTATCGAAACCAATCTCCAGTGTCTTTGTTAATCTGCATTTAAGAGTGATTGCAGGGCATAGTATTGCAGAATGGATATATTATAGTTTATTTACTCAATCCCCTCCTGGTGCACATCAGGAGGGGATTGAGTCTCCATCAGTGTACCAAAAATGCTGCACTAAGTACTCTGGTATGTGCCATCTTGCATGTAAGATGAACACATGGCACATATCCTTCCATAAAGATGCAACTTTTGGAAAATCTTTTTCTAATAATACAAATACCCAGACCATCTTTGCACCTGAGAGTGAAGCAGTAAACCAGCTCAGTCACTATGTGAGTCTCAGTTACTAGGTTTATGTGAAGACTATCCCCTAGCCTAGAGATTTTAAATTTTCAAATGAACATACAAAACAGAATGTAGCATCAAGATCCGTATGCAACACTTTGATGCCTAGAGACCACCTGATGGCAGCTTTAACCTCAGGATAAGAAAGAGAAAGGAGAGGGTGGGTATTACCCTGTGGATTATTCTAATTCCCTAGGCATGTTGTCATCTTCAAATGAATTAAGTGTCTATTGTAACTTTCTCATAAAACATACTTCCTCCTTCACTTATAGGATTAAGTAGAGTTTGTAAAGTACTTTGATATTGCTAGAAAAAATGCTATACCTAAACTTACTACCATTAATCACTTAAAGAAGATCCTGCCATTGATTCTTTCATCCAGAAATGGTCAGAATAAGCCATCTTTTAACATATATTCACTTTTTAAAAAAATCCTCGTCCAAGGATATGTTTGATTTTAGAAAGGGAGGAAGGAAGAGGACAGAGAAAGACAGACATTGACAGGCTGCCTCCCGTACGCATCCCAGCTGGTATCAAACCCACAACCCTAGGAAACAACTGCTTTTCCTGGGGACCTAACCGCGCCCCCCACGCCCATGCAACATTTTGCTGTGTGGGATCATGCTCCAACTGAACCACCCAAACAAAATCACATACTCACTTTTGGTTTGGAATTCAAAGACTAAAAAACCATGTCCAAAAGTCTCAACTTGGTGTCAATAATAAAAAGTAAATTAAAAAACCTTTTATATTGCCGTTTCATTACAGAACATCTTAAGTACTTTGTTTCAAAATAAATAAATAAATAAAAGCAAATACCTGCCAAAACCAAATAATCTGCTTGCTGTTTCTTGTGTAATGCCGATATACAGTATTTCTCTGCCAGTCAGCCAGGTCCACCTCCTGCATGCCACAGAGCATGACCTGGAGTGGGCGGAGCACAGTCTCAGTCACGGTCGGGACTTGGAGATGAGAACTATGACTCCACGTGCACAACAAACAGTGGTCATAGTAAGCAAATCCACAACATTTATGGCTCATTATCATGCAAGATTCTTTAGTACCTTACCTATGTTTTCTGAACTCAGAAAACAACCCAGCTATTCTTTAAGAAAACAATAGGTGTGTTAAAAGAGTATCTCCCTTTACTATAAATACATCCTAAATTAGGTATCCAAATTATTGATGCATTTCAAACATGAATTTCTGCCTTTTAAAAATTTGTGCTCTTATCTACTTAAAAAGATACTAACCTGTTTTCATTTATCCAGGATTTGGGACTAAAATATTCTATGGATGTGAAATTTTCAAATAACACCAATTTATTATATGTGGGATGAAACTATTTTGTGCATAACAAAACAGTATGGTGCATATTATACTCCTCACACATCAACTCTGAACTATAATTTATAGACAACAAGATGTACATTTTAGGTATAGAGTCAGATGAGCTTTGTCCCATACACACACCTGTGTAACTACCACCACAGTGGAGATATGTGATGTTTCCATGATATCTCCTTTGCAGTCAAAAGCCTCATCTGGTGCTAGGTGACCAATGACTTTGGATTCTCAAGAATGTCACACAGTGTGCATATACAGTCTTATTTGTTCCCTGCCCAACACAACGTTATACCTGGTGCTGTGGACACCAGCACTTTCATATCACTGAGGTATACTTCATTATATGAACATATAACATTATCCATTCACTTGTTGGTGGACATTTAGATTACTTCAAATTTTGGGCTTTGAGGCATAAAGTTGTGATGAACATTATGGAAAAGTCTTTGTGTGGATTTATATTTCCTTTCACTTGGATAAATACCTAATAGTTAAGAGGCCAGGGCATGAGGGTGAGGTGTATTAACATGGTTTAACTAAATGGTCCCAAAGTGGACTTCATTGGGCTTTCACTTGCAATTTCCAGGGACTAAGGAACGCCTTTCAGGCATTTACTTGCCATCACTGTCCTTGTGCTAAACAAGCGTTTGTCAATAGCTGCTGCCATATGCAGGCTGTCTTTTAATAAAGTAAAAACTTTGAAGAGGAGAAGATTTCAATTTTGATGAAGTCAAATTTAACCTGTTTGTGTGGTTTATAGTTTTTTTTGTTTGTTTTCTCTAAGAAACTAATGCCTACACCAAGACTTCACTTCCATGTTTTCTTTTTAGCTTTCATATTTATGTTTGACTTATTTTTAATTAATCCTTTTTTTTATGGGCTGAGGCAAGTGTTGAGGGTAATTTTCTTCCATGTGGATATCCTGGTGATCCAACATCCTTTGTTCAGAAGACTTTCCCTTTCCCCACTGAAATGTATTATCACTTCTGTTAAATATCAAATGACAGTTACATGTGGGTCTGTCTCTGGACTTTCCAATGTTCCAATGATCTGTTTGTTTCTCCTTTCATTGTTACCAGGGCTAACAATTCTTGAAAGCAGATACCGCACAGCCCCCAAGTTTGTCCATTTGCAAAACTGTTTTGGCTGATCTAGAGCCTTTGTATTCCCTAGTCTTTTTAGAATCAGCCTATCAATTTTTACAGAAAATTCTGCTAGGATGTTGACTGGGGTTGTGTTGAATATACAGATTAATTTGGAGAGAACTGACATTTTTACAATACTGAATCCTTCAATATATAATCTGATATACCTCTTATTCAAGTTACCCTTAATTTTCCTAAGCAATCTTTGAGTTTTTAGGATAGAGGTCTTACATATCTTTGGTTTAAGTACTGTATTTTTTGGACTAGAAGACGCTCCAGACCATAAGACACACCTAGGTTTTAGAGGAAAATAGGAAAAATTTTTGAAGTAAAAAATATGGTAAAATATTGAATATCCCGTGACCCTACTCCACCACCACTGCCACCCCCACCCCTCAGCAAGACAGGCATACTACATTTGGACTATAGGACGTACCCCCTACCCCCCAAATTTGGGAGGAGTGTGTGTTATAGTCCAAGAAATAAGGCAGTTCATTTTATGCTTCAGTAAATGAGACTTTCAATTGTTCACTGCTAGTATTAAATAGAAGATAAAAGTTGATTTGTACAATTACTGACCTTGTACCCTACGGTCTTGTTAAATTCACTATTAATTCAAATAGTTTTTTGGTAGGTTCCTTGAGATTTCCTAAGTTGACAGTCAGTGATGTGAAACTTTTTCTTTATTGATGCCTTTTATCAAAGTGAGAGAGCTCCCTTTTAGTCCTAGTATGGTCAGAGTTTTTATAAAATAACTGTTATATCTTAAAGTTTAAAATATTTTTAACTTACAAAAAGGGGCATGATTATGAATAGACATTACTTTGAGTAATGATATGAATATTCACTATTGAATATTATTCATGGATTAAGAAAGACAATGAAGGGGAGGAAAAGAAAGAACAGACTAGGAGTAAAAGTCAAAGCAAAAAAGGATGGTGTTTTATCGCAGCTGTACACTATTAGCTAAATGCAAGTCAGTACCCAACAGTACATAAGTCCCCTTATGTATTGTAAGCAGCCCACTATGGCTCAGCTGTACATGAAAACATGAAGGCCATCAAGGGCCATGGAACAGCACCAGCCCATCATGGCCTTCTGGGCCTCTGCTGTAGCCATTACCCAACACCCTTTCCCCAGGGGACCTCCAGGGACAGCTTTCATTGGTGCTATGGAACATTTTAGGTTTATGCGTTTTGAGGACCCAGAATAGTTTAATTTTCTTTAGATTCTTAGTGAAGTCTGTGATTAAAAAATGATTAACACTATCCTAAAAAATATCTTCCATTCATTCTTGTAATGTATTTCTGCATGTTTAAACAAGCTATTAAGAAACATGTAAACCAGGGCTAGCGATTCAATACTGTCATTCAGGCATAGAGTCCTGACATTCAATATATTTCCCACATCAGTCAGAATTTTCAGCAGGTTAATTTTTACACAGGAGTACTACTATATAAAACATGAAATGCTAATTTTCACATGCAAGTTTGATTACATGCACAGACCAAGTTTCTTGGTAAAGAATCCAAGTTGGCTAAAGTTAAAACACTGCATCTACAATGGACTGAGAGGAAATGCCAAGGACTATCCTGGTGCCCATATGGGAAGAAAAGACTTCACAAATTCAGTGACTAATCTTTAGGGAAACAAATCAAAACAGTAATAAGATGTTATTTCACACCATTAGGATGGCTATCATAAAGGAAAAAAGTAAAAATGCAGGTGAAGATGTGTAGAAATGTGAACTCTGGTACACTCTGGTGGGAATGGAAAACAGTGGGGCAGTTCCTCAAAAAACTGAATACAGGATTACTTAATGATTCAGCAATCCCACTCCTTGGAACAGACCTGAAGAGCTGAAAAGCAGGATATAAGATACTAGTATGGCCACGTTCGGAGCAGCAGCATTCACAATAACCAAAAGGTGGAGACACCCAAGTATCCGTTGGCTGCTGAATGGATAAAGAACATGGGGCCTATACATATAATGGAGCATGATTCAGCCTTAAAAAATAATTCTGACACCTGCTACAACATGGATGAACCATGAGGACACTATGCTCAGTGAAATAAGCTGGTCACAGTAAGACAGATACTATGTGAGTCCACTGAAGTGAAATAATAGCAAGAGGAGTCAAACTAGCAAGATAGTAGGTGGGTGGTAATGGACTGGGGAGTGGGAAATATGGAGAACTTGTTTAATGGGTAGAGTTTTAGTTTCTCAAGATGAGAAGTTCTGGAGATCTGTTGCCTAATAATTTGAACATACTTAACATTACTGAACGGTACACTTAAAAATGACTAAGATGGTACATTTTGTTATGTGTATTTTGTCACCTTCCGAAAAATGCTCATATACTTTTACCAAGTCTAAATATAGTTGACACCACTAGGAAGTCATGACTTTAAAATCTGATATTTGGGGTAACTCATTACTAAGCCAGGGTATCGGAAAGTTCGCCCAAATGAGTATTATGGTTACAATCACTGTCGAGGGCCTTACAGAAGGCCTGATTGATGATTTTGTGCCCATGACATCATCATAGTTCAAAAAACATGAGCCCCTTATCCATTGCTAGGATTTAATACCCCCAAAACTTCTGGATGAGTGAGAAGATTCTAGATTGTACCACATGATTTAAAATGCCATTGGGCATTCTTCTGCGAAAGCACCAAGCAGCCCCTGCACCCACTCCTTATAATACCTAATTAAAATGCCTCACCTCCAATTCTTTTTCATCAAAGTACTGTAGCCACTGAAGAGGAACAACTTCATTGAAACCATCCAGGAAAGCTTTGGTCTGCTCTTGCACTCCTCGAGAGAAACGCCATTCTGTCATCAAACTGAAGATAAAGATGACATATAAAGTAGGTCACTTGTATGTGGTAAAAGGCTTAGGCAAAAATCCAACTTCTAACACTCCATTTTTTTCTAAATCTACCATCTACACTCCTCACACGTGTAGTTTTTGAGTTAACACACATCTACACAAGGAAATCACAGCAGCATATGTGCAGCTGTCAAGATGCTTTTCAAAGTGAAGAACACATAAGAGGTTCCCTGTTGATGAGGCTACACCATGAGCAGGAAGGGCGGCCACAGCCACCAAATGGACTCCCCTTCCTCCTGACTCATAGCCCTCCACAGAGAAGCAATGGTGTGTCGCAAGCACGTCGGGCATGCTGTCTGCAGGTCTCGAGATGGGACACACTATGGTACTTGTTAGAAAAGGCTCAAAACTGATTTACTGGAGAACACAAGGGTTTCCTAACATTTAAAGGAGAAATTTCAAACAAGCAAAACATTCGGAGGAGTCATAACACAGCTGTAGAAGAAGGAAGCAAGAAGGAGGAAGAAAATCCGGCAGTTATAAGGTCTGGAAGGGAGGTGGGTGTGCAGGACCCTGTGCAGGGGCAGCCATGGAAACTGGGGGAGGGAGCAGCCTTCCCACATCCCCTGCTTCCCGCCCCTCCCCTGTGTGGAGGAGGAAGGTGCTTGACTTGTTTCAGATACCTTTCATCCTTGCTGCCTCCAAAACTTCCCTACAGCAGTGACTTAAGCCCTCAGTTCTATCCAGCTGCCCCCATGCGTCTCAGACAGCTCTCTTCCAAACTCCCCCTTTAGTCCATTGCCCCTCCCCAGCCTGCCACCACTCATTAGAAGGGGGCCCTAGCTCAAGTCCTCACCTTCTCACCTCCCATTCACTCAAGTTTTAAACCACTGCAGTTTGGCTTTCAACATCTCCTCCCACAGGAAGAAATAACTGCCTTTACATAATGTCACCCAGGCACTGGAAAGGGCCAAGTCATGTGCCCTTTTTTCTGTGCTCGTGTGACATGCTACCTGTGATGGTGGCATGAGCATTTCCAGTTCTCAGAGCCCTTTCCACCTAGTAGCACCACAAGCTGATTGGTTCTGCCTACTCTTTGAAGGCTCTCCATTTGTCCTATAGGGCCTCTGTCCTACAACTGAATGTCACTGAGAACTCTTGCCTTTTCAACTCTTCTAGTTACTCAACTATCTAAAGATGATTCCATTAATTACTGAAGTTTCAATTATCATAGAAAAGCCAATAATTCTTAAATTCCCAAATCCTGCTTTTCTCCTGAGATGAAGACATTTGTAATTCATCTCTCTGTGGACATCCTGGTAACACATCCACTGTCAATCAGTCTAGAAACCTCAATCATTAACTACTTCATTTACTACTATTTCCACACTATGTTAAGTAATGACTTACTCTGAACATTCTATTCCTGTAATGTCCTCATACACCCATCCCTTCACTTTTATGTGTCATGCCTGTTTCAGGTCTGTAATTCCCACGTTCTAGATTCCTGGACCACCTCCTCCCCAGGGTTCCTCCCCTTTCACTCCCTTCCCATTTATGGCCCCTCAGTTTATCCTCCACGGATTCTATAACTAGCCTTCCAAAACCACTTCTGATCATCCCATCTTGTTGGGTTTTTAGTGAAAATCCAAGTTTCTTAAGAAATAATGTGGTTTCTTTATTTCTTCACAATGTGTCTACAACTTGAGGCCCCTCTCTGGCCACTCTTTGTTGTTATTTGCCATATTCCTGGAATATCTCAATTCCTCTGCTACTACTGGCTTCCGCCTCCCAAAGGGTTGTCTATCCAGTCCTATTTGTGTACTAAAAAATAAGTATCACAACTAAAAGAGAATTATCACATTAATTTTAAGACCAAGATTAAAAAAAAACAAGATCAAAGTCTGCTATTGTATCAGAGACTGGAACAAAATCCTCCCAAAATTTTTATATTCAAGATTAGATATGAACTCTTATGTAGCAGGTACTACACAGAAAAGATTTTTTTAAAGTAGTGATTACCTTAACACAAAGTGTAGAAGGCAAAGAAGCAAATTAGTAAGTATTGTACAAACATTAAACTGCTTCTGATGTTTGAAAACACGAATAGCACTTTTTAAATGCTTAGGTTGTGTTATTTAATAACCATTGGATTGGACTTCAGGGAAAGCTTAAAGTTTAACAAATATAGAAAGCTGGGTGCCTTACTACCTTTGTGAATATACTTTCTTCAGAATGTTTTTCTATTAAAAGTGATAAATGTTCCATGTGCTCCAACACTTGTGCAGAGGAACAGGTATGGGTGATTCCACACTCAGAGAATCAGGGCTGACTAAGTGTGGGACACTACCATAACAACTGCAGGGGAGGAAGAAAGAAAGTAACACAGCCATGTCTATTCAATAGTCTTTCACTAAAATCTCCCCTTTTGGTAATCTCCACAAGGACAGAGGCAGCAGCATGACTGGATTCATGTTTACAGTTTTCTGCTGCCTGGTCTGTAGTGGCTCAACCTGGACACAACCTGAATGGTGCAAGTAATATAGGATGGACATACCATGATTAACTATTAGGAAGCAAGTTAATGTAGTTCTCCTGACCTGCAAAAGCTAAGAATAATGTATGTTATATGATCCCATTTTGGGGACAATTACAGAAAGCAAACAAATAATCTGAAAGGAAGAAAAAAAATAACACTGAGAACCTAAGTCTAGAAGGAGGGTGAAGACATGGCAGAAAAAATGAGAAATCTGGTGGTGACACTTTATCTTTACCGTGGGTCACTTAGTAGTTCAGGAGCTTATGCGCCCAATCTAGTCTATAATTTGCTTTTCGTACAGCCCAAGAACAGTCTTTATATTTTTTTTTATTTAAAAAAAAGGTTGAAAATTATTAAAAGAATATTACTTCATGATTTGAAAACCACATGAAATCAAATTTCAGTGTGTATTCTGTGAGTTTATCAGAGTGCAGCCACATGGGTCTGTTTCCATCCTGTATACACTGCTTGAGCTCCAAGTGCAGGGTATGGCAGTGGTAAACTGCCTGAAATATTTACTACCTGGTTCTTTCCTGGAAAAGTATGCATTCACCTGGCTGGCAAATGAAAATGATTTCTAAAGTTCATATTTGACTTTAACAGAACACTGAGGTCATGAGAGCAGACTCCTCAGAGAAACAGGCTGAATGAAGGACCTTGGACAGAGATCCACATTTAGGAAGTGGAGAGAGATGGAGGGCAGCATCACTGAAAAAGAAATTGAAGAAACGACAGGTTGTAGGATCATGGAATTCAAGAGGACAGTTTGAAAATGGTGTGGGAGCACCTATTAAGACAGGAAGTGGGAGGGTTGGTGAGATGCCTCAGGAGATGAACCCTGCTGGGGCAGTCAGAGCCAGGGTCCATGTCACACTGCCCCACAGAACACCTCAATCACTCATCTGCAAGGAAGCAGCTGTGGTCTCTGCACCAACCTCTGAGCACCAAGGGCAGTGACCTGTGACCCGACATAGTCAGAGAGCACACAAGCCAGTGGTTGTGAAGAAGGAAGATCAGTGTACACACTCTTACTTCAAGAACAGAGAAGGACAGAGGGAAGTTACTATAGTACCTATGAACTCTGGAGCATGATGGAGCATGTATATAGGTCGAGTAGAGAGAAAACAATGAAAAGGTAAATGACAGGGAATGCAGAGAGGGAGGAAGCTGGGGTGTAGACAGGGGATTAGTGCCAACATGTTCTGGAAACCTCACCCAATGTATTCATCCTTGTTGTCCTCAGTCACCAGGATATTGGCACCTCCCAGCTTCAGGTCATGTGAAGTAACTTTTCCCAAAATCTCCATGTCAACAGAAAAGTACATTTCTAAGCCACATTCTTCAATGTCATTGTCTCTAGGTGATAAAATATATATATATATACTAATCAACAAGACATATAAATTGGTTATAAGAAAATGCCTTATTGAAAGAAAAATCTTCGAACCTTATCCAGATAAGGGAATTATAAAATTCAGTGTCAATGGATTCCAAATCCTTAATCGTCAGTTTCTTACTTAGCATACGCTTGTAGAATGGTAAAGAGAAACCAGTATCAATAAACTTTCCATGAAAAAGTGCCTGCCAAGAAAAACAAAAATTATTTTAAAATTTACAAAATAATTTTCTTATTGAGTACACAATGATTACAGAGAAATCACAAGGTTTTACCTATTTAACTGAGGTCGAACATTCAGCTACATCATGTCCTATCAATAAGTAAGAGGGTGATAAAGGAGCTTTACCAACCCCACTGTAATGTACTGTATACACTCAATTAACTGGACGTGGAGTGGAGGAAGGGCATCAGGGCTCCCTGACTTCTGGCCTTCCCTACTTTGCCCAGGGGGTGTTCAGGGCTCCCTGGGAACATTATGCCTTCACTGTTCTGGCAACAGCCAGCCCAGCGAGCCCAGTCCCGTCGGTCCTCAACCTCTATTGTGCTGTGTCCTCTAAAGTGCACAATCCATCACTAGCAAAAGCCCCCAGAAACTCAACTGTTTCTCTTTAGAAAAACAGTGTCTTGCCCAGGCTGGGTGGCTCAGTTGGAGTATTGTCCTATATGCCAAAAGGTTATGAGTTCAGTCTTCAGTCAGGGCACATACCTAGGTTGTGGGTTTGATTCCCAATAGGGGCATGTACAAGAGGCAACCGATCAATGTTTCTCTTATATTGATCTCTCTCTCTCTCTCCTCTCCCTGCTCATCAATAAACATATCCTTGGGTGAGGATTAAAAAACAAACAAAAAAAAAACCCAGCATCTTGCTCCAACAAAAGTCTGGCATTTCTCTGAGGACCTTGCTTCCCTGAAAGTCCTTTCAAAGGGGTACGATTTCTTTTTGTCCCCTCATGTCACCAGGCCAGGAAGTGAGCGGGTATGTTCCTTCCTACTGACCCCTCCTCCCCAGCTGCACATGACATGTGGTGGTCACCCCTGACTGTCTGGGCCCCTCTCCATCTGTTCAGTGTTGTGATCTCTATACAACTGCCTGGTCCTACATGTTTCAGAACCCATGTGATGAGCCCTTTCTGAGGCTGGCTTTTAGTCCATGACTTTCGACTTCAACTTAGTGAAAAACATTCAGCACCTGCCAAGGGGTGCTGTGATGAGCAGTACCTGCAATTCCTCTGTCACCTCAGACGCACATCCCCCTCCACCCGGCTCAGTGCCTGTGGTAGTAACAGCAGGCATTTCTGCTCCATGGAACCTAATTCATAGAACTGCTGCCTTTTCACTTTCAGCCCTGCACTGTTACTTCCCCGTATACTCCCTTTAGATTCCATACTTTCAAAATCCCAAGGTCGTGAAATCCAACTCTCAGCCTCCAGCTTGTGGCTGGGTGCTGGAACATGCCAGAATGGGTGCACAACCACATGCCTGATTCCTTCCCACAGCCCCAAGTGAAGTGCAGAGCAGAGCAGCGCGGTGCTGATGCTCCACTGTGTCCACACTGACCTACTGGGCTGGTGGTGGGCTCTGCTCTTCCAGGAAACAATCATTAGAGGACTGGCAGGGTCTCCACAGGTGCTCATGACCAGCTTACTACTACTCTGTGCTCACACTAAGCTTCTCCTGGGTCTTATTGTCCAGGTCTCATTGCACTGGCCTCATTCAGTTCCTTCCTCTCTCACTCCATCAGCAGCAGCAGCAGATGAATGCGTAGGTCCCTCCCATTCTCAATCCCACATCAATTCTAATAACTGCCCAGCTTCTCTCTGATCCTTTGAAGCAAGCTTCTTTATATCTCTCTGGCTTTCACTCCTGGTTCTTACCTGGCCACACCAAATGGTCACTGCTCGGACCTCATCATGCTCAGCCCAGTAGCACTGATCCAGGTGACAATTCTTTGTTCTTTCTTCCTTTGTTTGCTGGGAACCATTGTTACTGGATTCTCTTCTCCTCAACGTTATATCTTTTGCTGGTTTCTTCTCATCTCATCTCCCTGATATAAATGTCCTTGAGCTTCCTATCTGCCCACACTTATTCCATAAACAACTGCACAGCCTCACCTAGCTATCCCCTTATTACCAGACTAGTCTGCTGGCTACTTGTTCCCCACCTGGATGTCTACAGGTGTCTGAAACCTAACAAACCAAATCCAAATTCTTGATTCCCCAACCCCCAAGTTTGCTCTTGTCACAACCGCACCACCTTAGGAAAGGGGACTGCAAACTGACACACAGGTCTGCACTTGATTCTCTCACACCTTGTACCTAAGTAGTCTGAGAGCCTGTCAGCTCAAACACAGAATAGCAAACTACTTCCTGCCACCCAGTTGCTGTACCACTCAGGTCCCTTATCTGCACTGCCACACGTCTCCACTTCTCCAGGGGCCTCCTTTGCCCCGATTATAGTCTCTTTTCTACACAGCAGCAAAGTCAGCATGATAAAGTCAATATCAGACTATGTTACTTGGATCCTGTTGCTTCTCTGCTCACCGTCTTTCAGGGAATGCCTGGAGGGTCCCTCGGTACACATCAGCCTGAGCTCTTACAATACTTGCACCTGCTCTGCTGTAGCCAAGCCACTAGAGATCAGAACTGCAGTTTCAGCATCCCTGGTTTGCTATTCCCTTTGTCCTGAACATTGCTTTACAAGACACTTGCATGACAATGAACAGACATAACCAAGGGCAATGCATGTCATTTTGCTATTTTTGAAAGAAGTGAATTTTAAAGGAATATCATGGTGTCAGTCTCACCATGGCAATGAAGCGACCGATGAAGCAGAAGTAGGAAAGGTGGTCCGGGTTGATGGTAGATGCAGGGTTAATCTGCAGACAGTAGTTGTTCTTGCCAGCATACTCAAACAAGCAGTACATGGGATTCAGGACTTCATGTGAGAGCAAGAAAAACCATTCTCTAGAGAAAATAAGGTAAGATAATTTCTTAGCATTCACATGCACATAGACTTAAAGCCAGATCAAATATACAAAGTTCTGGCCAGTTCTGCAATGCCAAATAGAAAGCTGGTGTTAACATAGCTAATATTCTCACTCTGTACAGACTGGCTGTGTATATCCCCTATTCCCTTGGGTCCAACTCCACCTCAGCAGGGCCCACACTTTCCTTCAAGTCCTGCTTAGATCCATCCCACTTTGTGCAGTTTTGTAAAGTTATTTCCAGAGTATTATGTGTACCAGTAACTGGTAAAACCTCACAATGGTATCATTTTTCGGCAGATGACCAGCCCCATATATCAGAGTATAAGCTCCTCAAAAGAAAAGGCAACCTTTTTATATATTTTTGTAATCTTAACTTTTATAGGCACTGTAGGACAATACACATTAGGTTCTAATAAATATTTGCTGGTGATACAGAGATACACAGCACTGCTACTGTGGAACACTTTTGGTTTTACCACCAATGAATTAAAAATGGAACTAAAATTTAAAAAGTGAAATATTTAAATGTGATAAACATTCTCTAAATTACTATTTTGAGAATTACTATTCTCAAAAATTACCTATTTTGCCTCATTTATAAAGGTCTAATATGTGAAATACAACTAGAAAAAAGATGAATAATTTATATGACAAAATAAGCTTGATTTGCAAAAGGCTCCTAAATGTCTAAAGCAGGGCTCTAAACATGGATGCCTGCAGTGATGGTTGATTGGGAACAAGGGGCCTTAATTTACTACTTACCCACAAACTCTTGCTTTCTACTGTATCCCTGATCAAAGTCATTATGGCTTTAAAGAAAAATTATTTATGGGCATATAATCACAGTCCTCAGACAAAGGGGCAGTGATGGGCACAGGAGTAAAAGTGTCCATTAGCTCACAGGGGGCAGGGGAGGGCAGCTCCTCTGATTCAGCCAATTGATGCCACATGAGAAGGTGACAATGTGGGTTTAATGTTTTTTAAAGAAGCCAGAAGTCTTGATTCTTAAGCATAATCCAGGAATTTTCTTTTTAATGTTGTCAAGTAAAATTTAAATCAAAATGGGGGTCACTCCTATGCAGGCTAGATCCGTCCTGGCAGGCTGTTTACAAATGTTTTTCTAAACATTTTTAAATATAATCTCAGAAATGCCTGAAAGGTAGAAAAGGGAGTTCCCAAATAAAATCAACTAAGAAACGATAGGTACCAATTCCTAAAACTAAATCAAGTCCCAACACAGTAGCTGAACCAAATGGGTAGGTGAAGTAAGGCATGCCCCAGGGAAGAGGGCTAAATAGATCTGTTGAGAATGTGCTCAAACACAAAAACTAGGAACAAAGTTTCTAGTTGCTGCAGGTCACTGTCAGCAAAAGTAGTCCAGAGAAAATGGAATCCACTCAGAAGGCTGTTACGTGGCATCTAACCTGTACCTGACAGCAGGAAAGAGGGAGACATTCTAACTAGTGAGAGGTAGAGTCGCATTCAGCACACCCCTCTCTTAACACCCTCAATAACTAAGGAGAAACAAAAGTTCGAATAAATCATGAGACAGCAGATGAGCTATAGCAAAGAAAATAAAGGGAATCACAGAAAAGCAGCAGAAGGCAGACAGCACTGCAAACCCAGACATGGGAATGGGTGTGAGAAAAACCAAAACAAAAATGGAACAGCACAAAGAGAAAGAAATAATAGGCACATATGGCTGACTTCACATACCCATGACTGATGTACCTCAAAAAAATGAAACACGCAGAACAGAAAAATGTTTAAAGACATAAGAAGAAAATCTCCCTTAAATTAAAAAAGGCATTAATATATTCATTTAAAAAAAGATATAAAGCAATCAACAATGAAATCAACAAATTTCAAGAATAAGGACTATGTGGGCCCCCAGAGAAAACTGTTTTCCTATGAGAGCTGGGCTCCCACTGGCAACACTCATATTCACACTAGGGGACAGGAGGCAATGTCCACAGAATCACTGGGAAGAAATCTACATCTGCTGAAGCTGCCCTTTATAGACAAAAGCAACAGAAAACACATTCTGAAAACTGCAGGAATATACCATCATTGCAAATTCTGAATTTCCAAATAAACCAAAGCCAACATATGAATCAAAACAAAGAATTTGGAAATAAGAAAATTATGATATGGAGGAACTAACTATATGCAGTAAAACCATCAAAATATAAAACTAAACCAAAATAGTTGAGGTAAATAAGGGTTCAGACCAGAATGAATGTTATAAAGTCAGACACTGTAAAAATAATGCCGTATTTCATTTCTAAGATGTACCATTCTTTTTAATGTTTGAGCACTTCTGAAATTGCGATATCACAATAGATAGATGTAATATAAACATTTATTGTGATAGTGTTTCTTTTCTTAAAAAACTTCTTTAATAATGTTTTAGATGAGAAAATATGCTAATACAACCAACACTAATAATCCCTGTTATGCACTCCCAGCAGCGGTACCCAGTTCCACATCTCTTTTTCCCTGCTGCAGTAAAGCTGTGATTTTGTAACTCTGTATACTTATGCAATGTAAGTTCAAAAAGAGAGGTGTTTCTATGCAAAGCAAGTTTAATTCTTTGGAAGGATTTATGGAAGTGTTTTGCTAAAAAAAACAAATTATTGTCAAATTATGTATGGGCAAGGCAATAAAAAAAACATTAAAAGGATATCCTAATCATTGCTTCAGAAGTATCTACTGTTAACAATATATTGAGTGAATGCGGAAAACTTTATTCTCAAAAAGATTCAGGATAGATTAACAACACAAAGATAAAACTAACACATACTGTTACAACAGTGAAAAATAAGAAAACAATTTTATGTATGCTGATCCATACATTATGATATCTCCATATAATTGAGTATTGTGCAGCCATTAAATAAAGAGTAATAGCTGCATATATATTATATAAAATTATATAATTATAATTATATAAAATAACAAATGTTCACATTATATAAAACAACAAGACCAAGTTGCTATATTGTACACACTTTATGATCAATTCTGTTTAAAAAACCAGGAAATGCACAAATCTCATAAATAGACACAAATTTATATATGTGCAGAGAAAATGTATAGGGTAACCAAGAGTAATAGTATTGGTTATCTACAGAACTGTGTAAATATTTTAATTTTAATTTTTAAAATAATATTGGATTGCTATTAAAATATGTATCTTCTTAAGAATACATCCATTGCATAAACAAAGCCACACTGTTTAGAAGATGTTTTATTTTACCTTGCTAAACCACCATAATCAAGTCCTTCTTCTCCTCTAAATATTACATATAATCGCCTCCTCAAGTCATAGGGTTTTAATGCCATAATCTAATTAAAAACAGAAACATGGACATTTAAACACAAATAATACAGCACAAATTTCTGCCAAACAATGCTACTTAAATGTTATCTGTATTTTCAGAATTAAACATTTCCTTATGTCATACCACAATGCCTTTAACTCTAAACATCAATTGATTTGTTCCACAAAGTGATCAAGGTGTGCCTTATGCTACTCAGCTCTCTTTTACTCTTATGTCTCTCTTCTTTTTTTTTAAATTTATTTCTTTATCTTCAGAGGGGAAGGGAAAGAGAGAGGGAGAGAAACATCAATGTATGGTTACCCTTTGCACATCCCCTGCTGGGAACTGGCCTGCAGGGAACTGGCCTGCAAGCCAGGCACGTGCCCTGACTAGGAATCGATCCTCGATTGTCTGGTTCGCAGGCCCGAGCTCAATCCACTGAGCTACACTATGTTATCTCTTGTTGTACTGAATGGTGGCTCTACTTTGGGTCAGTGGCAGGAGAGGAACAGTCTGACATGGAGAGCTTTAATGTTAGATAATACTCCCTCTCCCTGTCAATCCCAAACTTCATGAAAATCTTGTAAAAGGTGACTTGTAACTTTTTCTGACTAGCAACACTAGTCAGAAGCAGAAGATCTTGTTCTGGGTCCTGCTTATACACACATTCCATTCTCAGTAGGAAAGGAACATGTTTGTAGCAAAGATTTATAACATGATGCATTTTATACATAAGTATATCTTAAAACAATACCTATAACCAACTTCATAATCTTAATGGCTTATATTACGGTTACTAGTAAATAGACTTCCCTTTTAGAAAACAATGAATTCCTCACATGTGTCAGAACCCAAGCCGAGGCTGGCATGCATGGTCAGGGCCCTCGCACAGGGTGGCACGGGTTAATCCTGTGCATCAAATATACCACAATTCTCCCAGGCAAAGCACAGAGCAAAACAAAGCCCCCATGAATATGGATGTACCCTTACCAAAATAAAGCCTAGACAGAGCTTGGAACAGGTGGAATCATTTGACAATTACTTTGCTAAGAATTTACTAACTCAAACCAAAAGACAAGTCTGAAGAGTAGCTATAGTAAGTGTGCTGTCCCCTCCCAATAGCTGGTCAAAGTAAGGTAGGACAAAAGCATCCTGGCTTCAGAGTGCTCTGTTCCTTTCAGGCCCATGTCTGTGGTGTCCCCATGCACCTGTACACACAGGGCCTTCTGGGTCCTCATGGGAGTGCTTTGCAGGGATTGAAATGACTTGCATGAATTATTCTCCAACTTATCACAATAAAACAAACTGTCAAGATTTTGATTTTTTATCTTTAAATAAATATTCTGCATAGGACTCAGGTGAGTAAACATATTACACTCGTTTATCTGCTTACCAAGTGTCTCCTGAGCACCTGCTATGTGCTAGGCTGTTCCAGGCACAACCACAGTCTACAAGACAGTCTGTGCTCCCATGGAGTGACATTCCAGTCCATTAGGTGGTACAAAATGTCAGCAGAAAGAATCAATTACCAAAAATAGGTCTGGAAGGGGGTTGGGAGGGAGGTGAGCAGGGACTAACAGCTTAAGTAGTGAGCTCACACAGGTCTGGATTAGAGCATGATATTTACACAGAAATCAGCAGGAGCGTTATTAAAGGAATACTCACATGACAACAGTATCTATACCTATTTAATTTTAATTTGGTAGTATTACCAAGACTTTTTGTTTAAGTTAAAAAGCCTTAGCAAAATAAGTGTCGAAATGTGTCACTTTGTCCCAGAAGTTGTTTAAGCTTTAGTTTAGCAATCTCATTCATGGTAGAATGACTTTTCTCATCCCCAGCACCTCTGCCTGTGGAATGGAAGATGTTGTGGGGATGAATTAAATGACAGTGTCATGCACATGGCAACCCCCCCAGCCCTATGGGGTTTATTACGATTGTGACTATAATGGGCATTCAGTAAGGTAGTCACTGTTATAGCTGCATTCTGTGAGGTTAAAATATCTAAAGTCTTCACTGTCCCTCACAATAAGACAGGTTGTGCTAGGTTATTCTGATAAAGTTTTTCTTACCTGCTGAAAGGAATCTTCGAACAGTGTCTGTCGGGACACATTAATCTTTACATGACTGGGTAGTGCATTGGACTAAAAACAAAAATAGCATTACCATATCATGTAAGCTTAGTAGACACACTCTGTAAAAATACAATTAAATGCTAAGATATGAGACTCATTTAGCAATGCAGTACCTGGCACAGGTAACGGAAGTGAGCAAGCTTCCACCTAAAGCTGCGTTCGTAAGCAATCTGTGGACCACCTTTAGTTCTAAAGAGAAACAGAACGAGCAGGTATTAATTCACATTAAAGCTGCAACTTTAACATTTAACACAAGTGCCCCAGAGGCCTATAATGACCACAGGACAGTCATTTTCTGGAAGAGAATGGGGGTGCATCTGCTGGGCCAGCAGGAGCTTGCGCAGTGAGGACACATGATACCAGCACACGTACAAAGGCTGTATTTTGGACAGGGTTTTATAAAGAGCCAGTTACGTGAAATACCAACATCCAGTGCAGACCACTTCAAAGAGACCTTCTTAAAGGTCTAAGGGACCTTTAAGGTTAAGGGATAACACTTAAATCTAAGGGACAAAGGAGCTGGAGAGAAGGGACATGGAGGCAATTCTACCACACCTTAACCCAAAGATGAAAACTAAAACAAACATAAGCACAGCAAGATGGGACTCCAGAGACAGGTGGGTCAGTGAGGGAAATGGCCAAGCTGGTGGCGTGTAGGGACAGGTTTTATAAACAGGGCTCAATGCCCAAGGGAGGGCCTGAGTCTCCTGCCTCATGAGAGACCCTGAAACATGAGCGCAAAGAGCTTTCCCTTTCCACAGGAACACTTTGGCATGGAGGGAGAATGTTCTCATGCAGCCAGATTCAGGTGCATTCATTCAACAAATGTTACAAAATGTGTGCATACAACTGGCCCCCTTCTGGACAGTAAGAGTGTTCTTTGTTGATAAGAGATGAAAGGACTGCATTTGTAGAACTTAAACAGGAGTGAAGGAGGCAGACAATAAACAGCATGAATAAGTAAACTACTTCTAAAAAGGGGACATGTCTCCCTGTTCCTTGAAAAGAAAAAAAGTGGTATGGAAAAAGGATAGGAGGGGAGCAAGAGACAGTCTCTCACTGCTGAGAAAGGTAAGCAGAGTAGAGCTCACAAACCAACACCTGTGTGAAAACATGGAGGCACAGCCATAGAGATATCTGGGGGAGGGGCACATGAAGCAGATAATGGCCTCAGGTATTACAGGGACAGCTGGGTGGCCAGTGGTGCTGGAACAGAATGAAGAAGAGAAAAGAACCAGGGGTCAGGTGCTAAGGGGCCTTGTAAGGACTTGGCTTTTTACTCAGACCAAGAAGGAAACCATTAAATGCAAAAGTGCAAAGGAATGAATTTTTACTTAGATTTTTTATTAAACAATCAGCCAAGGTGCTGTATGGAAAACATCACTGTGTGGGGTTAGGGTAGGAAGCAGTAGGACAGGCAGCACTGCAGGTGATACTTGATGGTGGTAGCATCCTGAGACAGCAGTCAGAGTGCAGGGAGCTACAGTTCCCGATGGACTGAGAATCAGGTAAGAAACAGGGGCTCAGGATGATTGAGACTTTGGCCCAAGCACACCTAAATGTGAGGTGGCCATCAGCTAAGATGGAAATATCTCTGGTGGTACAAGTGTTATGGAAATTGACAGGAAGGGGTGATAAGCAAAGATAACAAGGAAGCAGCTGAATAGAGGAAGCAAAATTTGAAGTGAAATATTAAAAGTGAAGGATTTGAAGTGAAAGATTATGTGTTATCAGCACACCAATGCTTTTGAAAACCATGACAGTGGAGAATGAGTGTAGGTAGCTGAGGAGGGAGCTGAGACCTTCCTTCGATGTTGAGAGGCTGAAGAGAAAGGTGCACAGAAAACAGAGTGACAGATAAGACCAGGAAGGCACAGAGGAAGCACAGACATTCAGACCCCACCTTCTTCTGCCTGGAGACAGGTGTACTGTGTCAAATGCTCTGAGAAGTCCATAAGACAGGCTGCAAGCCAGCACCAGACTGACAACATGAACAATGCTGGTGCCCTTAACAAATTTAGAGGCAAGGGAGCGTTCCAGAGTTGGTCTAGACTAAAATCAGAAATAGCAACATAGACACAACTCCTTCAGGCTTTTTTCCCCAGAAAGATCAGTGATAGAGATAATTTTTTACCAAATGAATTTATAAGGTGAAGAGTTATGGGGTTTTGTTTTAATTTTTAATCTATGAGACAAAAGCAACTTAGTGGAGAAAGAAAAACTGATGATGTAGCTCAGGAAGATGATCACTGCTGGAACAATTACATGGGAAGGAAAGGAAAAAGACCCAGGAAGCAGCAGAGGGCCTGAACTTTGGTAGGAACAATGACACGTCACTGACAAGATCAGGAGGGAAGATGCTGGCAGGTAGGCAAATGTGACAGCAGGAATTTACAAAAAAGGCTTTCATGATGGCTTCTATTCTCAGTGATGCAAAGAGCTCACACCTAGGAGTGAGGATGAAGGAAACATCTGTCAAATGCCTCAAAGATATCTTCATCTGGAAAACTCAGTCTTCTTGAGTATCTGAGCCCCTGAGATCACGGCACTGAGATGTGGTGGTCAAGGGCACAAACAGCAGACAGACTGCCTGGGTCTGAAACCAGCCCCATGACCTGTATGTGATTCTGCCCAAATCAGGCACACTCCCTAAAGCCTCAGCTTCTATGCTTGGTAAATGGAAAATAATAGTGTCTTCTTCAAGGGGTTGCTGGAAAGTGAAACAAGCTAATTGTCTGTCAAGTGCTCAGAACAATCCTTGGCACACTGTAGCCACTATATAAATATTTGCTACTGTTATTGTTAAGAAATTACATGCCCCAAACCCATTCTAGGCTATTACTAAGTAGGTTTTCTTCATCTAAAGTGAAATTTGAGGCTCACTTAGCAGCTAACCTACATCCTAATGAAGCAGCATTAAGAACCTCAGGCGTCACTCACACAGATGATTTCCCATTTCGAGGATCTTTGAATGTCGTCGTTCTGGTGTTGTGATCGACAAAGTACCGCACACCTTCCCGAGTATACCTAATCTCCCAGCCTTCTGGCAGGGGCTCTTCATTCTGTAAGCTGAAAGGGAGACAATCAAAGGTGAACACTTTCCTGGTACTAAAAACATCTGAGTCAAGGTTTACCTGATTCTAGCTATGTGTAGATACATGTAGAATGGTGTAAGTAAGGCTGTAATATATGCATACCCTTGAGTTCTCGGATCTTCCCACTGGGTGGTTTTTGTGTTATGATTCACGAAGTAAACTCTGTCTGTTGAATCTACTCTTTTTTCTAAAAAACAGAATGAACACCATAGCATTTAATAACCATTTCTATGTATACTTTTGAGGTATTTTTACCAACAACATATTGGCTTACCCCAGCCTGGTGGTAAAGGCCCGTAGGGGTCATTTTCTGCAGCTAACATTGAAGCCTGATTGGAGAAAGGGTTGGAAGAGAATAAAATAATAGGATCTTAATATAAAAGCAGAGACAAACAAAGCACTCGTCAGAACCACATTTTATAATAATGTTCTAAATAATATAAAAGAATGTGAATATAGTAATTTCAAGATATTAAGTCCTAAAAGTACCATGAGTTAAGGGGAGTCAATCAATTATTATGTTTCTACAATGACTTAGAAATAACACCCTGACTATCACTGTTTTCATTTTAGGCTTTCCACAATAATCGAGAGGCACCAGGTAGGAGGAGAGAAGGGCACAGGAGAACTGCGGTATTTAAATGAGGCAATACTATTTGTTCAAAAACACAATTATCATAGTTCTTTTTAAAAATAAATGCCTATTAGTGCAGCCAATATTAAACTCTAGTATCATCATTATACAAATAAATGTTATCTTAATATTCTCTTTTATATAATTATATACATAAAACACTTATACTTACACATTATTACAACCCAGAAATATATTCTGAAGCACATATAAACATTCTACCATTAATATGAAAAGAATGATGAATGTAAAATCATGACCTGAAAAGCCATTTCTCAGTGATGACATACATGCATCTTAATGAACATTTTATCACTTTGGAAGAGCTGTTGCTACCTGTACTCAGTCCCTCCTTTCTCCTCTTTCCTTCACAAAAAGCCACTGTTCTGTGAGGGCAGGGATGTGCTGGCTAGGAATAGTCCATCTCTTCTTCTGTGCACAGGTCTGGCTGGTGGGATGACCGTTCTAGACAAAAAGGTCTGGGCAGAGGTTCCAGCTGAGGGCCTCCATTTCTGAGTAAAAGGGCAAGGGCTTGCTAGAAAAAGCCTTCTCCTTTCTACATCCCTCTCCATCCTTCTGTTTCAACTGGGTAAGTGAGGCCCCAAGAGAGCAGCGGCACAGGATGAAGGTAAGAAGCACGAAGCATGAGGACAAAGGAGCCATGCTACTTTGGGCAGAAAAAGCCCAGGGCCCTGATGGCATTACTGAGCCAGTGATGATTGGCTTTGATTCCTCCCCAGACTTGGCGTTGCTCTTTGACAACCAACCCTCAATCCATTCCAGGATGTTTTGACATGTGCAGGAGAACAGTTCTGATACACACCTGTTACCCGAGTCTGCCCTGTGTCCCCAAGGTGTTCCCGTGTACACCTAAGACCCACCAAACACATACTCACACTACATAATCCCTGGTTTACTATATTCAGCCAGATGATGTATATCACCATAGATTCTGTGTAAGCTCCATGGGTGGCCCACACCTCCCTGGTTACAAGCAAATAGCAGGAAAGGGGTCACATGTACAAAAGACCTCATCAACTCACCTATGAATCAGGCAGGACTCAGAAAGGCTGATTTTTCTCTTCATATATTTACTACCTTCTGCCCATCTACCAGCCTCTGTTTTTGGGGTTTAAGTTGCTTCAAAACACTATCTACAGATGCCCAGTACTTAAAATTTATATTTTCTCCTTCCTATGATCAAATACATTTACAATGTTTTTTTAGGGTTTTTTTCCCAACTCTTCTTGTGGATGTTTACTTCTGGCAATAAATACATTGCCAAGTGGTCAAATTTTCAGGTACATTACATTTTTTTGGACAAAAGAATCCCCAATATCAGGAACATCTTTGACAGGCCAAAAGAGAGCAAAGTACTGTTTCAGAACTTCAGAAGAGACCCAAAGTAGTTTGCATATAATGAAGCTAGCCTTAAGTACAATCGGGAGCTAACTGCTTTTATTTAAAGCCAATAAAATTATCACAATTAAAGGTAGAAGACTGGGAATCTGTAAAGGCATAGTACTTTATAAAGAAATAGCAATTATGAAGCTACCATTTAATAAGGACAATGAGTAAGTTCTCTTAGTATGCTAGAAAATTTTTTAAAAGCTTGAAGTGGTTATCTATATTACAAACAATGCTAATTATTTATCAAAGGTTGACTACAAAGGACCCTATAATGCTGTGCAGAATATAACACAGTAGACTGCAGTGCAGTAGAATAAAATACAGAAGAATAGAATGTAGAATGGAATACAATAGAATGCAGTGCAGTAAACAGAATGCAAAACACGATGCAGCGAAATGAACACAGCAGAATGTAGTACAGTAGAATGTAACACAGGAAAATGCAGTAGAATGAAGTGTGGCAGAATGGAATAAAGCAGAATGCAATGCGCTGGAATACAATGCAGCCGAATGATGCTCAATCAAATGGAATGCAATAGAATGCAGTGTGGTAGAATGAGGCAAACCCAGGGGCCATATGCACTCACTGAGTAGAGGTAGCGCTGATTGAATTGCTGCAGGGCACCCTGGAGCTGGCTGCGCTGTGACTGCCACTGTTCAAAGTCCCGCACTGATTCCAGGGTTGGCCGCTGCCACGTGGTTGTTCTGGTGTTGTGGTCCACATAGTATACCCTGCCACGGTCATCCACTCTTCTCTCCCAGCTAACACCGAAAGTGACAATAAAAATTAACAATCTCTCAATAGAAGACACTGAGAAGTAGTTAATACAAGTAAATAATTTAAAAACCAAGTCCAAGCTATTATAAAATAACTTAAAATAATGTAAATCAGGATATTCTTCAGAAAGGCTATGAACATATATTAGAACAACTAAAATAAAAATCATGTTAACACAAAATGCTGGCAAGAATACAGAGAACATCAATCTTTTATACACTGCTGGCTGGAATATAAAACTGTAGACATTTTGAAATACAATTTGCCATTTTTCATAAAAAAGAAACATACAATTACCATGTGATCTAGCAATTGTGCTCTTATGCATCTACTCCAGAGAGACAAAAATTTATGTTTACACAAAATTCTACACATGAATGTAATAGCAACTTACTTTATTTTAGTCAGTCAACTGACTAAAGAAGATTTAGAAGATTTAGTCAACCTAAATCTTCAACAGGCAAATGATTAAACAATCTGTGTGTGTGGGGGGGGGGGGGACAAAGGGAAATATGTGAGGTAAAGAGTGTGTAAATTAACTGGACTGTGAGAATTTTTACACTGTATACATATATTATTAAATCATCGTGTTGCACACTTCAAATATATGACAATTTGTCAATTATATCTCAATAAAGCTGAAAAAAACCTATGATGAAAAGAGAAAAAGAAAATCTATGAACATGTAACTTTTTATTTATCTTAACTAAATACTTCCCATTCTACTACTACATGATTTCCAAGTATTACTGGTGGATGGTTGGCCCGGGGAGTAGGCCCCTGTCCAAGATAGTGGCAAGTGGAGGTTCTTACACTGAGTACATGAAGAGCCCTATGCCCTGCCCCTCCAGTACCAGATAGGTGGTGGGACCAGGGGAAGACAGGCACATGTGCCAGAGAAGTCAAAATGGCAGCAGGAGAGATGCTAGACCTAAGGGGCCTGTCAGCATAGCCCAGGGAAAGATGGGATTGGTTGTGGAGTGGACCTATGCAAAGCACACAGAAGTTTGGGAAATGTGTCATTTTGAGAAAGCACCTGTTCCATCCCACATCCAAGTCAACAGAAATACAGGGGAACAAAGAATGCTCTCTCTCTTGTTCATGGCTCACTGGCTCGTGACCTGCACTTAGACAGTGAACTCACTTGTTCTCTGTGTGGGCCAGGTGGCCTTAGCAGCCTGAGCCCATAGCCTCTGGGAGGGAGATTTGCTCTCTCGCCCACCTGGTGAAGCATGCGTTGGCATGTTCTCCACCCCAGGAGTACACAACCTTGAGAAGCTAACAGCTGTAGGGCCCATGGCAGCACTGGCTCCACAAGCAGGCTCCAGGACGGAGCCTGAAATGGGCAGCTTTGGGAACAAGCTAAGCTACTTGGATGACCACTTAGCAGCTGCCTGCAGACTCTAAAGGATGTACTTTAAGGTGGAGCAGGAACCCTGGGCACTGGCTTTTGTTTTGGTCTTGCTGAGGATTGTTGGTCTCACAAAGGAGATGGACTTTGAGACGGAGAGTCCGCCATTCTCCTAGATTATGTAGCATCTGAATAAAACCTTTCCTTTGTCACCAGCTACTGCTTCATGAATTTGGCTCTTCTGGCAAGAGGCAGATGAACCCTCCTTTTTTTGTTTGGTAACATAAAGATGGTTTTGATGGGGGCCAGAGATTGAACCATCCCAGAATTGATCCAACTACACTTTCTCCCCACTTTTTTGATAAGCATTTACTGAGTGCTTATTGATTACCTGGCAATCAACCCCACAGCCACTCCCCACATCAGATGTTAACTCGAGTCTTGACAGTTCTTTGCCCACCGTCCTGTAGCTGATGTGAGCTGCAGGTACAGTCATGCCATCCCACCTGCCACAGCTCTCAAGGATAGCTCAGAAAACATCCCAATCCCAGCCTCAGTGACCCAACGCCCCAACATCCTAGTGCTACGTTCCAGAGAACCATATGGAGCCACGTGAATACCCTCTGAGTCCCTTGGAACAGAAGGTCCTTCTCAGTCTCTGCACACCCAAACACACCCATGCTCCAGGGTCCAGTTCACCTCGAATCCATTGTGGTCATTAATTTACATGGCAAACTCAGAATTCTCTCAGCAACCAACTTTACAAAATAACATTCCTTGCCTTGAATTTTCTAGAACTGGAATGCATTTTGTATTAGTGGACAGAGCTCCTGAGTGTCAAAGATGATAACGAGAAATGCCAAGTGCAGTCAAGAGTATGGGGACACTATGAATGGTAACCAAGCTGGCTATCAGTGGGGTGTGCTCATGAGGTGAATACATGAAACTAAGGACAAGGGACATCAATTTGTGAGTGGCTTTCAGTAACAGCCCAACAGCATGAACTGTATTACTAGCAGGTAACAATATCCGCAGTCACGTAAATGCTCTATAACATCAGCTAAAGTGTAATGCAGTTAACTTGTGGTAACCTGTGGATTTCACTGTAAACCATTCAAATATCTGTCAGGAAATCCCATAGAACAACAGGGCTTGGATCACTGTCTATGAGAACCATGCATAATAAATTGTCTTTCATTCCTTAAAAAATTAAACAGGGACTGGTACTGGACCAAAATTCTGCAACGACCCTCAGTAACTCATTCCAGTGTTTGACAATCTCTTAGGAAGCCCTTCAAGACAACATAAGGAAACAATATGCAGAATGAAAGAATCACATTATGTCATATGATGTAAACTTGAAAACCACATTTGATAAAACAACTAAAGATTGTAATACTTCCACCTTACCCTGGAGGTAAAGGCTGTGGCCTCTCCCATGTGGTCGTTCGAGTATTATGATCCACATAATAGGTTCTCCCATGAGGATCTTTCCTCTGCTCCCACCTTTTAAAAAATGTGAAAATATAAGTAAAAGACAACAAATATGACAATATGAAGAATGACTCCTTCTTATAATCAGTAAAGTTACAGAATCATTAATGTACAGATTAACATATCTGTAACTTTAATTTTATTGTACTTATATTTAATTAATGTATCTGTACATTAATGTGCAGTAATATACATATACATTTACAGACTTTAAAAGCCTACATATCTATTATAAAGTTGTTTTTTTCCTCAATTATTAGTGCTTTTTAAGTTTTACACATTTTCTTTTTCCTTAACACAATTGGAAATTCAGTAAGTATAGTTACCAGAGAAAGCTAGAGTAACATGCCAAGTTTTTAAAAGATACTAATTTACAAATTTCCAACTCATCAGAAAGAAAGAAATTTCATCAAGGGTAGACAAACTTTCAGCCTTGTATCAAGTGCAAAGCACAAAATGTCAGTGAAGTAATATCCATTCTTGCCTGCAATTTCAAAACCACGTATCTAAAAGATTTCAGCAGAAACCACCTTGAAGAAGTATATGGTGTTTCTGTGTCCTGACCATTCTCCCTCTGTGTGCAACCAGTGTCTTCTCTCTGCACACATGTGTCTCTCTCTGGTTCAGAGGAAGCCTATAAATTACAGACATCCTGCTGTACCTTCTCTGTTCTACTCTGAAGACTCACTTTCATTTTCTCTTCTGTGATCCCTACTTCTTCCTCTCCAGTCTTCCCACACCACGATATAGAAGAAATATTTCAAACACACAAAATAAAAACCTGGTATTTCTGGGTTTAACATTCTTAGTTTCAACTTGAAAACATTATAGAAAATATTTTTTCTTCTTCTTAAACACAGGGACCCAATTAAATCTGATTTCTTTTTGATTAGAGAGGCCTTTAATGATTTTTTCCTATGCAAAGACCACACTTGCTAGAGGTATTCCCTCAACATGGTGTACAGATGAAGCTGTCTCCTGCACATGCACACAGACACACACGGGCACATGCACAAGCACACACATGCACATATACACTTACTCTCTTCCCAACTGTACCCAAAACACACATGCTAGGCCCTTCTTCATGTGACTATGGAAACCCTCCTGAGAGCTGAGCCAGGAACAGGACATGAGTGCTGTTCCCCTGTCCCTGCCCTTCCACCTTCTTACTTCTCCATAGCCATCATCATTCTAACTACAGGTACTTTATCTTGTCTGTTGCCCTGGGAAAGCACCAGAACCCCTTCCAGCCCTCATCAGACACCATTTCCCAGGTCCATGACTTTCACTGCCTCTGCCTGGTTGGAGAACACAAGTCTTAGTAGCTTCCTAAGAAGGACACCTGGGCAGGATACTTGTATAATCCTAGGTGTCTGCACTCACACTCAACAGTGCAGCTGAACACAAAACTCGAGGTCATAGAAAATGTCCCTCTAGGACGGAGGCACTGGCCACGGTCTCCTAGAGCCCTTTGTGTGGATTCTGAGAAGTCTGATGCCATTCTGAGGAGTATAAGACCTGCCTGCCTCCATGTCTTAACCTCTGAAAATGCTTAGAATTTTTTTCTTCAGCCCCAAAGTACTAAAATTTTCCCAACAGTGTCTTAATACAGATTTATTTCCCCTTGACCTGAGTTTTGGTGAGCCCTTTCCAAAAGAAAATCAAGTCCTTCATATTGTGAAAGTTTTGTTGTTATTTTGTTAAGGATTTCCTCTTTTTCTGAAACTTCTCTTATCAGACCTTCTATTTTATAAATTTATCTTTTTATTTTACTTTCTGAGAAATTTCTTTACCTTCATCAGCCAAGCCTTCCACTGAATTAGATTTCCAAGAGCTTTTGGTTCTTCGAGTATTCTGTTTTTATAACATATTGTTGCTTAATTTCTGTTACATCTACTCTTATCCCTCTGAGAATATTGAAATAGTCTGTTTCTTCTGATAGCATTTTCTAGGTTGCTTGTTTTTATTTCTTTCTTTCTTTCCATAAGAGGTTTCCCTTGGGTGTCTAATGAGTAGGGGACCAAAAATTGCCTGGGGATTTTGTGTGCCAGGGTGGGGCTTGTGGGTTGTGGGATGATTAATGGAAGGGCTATGTGAGGCAATTTCCCTGGAGAACAAACAGATAGCAGTGTTTTTGTCTTTTGGGGGGGTTGGGGGGAATCTTCAGTGGAAGATACTTCCAGTCTTCTGGGTGGAAAGGTAGAATTCTGGCTATCAATACTCTAGGATTTGGGAGGAAAGAGCCAAGTGCTTATTTCATGTAAAAGGCTATAAAGCCATTTTCAGTTTTATCCTAAATCAATTGCAAATATTTCCAACTTAACATTTAACAATATTCGGTAAGCACTGAATTATGCTAGCCACTGGTTCTTAATTTTTTCAAAATGGCATTACTTCCAGAATTCAGTATTTTTGTTCTAAACAGAATTTATCTTTGTCAAACTAAATTTCTTGCTACACAGAACATTATATTCAGAACTACTTTAGGATTTCTTCCTTATATTTTCTATACATTCTATTCTCTAGATCAAGGGGAGACAAACATTTTCTGTAAAGTGCCAGATAGTAAATATTTTATGCATCGGGGGACAAGAGGCAAAACTGAGATCACTGTGTAGATACAAACCTAATAAGAGAGAAAAGTTCTGCTGTGTCCCCACCCTCTTTTCTGGGCGGGGCATCCCGGGTTGTGGGTACGCCGACAACATTCTGGGGACACAGAAGTTCTGGCCCAGAGGGAGGAGCCTGGACAATGTCGTGTCTTTCCAGTGAAACTGTCTAACCTCTCCTGACAGCTGGCCAAGTGCATGAACTAGCTGAGCTGTCACTTCCAGATAAGACCCTACCTCCAAAAGTGAGTCCTCAGTGTGTAGGTGGTGACCAGAGCAGCCTCAGCAGCAACAAAGGAGAAAGGTGCTGGGGAGTTTGGGGCTGGGGAGTTTGGGGTAGGCAGAGGGTTATAGCAGCAATGGAGGCACTCTGGCTGTGCCTATGGGTCCTATAAAAGTGACAAGCTGGAATTGGCCAGAGACCACATTATCTAGTAGTGGAAATTCATGAATACCTATCTAGTAGTAGAAATTCATGAACACCTATCATTATCTAGTAGTGGAAATTCATGAACACCTATCATTATCTAGTAGTGGAAATTCATGAACACCTATCATTATCTAGTAGTGGAAATTCATGAACACCTATCATTATCTAGTAGTGGAAATTCATGAACACCTATCATTATCTAGTAGTGGAAATTCATGAACACCTATCTAAGATAGGTGCAGATTACTGAACTGATTACTGAGACTTCTCAATAGAACTCATTTTCCTGGAGAGAAGTACTAATTTGTAACTGGCACTATCACCTCCACCCCACAACATTCTCCTTTCTAGTGTTTAGATATAGTCTCTCTGCCTCACTAAGCAGAAAAAAAAATTTAAAACCTACTACTTACCACAGACCTTGTTAAAACAACAAAAAAGTAAATTTGGAAGAGTTTTGTGAAACATATTACAATAATAACAATAGAATTTAGTTAGTGATTGTATAACTATGGGTTTCAAACCTGAATAACAGGGTAGAGAGTGACCATGCCTTCTCACAAGCTCAGTCCCAGTCACCTCTCTCCTGCCCTGCTCACCTGCTGTCCCACCGTCCCCTCAGCAGCTGACCCCCTTTCACCTATCTTAACTCATAAAACAAGCAATTGCCCCCAGTTCTGTCTTTTCTTACCCACGTCCATGTGTGTTCACAGGGACAGTGTAAGAGTTGCTGTCACACCCCATCTCCCAAGCTCCACCTTCCAGCAACTTGAATACAGCTCCCATCATTTCCCAAAGCCACTTTTCAAAGGTCAGCAGCAAATAACCTCTTTGCTGTTAAATTCAATGGTGCCTCTAATTTCTTATCTTCCTTTAATTTTTCAGTATATTATGACCTTGTCAAGCATTTCCTCAGAGGTATTTATAAGCCAGGTCCTTTGCCCAACTGCTGATTCACTCAAAATCACTCACTTAAGCTCTAATTAATTTATTGAACAAATCAGCAGACACGGTTTTAGGCACGAGTAATGCAGAAGTGGAAAAAAAATCCCTTTATCAATGTAGTGGAGAGAAAACTTATGATAACACAAAAATAGAATACATCACCAGGCAATCTTACTGCTACAAGGAAAACAATACCAGTTCCACCCATCATGCTGATGAAATGAACCTGACTCAAAGAGTTCATAATGAATCCATTAATATTAAGTTCTAGAACAGGGAAAAGTAACCTATAATCTGTAGTGGGAAAAGTCAGAACAGTGACTGCCTCTCTAAAAGTAATTACAAGAATTTTCGGAGAAAGAGGTTTGAGAGAACTTTTGGGGGTGACGGCATGTCTACAAGGATTTGGGTTAACAGATGTATGCATTTGTCAAAGCTCATCAAAATGGTACACTTAAGACTTGTGCACTTCTTCCTATGTAAACTTTATCTAAAAATTTTTTTAAATACTGAACTCCAGTTAGTGATATGCAAACTGAAGTGTGAGGCAAAATGTATTGGTATCTGCAACTTGCTGAAATGCATTTAAAAATAAGATGGACAGAGAGATGAAGAGATATGAGATAATGCAGACAGTAAAATGTCAATTGTAGAATCTGGTGATAGGTATATAGGTGTTCCCTGTGAAATTCTTTAAATTTTCTGCATGTTTGTAAATTTTCATAAGAAAGGGTTAGGAAAAATATAGAAGTGTAAGAGTTGGGACCAAGGGGCCTGATGTGGGCAGGGGACTGGGTGAGGGCAAGAAAGTCCTGTGGAATGAGACAGCCTGACCTTGAGCTATGTATATAGAAGGAACATTTCACACAAGTCACAGCCAACACAGGGTCTTAGGTGAGTCACACTCAGCAAGCACACAGGTGTCATTTCTAAGACCCAACCCTCTTTCTGAGGACACTGTAATGCTACTGGCAGGTAGTTAAACAAGTGAGTAAGTAACCAGAGAGGAAACACAGGGGCATAGGCACTCAAAAAATTTTTGAGGAAAAGAGGAAAAGGTGTAGATTTGAACACTGACTGGGTTACACCAGCCAAGTCGTACCAGAGCCAGAACTCATGTGGGCTCCACTCTCCTGTTCCTCCTTTTCCTCACAACTAATCCCCAGGCCCATCTTAACATCACCCTGAAAGGCCAACAACCACCTTAGTTTGGGCTATTTTAATTTCTCTCAGGGATCAGTGGCCCAGAGCTCACAAAGTAAGAACTACATTTTACTCTAACATCTTGTGTATAGTAAGTGCTACTTATTTACAGTTTTATACAAACACACTAGAAAAACTCACCTTCCAGAAACAGTGCTCACTCTTACTATATAATCGCCCATGTCAATACTTCCTATTCTCATGTGTACTGAGTCACCTCATTAGGTGTTCAAATTCTGGTCATAATCTGTGACATCCTCCTACTGTCCAGACCACGCACAGTGCCCGAAGCACTGATGTGGCCCCCACAGAAGTCAGTTTCTGTCCCCACTGCTTTGAATTGGAATGCCTGCTTCTTTCATAGAACAGCCTGGCTGCTCTCCTGTTCCCTACTCAGTCTACAGGACTACCAGCATAACCTTCATCACACTCGGGTATGACACACACCCCTTCACTTAAAACTTCTTAGTACTCACTCCTGGTTTTCAGGACAAACTGTCAGCCCCTCTGCAGGGATCCACACTCTTCACATACTCACACCTTGCCTCCCCAATGCTGAACTCCAGCAGGAACACACACTCTTTCCTGAGTGTGCCTTACCCATTTCTATGATGCCAGTGACCCAAACATGTACTCAGCTCCCCTGAGTGAGCCCACCAACACCTGCCTCAACTGCTCTTGAGAAAGCCACTTCAGGGTAACCTTTCCCAGAAAGACTTCTTCAATATCAGGTGGCAAGACACCCCCACCGTATCGTAGATTGAACTCTGGCACAGCTGTCACTATAATGTGATGTCCCTGGTTGCCTGTCTTTACCCTCTAGACCATGAGGTTCCTGACAGTAGGAACAGCTCCTCGTGTGTGTCACAGTTGCAGACACATAACGAATAAGTGAATAAGCTGCCAAAGACAGGAGACAAAGGGACAATGAAAGATTTTTTGAGGAGCAGGGGGGACAGTGTAGGTTCTGAAATGCTTGCAGGAAGCAGAAGTGGGGACTTCCCCATGTGTAAGTGGTTAAAAATAAATGCAGAGAAAGGTATGTCTGGACATAGCTCCTGAACAGCTAACATGAGGGACAGTGCAAGCCCTCATAAGGGCACAAGTACAGAGGATGGCAGCTGGAACCAGGAAGGCAGTGGACACACCTGGTGAGAGCCTGAGCAAACCAGCTCCAGTCTCAGTGTGAGCCGTGGGCACACCATGGACTGTAGTGACAGCACGTGGGCTGTAACCTGACCCTGGAGGTGTAGCTACTGGGCACAGAGCGGACATGCCAGTGTTCCACCTGTATCCAGACCCCAATCCAGCATTTCCAACTGGATCCTGGATGCGTGTTTACAAGTGTGAGCCACTAAGTAAACTCTCAAAGGCAGAGACAATGAATCATTTATATTGGGTTGGCCAGAAAGTTATTTTGGGTTTTTCCATAAGGTGGCTCCAATAGTGCTTAGTTGTCTTTATCCTCGATCAAAACAATTTTGTTAGACTGTATTCTGACAGCTGTCATATCAGCATGCATTTTTAAAAAACTTACCAAAATTGGTGAATTTTTACTGAAGACCAAAGAAAATAAGCAACATTGTTGGCATATATGCTTTACTTCAAGAAAGGTAAAAAATGCAACTGAAACTCAAAAAAATATTTGTGCAGTGTATGGAGAAGGTGATGTAACTGATTCTGCATTTCAACAGTGGTTTGCAAAGTTTCATTACTGACTTTCATACTGGAGATTTCTTGCTAGAAAATGCTACATGGTACAGTAGACCAGTTGAAGTTGATAGTGACTAAATTAAGACAGTAATTGAGAACAATCAACATTAAACCATGCAGGAGACAGCCAACAAACTCAAAATATCCAAATCAATAAAGTTGTTAGTGAAAATGAAAACAATTTGTCATTATTTTATGAAAAAAACTAAATGGATTTTTGGCCAGCCCAATAATAGTATCTTCAGAGCCGAGCAGAGAGTAAACAACCTGTGAATGACCAAATGGAACACCCATATAGAGTACTCACCAAAGCAAACCCTGCAATGCTGAATAAGGATGGCGGGAAAATGCAGAAGTTAAGAATCGCTGAGCAGTAATGAAAACCCAAGTGTGTAACAGCCCATCATTGGAGCTGGATAATGACTCCCCAGCATTCAGAATTAACAGAGGAAATGTCTGCTTTTTCTTGAGACTGGGGTGTGTAGAACAGACCACAAAGGAGTCTAGAGCTGAGGTTATGATCAGTGGTGCCATGGTCACTCTTAGGAAAGGAAAGAATACACCAGAATCAAGTTAAGAGGGTCCTGCACAACCTAGGGTCCCAGCGTGGGGAAATATAAACTTCAAAACACCAGTTGAAAATACCTGTGGGGATTGAGGTGCTGGGAGAAACTCTTAGCCTCACAGGAGAGTTCGGTGGAGAGACCCACAGGGTCCTAGAACATCCACAAACCCACCCTCATGGGAATCAGAACCAGAAGGGCCCAATTTGCTGGAGGGAAGCAGGGGAAGTGACTGAAATCTGGCAGAGAGCCGAGCAAGCACCACTGTTCCCTCTGGAACCCCTTCCCCACATATAGCATCACAACCCAGCAGCTGGGCTGCCCCACCCAGGTGAATGCCTAAGGCTCTGCCCCTCAGTATGTAACAGGCAAGCCCATACAAAAAATATGGGCCAAACGAAATAACAGATCAAAGCTCCCCCCAAAAAAATACAACTAAGCAATGAAGAGAGCCAACCTATCAGATGTACAGTTCAAAACACAGCTAATCAGGATGCTCACAGAATTGGTTGAATTTGGCCGCAAATTAGATGAAAAAAAAATGAGGACTATACTAAGTGAAGTAAAGGAAAATGTACAGGAAACCAACAGTGATGGGAAGGATACTGGAACTCAAATCAATGCAGTGGACCAGAAGGAAGAAAAAAACATTCAATTAAAAAAGAATAAAGAAACAAGAATTCAAAAAAATGAGGAGAGGCTTAGGAACCTCCAGGTCATCTTTAAATGTTCCAACATCTGAATTATAGGAGTACCAGAAGGAGAAGAGGAAGAGCAACAAGTGGGAAACTTATCTGAACAAATAATAAAGGAAAACTTTCCCAATCTGGCAAAGGAAATAGACTTCCAGGAAGTCTAGGAAGCTCAGAGAGCCCCAGACAAGTTGGGCTCAAGGAGAAATACACCAAGGTACATTATAATTACATTAGCCAAGATTAAAATGAAGGAGAGAGTCCTAGTAGCAGCAAGAGATAAGTAGACAGTCACCTACAAAGGAGTTCCCATCAGACTGTCAGCTGATTTCTCAAAAGAGACCTTACAGGCAAGAAGGGGCTGGAAAGAAGTATTCCAAGTCATGAAAGGCATCCAAGATTGTTCTATCTAGCAAAACTTTCATTTACAATGGAAGGACAGATAAAGTGCTTCTCAGATAAGGTTAAAGGAGTTATACTTAAATAAAGTTAACTATAATAAAGGAGTTATAATAAAGTTAAAGGAGTTCATCATCACCAAGTCCCTATTATATAAAATGTTAAAGGGACTTATCTAAGAAAAAAGGATAAAAAGCATATACAGTAAAATGACAGCAAATCACAATTATTATCAACCACACCTAAAACAAAAACAAAAATAAACCCAGAAAACAATTAGAATAGGAACAGATTCACAGAAATGGAGATCACATGGCAGGTTATCAACAGGGGAGCTGAAGGGGGAAGAGAGGGGGAAAAGGTACAGAGAATAAGTAGCATAGAAGGTAGGTAGAAAATACAGAGGGGGAGGGTAAGAACAGTATGGGAAATGTAGAAACTAAAGAACTTATAAGTATGACACATGGACACGAACTAAAGGGGGAGAATGTGGGTAGGAGGGAATGTGCAGGGTGGAGGGGAGTGAAGGGGGGAAAATGGGATAACCGTAATAGCATAATCAATAAAATATATTTTTAAAAAAGAGGGTCCTGCAAATTAAAATCATTTTTTTCCTTTTCCCCTAATATTGCATGTATTTCAACAAGATGTGTGATCTTAGTTTTAAAACAGGGGTGTCAAACCCACAGCCTGTGCAGGCCACATGTGGCCCAGGATGGTATGAATGCGGCCCAACACAAAATTGTAAATTTACTTAAAATATTATGAATTTTTTTTTGTGATTACATGATGCAATGTACTTAATGTGTGGCCCAAGACAACTCTTCCTCCAGTGTAGCCCAGAGGCACCAAAAGGTTAGACACCCCTTGAAAGGTACTTGCTTTGTAGCAAATAAATCGTATGAATCAGATTTTGATTTCAAGTTCCATTACTGGAAAAGTTTTACACACACATTCAACAGTCAAACATGATCACACATTTGAGAGGTAACGTACCCTGAGGGCAGAGTTTCTGTGCTGGCGTTCGCCCCAGGCTCCACACAACCACCAGGCTGCCTTAACTTGACTGCTTCGAAGGCAGAGCTATTTCCAGACGCAGATGCAGCAGGGTCTAGGTCACTACCAGCTCCAGACCCGAATATCATGCCATCAGAGAGGATGCATCCATTGTGTTCCAAGGACACTGGCATTTCTGGAACAGGGGCCTCCTCACTAGAGGTTCCAATGCAACTTGATGACGAGGTGCCATCCTCAGGGACCATGGCAGTCAGCATGGCAGGAGGGGCATCAGTTGGTGCAAGTGAGGTCGATTCTCCATTAACTACAAAGGGCAAATGAACAAGGCAATCTGAAAGGAATGACAAAGCAGCCAATTACTGCACATGTTGTAATACCTCAGGTATTGATGAGAATCAAATAAGGCAGATTCTATTTGTTGTTGCTCACATTTTAGAGATGAACATGTGAATAATAAAAACTTAAGAAAAAATATACACTTACATAGAAAGAACCTTAAGGAAGGAGAAACCAACATTAGAATAACAAATGTTTTTCCTCAAAATTATAAATTTTGAAAAGTCTTCATGGGTTATAAAATTTTTTTAAATGACCCCTTTCAATCTCCCTCTTTGTATGAAAATAGTAGCTAGTATGTGTCAATGGTAAGGATACTCAGTGGCATTAACTAAACTAGCATACCACAGGGGATGCAGAAGTGCTCCAGGGCCTCACTCTACACGTTCTGGAGAAATAACCCAGCATTGGCATCCATTTTAAATGTGATTTCAACTATAGTCACTATAAAAGTGAGTCAAATGAAAACTGGAAAGGAGCCCTGGCTGGTGTAGCTCAGTGGTTTGAGCACAGGCCTGGGAACCAAAAGATCGCGGTTCAAGTCCCCGTTAAGGTACATGCCTGGGTTGCAGGCCAGTTCCCAGCAGGGGGTGCAGCAGAAGCAACCATACATTGACATTTCTCTCCTTCTCTCCTTCCCTTCTAAAGATAAGTAAATAAAAAAAAACTGGAGAGGAGAAGACTATTCCACAAAACTAATTAGAAGACTGCACGTCAAAGTTCACACTGCAGTGGGGAGGGATCCATAAATAAGAGTAATGAGGTTATTAGGTAAATCTGTACAGAGAGATCCTTCCATGGTAGAAGCAAGGAAAGAGTGTACTACTGAAAAGTCTATCTTAAGTGCACAACAAAGGCAGACTGACCTGGTCTGCACCAAGGTGGGGAGACAATTGCTTTGGGAAAAACATCAAGAATGAACTATGAGAAATAAACTACCACCACAATTACTCTGCTCCCAGCACTGTCAGAGAAGATGCAGACAAAGTGCACAGAGACTAAATTCTGGGTGTCCCACCCAATATGCACTCACAAGAACGGTCTCACCTAGCATGTACTCTCCAACGGTATGCATTTATTTTCCACAAAAGATGGAGTAGTCTTTTCAAAGCAAAATAACACTACACGGGAAAAGAGGAATGCTTAAGAAAAGATAATCCAGAACAAGAAACAGTCATAAACCTGTGTGCATACTGAAGCACAGACATAATATACAGTTACAAACAGGAAGAGGATTAAATATTGATATCAATTAGCACAATCAATTGTGCTCTGCGTGTCACTTTATGCCTGGCCCACAATTTCTTGCTTCTATTATCGCAGGGTGTCAAACTAATTTTCACCGGGGGCCACATCAGCCTCACAGTTGCCTTTGAAGGCTAAATGTAATTTTAGGACTGTATAAATATAACTACTCCTTAACTAGAAGCAAGGAGCTTGGTGCTGGACTGGATAAAACAAGGTGGAGGGCCAGATTTGGCTTTGGCCCTCTGGCCTTGTGTTTGCCATCTCTGTATTATAACAGCCTCCTGATTGGTTTGCCTGCTCCCTCCCTTGTCCAACAACCGTCCAGTCTCCAAATAGCAGCCACATCACAGATTTTTCACTCTCCTAGTAAACATGCTGGTGCATTCTCACTATGACCAGAGAAAATTTTACACCCTTGACCATGGCCATAACAGGGATTCTACCTGGTCTGGTCCACAACTACACCTGACCTCTTACAGTGGTCTCCCTGCTCCTTGAGCACCGGGCCTTGTATGAGCTGTCCCAAAGTTCTCAGAGGACTTCGGAGGTTTCAATAATACAATCGATACCCTGACTTAAATTACACACTTGTGTTTCTACTAATGTGTGTGTGTGTGTGTGTGTGTGTGTGTAGATAGATAAATTTTTTCCATCCAAATACCCTAAAAATTTTTAGAAAAACTGACATATGTAAAAGACAAAACAAAACCCCCAATTCTACAATCAGGAGGCCACATTCTGACTATAATTCAATAAAACTAGAAATAAATAAAATTTATTGACATGTTTATCAGAAGTCTGGGATAATCAGTTAACCCAGCGAAACACATTTTTAGGGACATCTTATTTTACCCTTCCATGGCCCGGGCTCCTTCCAATTTCCTGACACTGACACTGCACTGCAGTCATGTTAGATGTCAACGTGGGGGGAGCCTGCTGAAGAGAATGGGAGACCTTCCTATACATTCTTTGCAACTTCCTATGAGTCTATATTTCAAAACAAAAGTCCAGTTAGTTATACCTAAAACTTACCACAATGAACTATGATCTATTTTCTCAATAAAACAATAATTATATATTATAGAAAAGGTTATTTACACTACAGGTTTGGAAAAGAGGGAAGAAGTAGAAAAGAAAATAATATTTCTCTTAAATTCTTACCACTGTCCAAGGACTATGGTAATTCTTTTAGGTTATTGTGTTTAAAACAATCCTATAATGTAGTTAGTTGAGTATTATCCTCTTTTTGTAAATGGAGGAGCTAAATTTTGAGGAGTTAAATTTGTCCAACCAATGTCACACATTGATTGTTAAGTGGCAGAGCTGGGATTTCACCTTGCCCTATGAGAAGCAGAGTCTAATCTTTACCACATCATGACTGCCTATTATTTAGCTTAAAATAATGATCAATATTCACAGCAACTAAACTTATTGAATGGATCCCCTTAGGCAAGACTCAAAACAATGGGGTGGAGAGGCGGGAAGCCATCATGAACATTCTGTCTGGTGAAATCCTTTGCTTCAAACTCCTTATTCTGCACAGGCCCACAGTCCCTTGGCAGTTTCACATCTCATAACTCTGTGGAACTTAAGAAGGTGATATGACATACATTCTGTACATATGTAACACCCAAGCAGGTGTGGGGCCCACAGTTATTAAGCACAGTAATGTTTCTGCAGCAAAAGGTAAGAAAACTCATCCTAAGCATGATAAATTCAAAACAGCCTCAAATCAGTTCTAGTCATTCTGCTACCAAATGGGTTCCCCAGCCCCTCGCCCCCCAAAAATTTGTTTTTAAAGATTTTAGAGATTTGCTTGTTACAGGTAAGGGAGACACATATGTGAGACACAGAACATGCACATTCCTACCCTCACTCCAACAATGAAAACTAATTTTTAAAGTCCTTAATTAAAGGAATTAAAGTCCTTAAAGTCCTTAAAAAAAAGGAATACAATTTTTACAGTAATAGCTTAAAAGAGATTACCATTCCTTGAAAATATACCTGAATTCATCCATTCATCTTCCCATTAAGGGATGACAGATAGTACAAAAGATATTGGTCAAGTGGTTGCTACCAAGTGAGCAGGTTCCAGAGCCTTTGTAGACTGGCCAATGGAATGATAGCAGTTGTTTGTCAGATGTCACCAACGATAATCAGAGGAGGTGAAAATAATCACTAAGATGGCTGGAGGAAAATCATTTGAGGCTATCATGGCATGAAAGAAAAACAGCAAAACTCCGAGACACTACAAAAATCCCACGTATCCAGGTGTAGGGAAAGCAAAGGGCACATCAGAGGGCCAGAGCTGGGTGGCAATTCAGTGCCTCCCCCTCCCAGCCATGAGCTCTGAGGCCTCAGGTCCTCTCCAGAACTAGAATCTACTGCAGACTTATTGTGATGGTTAAATTGGTTAAAAAGGCACAGTGCCTACAACAGGTACAGCAAAAATGTTAGCCGCTATTATTATTCTGATTGTCTTAGGTTCCTGGTAGTTACGGTGAATGTCATGGGAATTATTTATGATAAGCCTTCATTTCTAGTTCCTCACGTGTGTTTTATTTTCACCTCGAGATTTCAAGCAAGGACAAATAAAGTGAATTTATTCCCAATGGAAAGAGTCTCTTAAAGTACTTGACAAATTATAGGCTATAAATAAGAGACTCTTCCTTTTGCATTAACACCTGTGTACACACAAATGCCAAAACATGCAACAAACTGATGATAATGGGTCCCTGCAGTTATCAACTCAAATAGCCAAATATTTTAGCAAAAAGTGCTGCATCTCCAAATTCAATATACTTTAGATGAGAGTTCTGACAAGAATGAAAGAGGGTGTTGGTACAAGCCTTTCCCAAATGAGCATTCGACATTTTTATAGTTTATATCAGTCAGGAGTGGATTTAGTTAATAATTGGCCCTGCCATCTAATTACATCCAGAAAGAATAGAAGTGGATCTACCATTCTGAATCCAACAATAATCCCACAGGACAAATCACTCATTTGTTTGGTCACATAAGGTTTTATTTTTCTTTTTTTACAACCTCTTTGAAGAGTTTGCAAGAGAGTTACACTACTTAAAATATAAGTTCTTATGGGTACATAGCTAGAGTTTTTTCCCATCATGTTTCTTGGGATGGATATTCGATAACTCGAAAATCCTCTGGTCAAAAAGCACTAGATTCACGCTTTATTGTAAAGAACTATGATTTATTCACATAAACCATTTTCTATATGTTAATAATAAAAAAATAAAATTTTGAAGCCCTGGCTGGTGTAGCTCAGTGGATTGAGCACAGGCCTGCAAACCACACGATCGTGGTTTGATTCCCAGTCAGGGTACATGCCTGGGTTGAAGGCCAGTTCCCGCAGGGGATTCATGAGAGGCAACCATACATTGATGTTTCTCTCCCTCTCTCCTTCCCTTCCCCTCTAAAGATAAATAAATAAAATCTTAAAAAAAAAACAACCTTGTGTTAAAAAAAAATAAGATTTTGGTCCTTTCTTTAGGTACTTCCTTAGGCTATTTTTTAAAACTGTAATATTTAATCTAGAACAAATAACATAAGGCAGAGTTCTAGGAATCTCACTACTGTATTTACTCTTCGAATTATTGAGGATGCTAACAAATTATGCTGTCTTTTCATTCTGGTCCATAAAAGTTGGAATCTCAGGGATAGTACCTATTTTAACTGATCTGTTCTTGATTTAGAGACAATCCTGGAAAATCTAAGGTGATGTTTCCTTTCCTGCTTTGCTAACAGAAATATGAGACAAATGTTCTTACCAGAAAGTAGGTTAGAAGCAGAAAATAAATGCATTTGCTCACTACTTTTACCCTAGTTAAATGAAAATTTTCTTCATTTTTTCAGCCATTTTAATGACAAAAAACTTCTACCTACTCTGGTATTTAGGATATTTAAGTTCATATTATTTTTAAAAGGTAGCATTAATAAGCCAATTAAATTCTTTAAAAAATTCACATCAGTTCCATGTTTACAAAAACTTTCAGGACAACAGATGGTAAATACTCCCCAAACTTGAGTATAAATGCAAATTGTCTTATGTATAAATACATTTATTTTCATTGAATCACTGAATTGCTTCTCTGCATGTTTCTACTTTTTACTACTTTATCATGAGCAGAAAACACAGGAAAGAACACAGGCTCTGGATCAAGAGACTGGGACTCTAGCCAAGCACACGTGCTAGTTATCTTAAGCAAGTCCTAAAATATCTTAATTTCAAGAGATTCATCTGAAAGGGTTAATGTATAATGATCAAGTAAAAAATAATTCACAATATTTACAGCTGATTCCACTGGAAACCAGGATCAGAGGAACTCTTCCTCAGGCAGTCCTTCTATAATAGATAATACTCTTAAAAAATACAAAACTCTCTGGGGGCTGTATCAGCTCACAGTACATTTTTCTACTAAGTTACACGCCAAGAAATATTTGAGTACTAACAGATAGGTTAAAGGAACTATTCATTACTGACAGATCAATGAATTCTCTTAAGTTCTTGTAGAAATATATTCCCTGTTATGAATTAGTGATTTTTTTTTTTTGCGGCATAAAGGCTAAAAATCTAGCCATCAATATTACTATTGCTATGTGAAATATGTTGTGATCTCCAAACTAATATATTTTTGGCATACTTGCCTAAATAATCTAGAGAATTCAAAATTATTACCAAAAAATTCAGGCAATGTCATTTTAAAATTCCTATTGCAGACCTGAGGATTAAGAAAGACTGTATACTAAGCAGAGCATAGGCCCAGACACGTAAGTGTCACTGAGTCTTCATGTACACAATGTGTCCAAACAGCCATACTTACCAGTGTCACTGGCTGGCTCAGATGTGAATGGTTTGGGAGCTGGTGTGTTTCCAGGTCTGGCAGCACCCTGAGATGGAGATGAAAGTGCACTGTCTCCATTAACTATAGGTGAACAGCATGAATTCTGCACCACAGTGCTGGAAGGTACGCAGTTATCTATTCCATTTGGACCTTCAGGAGTCAACCTTCAAAAAAAAACATGCCTCACTTCAATGAGTTCAGTACAATTAAATAACTTTACATCAGAATTTTCATAAGAATAGTTACTGAGTTCTTACCATTCAAGCAAACTGACAGATACAGAGAGTAATGAACAAATTTATGGCATGTTTTTTAACATGAACATCTAAATTATTTTCAGTTCTAAGTATATTCCCAACTGGCAGATAAATCTATACTGACAAATACAACTATACTAAATCAAAATGAATTCAATCCCTCAAAATAATATTCAATTTATACATTTTAATTATTTAAGTCTAAGAATGTTAATCTTCATTTTAAATGCTCTGAAAGTTTCTTCAAAATGCTTACAAAACATAAAAATACATTTGAAACTATTCTAATGTTATTGGACACTGAAAAGTCTTCAAATGTTGATTGTAAATTATTTACTAAGCACTAAAATTATGAGTATATGATCAGAAAAAGCTAAACACTGCACCACAGAATTAGAATTTATAGTGTATAAATTCACTGTATACACAAAACTACAACCACAAAAATCAAACATTTTAAATCTTATTGGTAATTGATAGAGAGTGGGGTGCTGTTGGGAACCGCTCTGCCTGGTTTCAGGAGTTGTAACTGCCTACCATGGATAAAGCTGAGTGAGCGACCTCTGGACTACAAACCACTAAGGAGACAAAGTTTGTCTCTGCCAGCAGTGCTGCTTCTGCTTCATCCCCTGCCCCCAACCCTTGGTCAATTAGTCAGAGATGGGGTACGACCCCTCAGAGGAGGGGCAACCTAAGCCAGACATGATCATTTGGGAGGCCATCATGGAAGGACTTGGGGGACTGCAACAAAGAGGGAGTGATGGACCCTCGCCCCGCCCCCCCCCCCCCACTATTCTGACATAGCCTGAGTCCCCATGTCCTCTGGGAGAAGCACTTCCTGTCTCTAATCCACTTAAGCCTAAAAACCTATGAAGGGGAGGGTGGTGCAGTCCTCTGCCCACTACAGCGAGATCCAGAGTGATCAGGCATAAGAAAGAGTTCCTAAAGTCCTGTGAAGCCTGCTTTGCTAAGAGTGCTTTCATTCCTATGATAAGGGTCCGAGCAGGAAATGAGTATGTCTCCCAAAGTTTCTGCAACCCCCTTACCTGACAGACATTGACTCAGATTAAGCCTTCAGATTTCTTTTAAATGTTATCTACTGTCTGATCCTCGCCACCTGACATGGATTGATGAGCTTTACCTGTATTCCTGTGTATTACAAACCTAATAAAAGCCCTTGAGGAAGGGGCTCTTGGTCTTTCTCCTCTGAGAAACTGACTACCTCTCCTCTCCAAGCAGATCGTGTCTTGGTAGTTTCACTTTCATCTGTGGTGGATGGAGAGACTTTGCAGGCAGTTGCCCCCACAGGATGCTACTGAGTAAGTGACCAGGAGAGTTTCCCCAAATACACAGGTCACTCTACCTGCTTTCCATAGAGCAGCCCCACTTTTTAAAAATATATAAATCAGAACATGTCCCTTTCCTGCTTAAAATGAGATTGAGACTTCTGACTATAATCAACAGAGCTTTTCAAAAACCAGCCCCTTGCCCTGGCTGGTGTAGCTCAGTGGATTGAGCATGGGCCTGTGAAGCAAAGAGTCACCAGTTCGATTCCCAGTCAGGGCACATGCCTGGGTTGCAGGCCAGGTCCCCAGTAGGGGACACATGAGAGGCAACCATACTTTGATGTTTCTCTCCCACTCTTTCTCCTTTCCTTCCCCTTTCTCTAAAAATAAAAAATAAAAATAAAAAACCAGCCCCTGACCCTGTCTACTGCTGCAACCTATTTTCCAAGCTCCTTCTTACTCACCTTACAGAAAGTATACTATAACAATTTTACTAAATATAAAAAGCATGGCGAAGTCTTCAAATGCTTATTAAAAATTATTATATGTGAGGCAGTAAAGTCATAAAGACTACAAGATTACTAAAAAATCAATTGTTATATTCTGGAGTGAGAAGAATTTATAAAACATAAACTAACTAGAAATAAACTTGGTGTCCTAGCATTGCCATTTCCTGGGCCTGAATGCTCTTCCCTCAGAACTCTGTACAAAAGTTTCATTTTAGCTTTCTAACTTTAGCTCTAAGGGCACTTCCTTGGCGATAACATCTGAACCTCTTTCTTTAAAACAGGCTCCCTTCCATTCTGTCACCATAGCTCTCATCAGTCTTCTCTGATTAGCTAATTTATTTCCTCAGTTGTTCACTATCCACCAGAATGAAAGTTCCATGGGAACAGGCATGTGTAGCATTGGGACTACTGTCTGCTATCAAACAGGCATCCGTAAGTATCTGATGCATGAAGAAATGTCATGCCCCCTTTCCTTGTCACCTGTGCATGTGCAGTGGGGCATGTTGAGGAAGTGTGGGTATGTAAAGTCTGACAAAAGCTCATGAGTGATTCTTATGTACACACCCCACCGCAGCCATCGAGCAAGAAGTCCAGGTAAAGAGCCCACTTGCAGTTCTCTTGGGCTGCAGAATGAATATTTGATGCAAAATGTGTTACTATGCAATAAACATTAGGTTACAGACTGCTAATGAGTCAAGCTCTTTTAACCATTTAAAATGGTATTTCAAAATAGACACGTATACACACACATACATTTTAATGAAACTAACCGCTTACCCTTTTAGTCCTTAATTTTCTCAGTGTGAATTATACTATGGTCACTAAATATATTTATTTAAACCAAATATATATTCAATGCTCTATGAGAATAATTTAATGGTAATTCAAGAGTAGTGATGTTAGTGACTGCAGATTGTTAAAGGTGACATTTTGTCACATACTAGCATGCTTCTACCAATGTAACAAGTGACTTTAACAGCAATATGTTTCTATAATTTCAGGTGTTCATTCCATTATATATGATTTATTATAAGCTTTTATTCCAATTTAAGTTACTTCAAACAGCCCCTATAACTTGGCATCAAACATAAATGCAAGCAAGTTTTGAAATGGCAGGATGATTTCTAAGGAAAGACCACATCTTATCTTCCAGTGATTTTCAGGGACCTGCAATTCTGACAGCAAGACCCCCATTTTCTTACACAATCTGCTTCTATTTACTGATAACCATGCCTAAACGCAGATTTTAAAAACCCGTTTGCATTATGACAGAATGAAGCAATGACATACACTATCATATGGGCAAACACCATGCTCAGTGAGAGGAACCAGAAAAAAAAGATCACATACAATTATAATATAAAATGTCCAAAACAGGAGAATCTTTTGAAATAGAAAGCAGACCAGAGGCTGGGAGGAGGCAAGAATGGGGACAGAGTACTTGTGAGACAGAGTTTCATTTTGAGGGTGATGAAAGTGTTCTCAAATCAGATAGTAAGGAAGGGTATACAGCTCTGTGATTACACTAAAAGCCACTTACCATATGTTTTGAACTATAAAGTGCACTTCGCAAGTGGGGGTAGGGATGGGGGCCTTTGGGAGGAATAATGGTTGTTAATGCTGCTGTTGAGTTCTGTTTACATTTACATTGGTGAAATATTATGTTTATGTTATTAAATATTTCACCACATTTTTTGCTTCAAAATTTTTTTTTCCTATTTTGCGCTAAACCCTGGGTGCGTCTTATGGTCCAAAAATAGGAAGTGTCCACTTTAACAGAGTGGATTTTATGGTGTATGTATTTTATCTCAGTAGAGCTGGTTTTTTAAACTACTTTCTCAGGAATTCAATCCAAATGACATGTTTTAAATTCTATGGCAAACTCTAAGGTTAGGATTAAAAACTGCATATATAGAAAATGTTACATTACTTTGCCACAAACACTAAAATGTGGTATTCTACCTGGTCGTTGTCCTGGCTGATGGCTCTCCATTTTCATGTAAGGCATCACCATTTTGCTGTATTTCTACTGAATAATAAGAAAGAAAGAAACTAGGTTTTTATATACTTCCTGCTGATTTTTCCTAAATTTTAAAAACACACAGTTAGCTTACTGGTTGGAGGTGAGTTGCAGCTTGTTAGATTTTCTGGCTCAATCACCAATCCATCCAGCACAACCGTTAATTCACCAGTTTGCACTATGCCATTCTTGTTTTCCAAGGAAAGTTTTAATTGTTCTTTCACTCTTTCCACTAGAAAAAAAATCCTAATTTAAAAGCTTCTGCCACATACAAAATATGTTTTAGAAATCAAAACTATGTATGAAGAATGACTCTAACTCAGTACTTAATTGCATGTGGAAGGGGATACTTTCCATTTCTGTCTGTGGGCCCCTCTGCTACACCACAGCTGCTCTCTCCCACACCTTCCTCTCCCCCTACCACATTCCAGTAGCACTGTTAGTTTCCCCTTTGCACAGCATAAACCTCAAGAGGCATAAATGTATCTAGATAACAAGTGTAGCAATCACCTCAACAGGCTCTTCACCCCAGGGTACCACACAGAAAACCTGTGGCTGAGGCAAATTTCTGTGTGAGAGTCAGTTTAGTTACTAATTCTACTCTGCTACTTGTAGATACACTAGGAGTTAGTAGTCAAACTACTTTGAATGTCAGTTTCCTCAGCGTAAAATGGTGATAATAAGAGCATCAAACTAATGGGATTACCATAAGTGCATATGCAACACCACAAAAAATGCTCATACCCATATCTGACACAGAAAGCACTCACTAAATGGTTAATTCTGTGACAACAGTTTTCTCATTTATATGTACAAGGCCAAATATTCCCTTCCTATTATTAAGACATCTAGCTCTTAAACTCAAGGTCATTTTGTTTCAACTTTTTCTGTTCTACAGAATGTAAACCAGTTAACAATAACAGAAAACTTACAGAATATCTACTGCAAATATTTGTACCACCATACACCTCATTTCAACTCCACATCAAAAAATAATAAAAACAGTAAGAGAAAGTAGGAGAAATACAAATGCAGACATTTCAGCTTTATCTAGACTAACAATATTGTATCTGAAGAAAACTATACTGACTCCACTTCTATTTCACTCTTGTCATCTCTCTCCACTCAAAGTATCTGCAATTTGGAGAGTTAGCTTATTGTTCCTAAAACATATGGATACTTAAAGAACAGCCTTTCAAAATCCCTTCAGTGTAGCTTTTTAGTGATAAATGCTCTCATTTTGATCTGTAGTATTTGCATTCTCATTCTCCAGAGAGTTGATGGACATGCAATTTCACATTGGTAATAACCTTCTCTCAACTCTTTGAAGATATCTCCCCACTACTGTTTCCTATTATGGCTAATTCTGTAATTCTAGTTTATAAATTTTTGCAAATGACTGTTTTTCCCTAGTGCTGCCTTTTTTTTTGTCTTTGGGGTCATGCATTACACTATGACGTGTCTATGTATGACTTCCTCTTTATCACCCTTCTTGGGATAGTATAGATCTGCAAATTCACATTTTTCATCAATGTTCAAAAACTTACAGTCAACTTACAGTCAAGGTGGAGGCATAAGTAGATATACTTTGCCTCCTCGCACAGCCAAAAGAAGGGCAACAACAAATTTAAAAACAAAAAATAACCAGACCTGCCCCCAAATTGAACTGTATGGAAGTTCTACAGGCAAGGAGTTAAAGAGGAAACATACATAAAGACAGTAGGAGGGGTAGATATGGGCAGCCAGGATGGAGAGGACCCATGGCAAGGTGGGGCCTGGAGGATCAGGGCAGGCAAGGTGGTGGCTGGCGGAGCAGGTGATCCCACATTTGCATGTGGATAAACCAAGAAGAACAATTGTGGAGCAAGGCAGACAGTGCAACGCAGGGTTCTAGCATGGGAAAATAAGGCCTTAAAACCAATGATTGAAAAAAAACCTGTGAGTGGTGATGAGTCAGGAGTAACTCCCAGCCTCATGGGAGAGTTTGTTGGAGAGACCCACAGGGTCCTAAAATGTGCACAAAACCACCCACCCAGGAATCAATACGAGAAGGGCTCAATTTGCTTGTGGGTAACAGAGGAAGTGACTGAAAACTTGCAGAAAACCAGCAGCATTGTTCCCTTTGGGGCCACTCCTCAACATACAGCACCACAAAGCAGCACTGTGGTTTGCCCTGCCCTGGCGAATATCTAAGGCTCTGCTCCTTACTACTTAACAGGCAAGCCCAGACAAAAAATATGGCCTAAATGAAAGAACAGATCAAAGCTCCAGAAAAAATACAACTAAGCGATGAAGAGATAGCCGACCTATCAGATACACAGTTCAAAACACTGGTAATCAGGGTGCTCATAGACGTGGGTAAGTATGGTCACAACATAGAGGGAGAGGTGAAAGCTATGAAAAGTGAAATAAAGAAAATGTACAGTATTGGGAACTGCTCTGCCTGGTTTCAGGAGTTATAACTACCCCCCATGGCTAAGGCTGAGTGAGCAACCTCTGGAATGCGAGCCACAAGGAGACAAAGCTTGTCTCTGGTAGCAAATACTGCCTCTGCTTCATCCCCCTGCCCCCGAAGCATGATCGGATAGTCAGAGATGTGTAAAACCCCCTGGGGGGTGGGGCAACCTAAGCCAGACATGATCGCTTGGGAGGCCATCATGGAAGGTCTCGGGGTTGGGGGGCTGCAACAAAGAGGGAGTTACGGACCCTCGCCCCCCAGCAATTCTGACATAGCCCCCATGTCCTCTGGAAGAAGCACTTCCTGGCTCTAATCCATTGAAGCCTAAAAACCAGTGATGGGGGAGGCAGTGCAGCCCTTTGCCAGCTAGAGCGGGACCCTAGGTGATCTGGTATAAGAAAGAATTCCTAACAATCCTGTGAAGCCTACTTTGCTAAGAATGCTTTTAGTTAAATGAAAAAGACCCGGGAAGAAAATTAGTTTGTTTTCCCAAAGTCTTGTAGCCCTTTAGCTAATAGAACCTGACTCAGAAGAAGTCCTAATGGTTCTCTGTATACTATCTACTGTTTACTGCCTGACAATGATTAGTAAGTTGTACCTGAACTCCTGTGGAAAAAAAACAATAAAAGCCTGTCTAGGCAAGGGTCACTGCACTCTCCCCTTGAAAGAGTTGCCGCGCAGTCCCTTTTCCTCCATAGGACTCAGTAGTTCATGTGAATTTGTCTCATGTCTAATCCATGATGCCGTGGGCACTGCAAGCCAGTGAATGTGTCAGTACAGGCAACCAACAGTTATGGGAAAGAAACCAGGACTCAAATCAATGGTTTAAAGAAGAAAGAAATAAACATTCAAAAATAACAAAATGAAGGTTCAAGAATCCAAAAAAAAAAAAAAATGAGGGGAGGCTTAGTAACCTCCAGGACAACTTAAATGTTCCAACATCCAAATCATAGGGGTGCCAGAAGAAGAAGAGGAATAGCAACAAATTGAGAACTTATTTGAAAACATAATGAAGGAGAACTTCCCCAATCTGGCAAAGGAAATAGATTTCTAGGAAGTCCAGGAAGCTGAGAGAGTCCCAAAGAAGTTGGACCCAACTAGGAACACACCAAGGCACATCATAATTACATTAGCCAAGATTAAAATGAAGGAGAGAGGACTTCCGCCAAAATGGAGGCACAGGTGGATGTGCCGTGCCTTCTCACACAACCAAGATTAGAGAAAACTAAATATTAGCAACAGAAAACACAGCCAGAACATGGAAAATTGAACATTTCGGAAGTCTGTTAACAACAAATTCTTCAGCCTGACCGGTAAGGTGCGAAAACAGCGGCTGGCGGAGCAGGGTTGCACAGGAGGACTCGGCCAGACACACTCAGGCCTGTGGAATCCAGGCGCAGGGTCAGACCTAGTGAGCAACCCAGCGAGCGATCAGGCGAGCAACCGCGGGGGAGACAGCCGGGCCCGGGGCTGCATGTTGACTGAGGTTGCGCATTTGTGCGCGGGTGGACAGGCGAGAGAGTGGGCGGTTGGACCGGGCCGGCAGGTCCCCACGGCAAGCGGCAGTGGAGGGCACCGCCATTTCCCTGCTCTGACCCCACCTCCACACACAACGTCATAACCCAGCGACTCTGAGTGGCCCGGCCCAGGTGAACCACCTAAGGCACTGCTCCTCCGCACCCAGCTGTGAGAAGCGGCAGAGGGGGTCGCCATTTCTCCGCTCTGGCCACGCCCCCACATACAGCGTCACAACCCAGCGACCTGGGAATCCAAGGCGCCGCTTCTCACACTTAAAGGGCCAGAACAGACCAAGAATGGCGCAGGAGGATCTCAGAGCCCCAGAGCCAATAGATCTAAGCGATGAAGAAATAGCAAAACTCACAGACGCACAGTTTAAAACATTGGTGATCAAGATCCTCACAGAACTGGTTGATTATACCGACAAATTAGACAAATATATGAAGGCGAAACTAATTGAAATGAATGGAACTGCACAGGACACCAATAGCAATGAAAAGGAAACTGGGACTCAAATCAATGGAGTGGACCAGAAGAAAGCAAATAATGGCCAAACAGAAAAGAGTCAAGAAGCAAGAATTCAAAGAAATGAGGAGAGTCTTAGGAACCTCCAGGACATCTTTAAACGCTCCAACATCCGAATTATAGGGGTACCAGAAGGGGGAAAGGCACAGCCACCAGTGGAAAACTTATTTGAACAAATAATAAAGGAGAAGTTCCCCAATCTGGCAAAGGAAATAGACAGCCAGGAAATCCAGGAAGCTCAGAGAGTCCCAAAGAAGTTGGACCCAAGAAGGAACACACCAAGGCACATCATCATTACATTAGCCAAGATTCAAATGAAGGAGAGAATCCTAGAAGCAGCAAGAGCTAAGGGGACAGTCACCTACAAAGGAGTCCCCATCAGACTGTCAGCGGATTTCTCAAAAGAGACCTTACAGGCAAGAAGGGGCTGGAAAGAGGTATTCCAAGTCATGAAATCTAAAGACCTACAACCAAGATTGCTCTATCCAGCAAAACTTTCATTTAAAATGGAAGGACAGATAAAGTGCTTCTCAGATAAGATCAAATTCAAGGAGTTCAGCATCACCAAGCCCTTATTATATGAAATGTTAAAGGGACTTATCTAAGAAAAAGAAGTTAAAGAAACATGAACAGTGAAAGGACAACAAACTCACAGTTATTAACAACCACACCTAAAACGAAAGCAAACTAAAAGGACAGCTAGATTAGGAGTGGAAACATAGAAATGAAGA